GACCCCGAGATACTTGAACTCCTCCACTTGAGGAAGGACCTCCCCACCCACCTGAAGAGGGCAAGGCACCTTTTTCCGGTCGAGCACCATGGCCTCAGATTTGGAGGTGCTGATTCTCATCCCAGCCGATTCACACTCGGCTGCAAACCGGTCCAGTGCATGTTGCAGGTCCTGGTTCGTTGGAGCCAACAGGACGACATCATCCGCAAACAGCAGAGATGAAATCCTGTGGTCCCCGAACCGGACCCCGTCCGACCCCTGGCTGCGCCTAGAAATTCTGTCCATGAACAAAGTGAACAGAACCGGTGACAAAGGGCAGCCCTGGCGGACGCCAACATGCAATTCGAACACAGCTCTGACTCCGGTCACATAGGGACCGGACGGCCCTCAGCAGAGGACCCCGGACCCCTTACTCCCGGAGAACCCCCCAAAGTACACCCCGGGGAACACGGTCGAACGCCTTCTCCAAATCCACAAAGCACATGTGGACAGGTTGGGCAAACTCCCATGAACCCTCGAGTATCCGATGGAGAGTATAGAGCTGGTCCAGTGTTCCGCGACCGGGACGAAAACCACACTGCTCCTCCTGAATCCGAGATTCGACCATCGGCCGTAGTCTCCTCTCCAGTACCTTGGAGTAAACCTTACCAGGGAGGCTGAGGAGTGTGATCCCACGATAATTGGAACACACCCTCCGGTCCCCCTTCTTGTAGAGAGGGACCACCACCCCGGTCTGCCACTCCATTGGCACCGCCCCCAATCGCCACGCGATGTTGCAGAGACGTGTCAGCCAAGACAGTCCCACAACATCCAGAGACTTTAGATAGTCAGGACGGACCTCATCCACTCCTGGCCCTTGCGCCCATGGAGGCTGCCAAACACCTTGGTGACCTCTGCCAGGGAGATGGAAGTATCCGCCCCAACATCCTCAGCCTCTGCCTCCAGGGCGGAGGACGTGACGGGGGGATTGAGGAGAACCTCGTAGTATTCCTTCCACCGCCCGACAATATCCCCAGTTGAGGTCAACAGCCCTCCACCCGCACCGTACACAGTGTTGGCAAAGAACTGCTTCCCCCTCCTGAGGCGCCGGACGGTTTGCCAGAATCTCTTCGAGGCCGACCGATAGTCATGCTCCATGGACTCTCCGAACTCCTCCCAGTCCCGGGTTTTTGCCTCTGCAACAGCCCGGGCCGCGGCGCTGCTGATACTGGACAGCTGCCTCAGGAGTCCCATGAACCATCATTGCTCGATAGGACTCCTTCAGCCTGACGGCATCCCTTACTGCCGGTGTCCACCACCGGGTTCAGGGATTGCCGCCGGGACCAGTACCAGAGACCCTGCGACCACAGCTACGAGCCGCCGCATCGGCGATAGAGGAAGAGAACATGGTCCACTCGGACTCAATGTCCCCCTCCTCCGCCGGGACCTGGGAGAAGCTCTCCCGGAGGTGTGAGTTGAAAGTCCGTCTAACAGGGGGCTCAGCGAGACGTTCCCAGCAAACCCTCACTACACGCTTGGGCCTGCCAGGTCTGACCGGCTTCCTCCCCTGCCAGCGGATCCAACTCACGACCAGGTGATGATCGGTTGACAGCTCCGCCCCTCTCTTCATCCGAGTGTCCGAGACACGCGGTCGAAGGTCAGATGATACGACAACAAAGTCGATCATCGACCTCCGGCCTAGGGTGTCCTGGTGCCACGTGCAATGGTGGACACCCTTGTGCTCGAACATGTTCGTGATGGACAAACCGTGACTGGCACAACAACTGAACACCGCTCGGATTCAGACCGGGCGGGCCGTTCTTCCCAATCACCCCTCTCCAAGTGTCACTGGCATTTCCCACATTTCAAACATAAAGATATAAAATTTAAATTTTTTGTCAAGAATCAACAACAAGTGGGACACAATCGTGAAGTGGAACAAAATTTATTGGATAATTTAAACTTTTTTAACAAATAAAAAACTGAAAAGTGGGGCGTGCAATATTATTCGGCCCCTTTACTTTCAGTGTAGCAAACTCACTCCAGAAGTTCAGTGAGGATCTTTGAATGATCCAATGTTGTCCTAAATGACTGATGATGATAAATAGAATGTACCTGTGTGTAATCAAGTCTCCGTATAAATGCACCTGCTCTTTGATAGTCTCAGGGTTCTGTTTAAAGCGCAGAGAGAACCATGAAGACAAAGGAACACACCAGGCAGGTCCGAGATACTGTTGTGGAGAAGTTTAAAGCCGGATTTGGATACAAAAAGATTTCCCAAGCTTTAAACATCTCAAGGAGCACTGTGCAAGCAATTATATTGAAATGGAAAGAGTATCAGACCACTGCAAATCTACCAAGACCCGGCCGTCCCTCCAAACTTTCATCTCAAACAAGGAGAAGACTGATCAGAGATGCAGCCAAGAGGCCCATGATCACTCTGGATGAACTGCAGATAACTACAGCTGAGGTGGGAGAGTCTGTCCAAAGGACAACAATCAGTCGTGCACTGCACAAATCTGGCCTTTATGGAAGAGTGGCAAGAAGAAAGCCATTTCTCAAAGATATCCATAAAAAGTCTCGTTTAAAGTTTGTCACAAGCCACCTGGGAAACACACCAAACATGTGGAAGAAGGTGCTCTGGTCAGATGAAACCAAAATCAAACTTTTTGGCCACAATGCAAAACGATATGTTTGGCGTAAAAGCAACACAGCTCATCACCCTGAACACACCATCACCACTGTCAAACATGGTGGTGGCAGCATCATGGTTTGGGCCTGCTTTTCTTCAGCAGGGACAGGGAAGATGGCTAAAATTGATGGGAAGATGGATGGAGCTAGCCTGGCCATAGCCATCCGTACACTCCGCTCAATCATCATTTCACTGCATGTAGCGTCTGGGTCTGGTCCCTGTGTTAGCGAAGACAATCGGTCGTATTTTGACCGGCTACTCAGAGAGCGCGTTGTAGGTCGGTTCCGGTGACGTCAAGAGTTTGCGCCGAACGGGCAGGTTGTAGTTTGGCAATGGCAAAGAATGCGATAGTAAAGTATTTCGGTCTGGTTCTATCAAGAAATTGAAGCAGGAGGAAGAGGAATGTTTAGCAAATGCGTCACGGTAAACTCAGATCCAATCGTTTCAATCTGCAGAAGGAGTTAACCCCTCCCACCTGTTCACGGAGCTCAATGGAGCACCTCCAGACCTTAGTATGAAAAGTAATTTGTACTATGGTGTGGTACGACCAGGCTAGGATGGAGCCAAATACAGGACCATTCTGGAAGAAAACCTGTTGGAGTCTGCAAAAGACCTGAGACTGGGACGGAGATTTATCTTCCAACAGAACAATGATCCAAAACACAAAGCCAAATCTACAATGGAATGGTTCACAAATAGATGTATCTAGGTGTTAGTCAAAGTCCAGACCTGAATCCAATCGAGAATCTGTGGAAAGAGCTGAAGACTGCTGTTCACAAACACTCTCCATCCAACCTCACTGAGCTCGAGCTGTTTTGCAAGGAAGAATGGGCAAGAATTCCAGTCTCTACATATGCAAAACTGATAGAGACATACCCCAAGCGACTTGCAGCTGTAATTGCAGCAAAAGGTGGCGCTACAAAGTATTAGCGCAAGGGGGCCGAATAATATTGCACGCCCCACTTTTCAGTTTTTTATTCGTTAAAAAAGTTTAAATTATCCAATAAATGTTGTTCCACTTCACGATTGTGTCCCACTTGTTGTTGATTCTTGACAAAAAATTAAATTTTTATATCTTTATGTTTGAAGCCTGAAATGTGGCGAAATGTTGAAAGGTTCAAGGGGGGCGAATACTTTCGCAAGGCACTGTATGTATGTGTGTGTAAATGTAAGCTCCAATGTAGTTCTGACCCGCGCCAGTATGCAACTTTGGCGGTAACAGAGGGTAGATGATGTTACGTATGGAGGGGGAAAGTGTGTGTGTGTGTGTGCGCGCACGTGCATATGTGGCGCGTGCGGCATGAGAGTCGACCCGGAGTTTACTGTTACATCCGCTAGAGCTCATCACATCGTGCAAATAGGGCTTAGAATAGCGAAATTAAGAAACCTCCCCTCTCCCCCTTTTCTTTTTTTTAACCGACAGCTTTGACCGGTTAACGCTGTGACGGTCAACCACCGGTTAAACGGTCACCGATTTACATCCCTAGTGATTTAAATTAAGAAACCTCCCCTCTCCCCCTTTTCTTTTTTTTAACCGACAGCTTTGACCGGTTAACGCTGTGACGGTCAACCACCGGTTAAACGGTCACCGATTTACATCCCTAGTGATTATAGCTGGTAATGGACGCGAAACTGGCGGTAATCTTTCAGTTTTATTTGTGTTAGCATTGCGTTGCTTTTGTACCATTTTATCAGTGATTGTTGTACAGCTTACAAGAAGTTGTGCTGATGCTAATTTTAGCATACGTATGAGACTGCAAATAAAACTAGATGGCTAGATGGGAGGAGAGAGTTTGGCGGGGTTAAACATTCAAACTGAAAAAACCTTGCAGAGACGGGTATAGCTCCTTTTAACATTATATTACATCAATAACATTAACGATTCATATGATATATTCCAGTCCGGCTTTAGACCCAAACCACAGACTGAGACCGCTGTTGTCAAGGTAACAAGGACATCCGGCTGAATATTGACAAAAGTCCATGTCCTCCGGTAGGATATGACTCAGACTTAAATGTGAACATCCGCATCACAACAGTCACATCTGCAGCTTTTTACAAAGAGTCCAGGATCAAACAGTGTCAAGAGAAAAGCTGTCTGCAGTCGGATAGACGACACCTGCTGAAACACTACCTAGTGAAACTGATGCAGACATGAAACTGCAGAAGTTATCAATACAGTGTTTTAAGAAGAAAATCAAACCCAAATTGTCTATGTTCTACAACACAACTCTGTACAGCGGTCATCAGAAGAGCATGATTTAGACGACATCACTTAGAGCCGTCATCAGGAGCTACACTAGTGTTTCTAAACAGAAGGTAGACAGACCTGGCATCATGTGTTGGTGAGAGTTGGGTCTGATCCCAGTGAACTCTGATGGAGAAGGTCTGCGGAGGGGCGCAGGGACACCCTCTGTGGCAGACAGCCCAGCAGGAGGAATGGATCCCTGGGGAGGACGCATGAAGGAGTCCTGGAGCCCAGGAGGAGCCCCGAACCTAGAGACAAGACAAATGTGTGGGAAACGACACACTAGGACTGGAGAGGTGGGTGTGTCTGGTGAGAGGTGGGCGTTTCTTACCTAAGGTGGGCATGTCCTCGGGGGACTGACCCTGACTCACTGGGTGGAAAACCCTGTAGCTGCTGATCGGGGTGGAGCCTCTGAGGGGGCGGAGCTACTGGCCTCATCGCCCCTGGGTACGGTGGCGGGGGTCGTCCAAATGGGTCAGGGTCATTTTGTGTCCAGGGGCGAGCCAGGGGGGTGGGGCCTGTAGCAGAGGGTGCTTGGCCTGGGGGCTTGGAAGTCTGAGGTAAATGCCCTGCTGTGGGAGGGGCAGAGGGGGCGTGGCCTCCAGTCTTCTCTTGACGCAGCGCGCTCTTCTGTTGCTGTTGCCGGAGGATCAGCTGCCGCAGGCGCTGTCGCTGTGGAAACAGTGTTTGAGAGCGAGAACCATAAAGATTCAATGGCCCTTGTTTATGAAACTTGCGCAGAAAAGGGTGTACATTTATGGTGCACATTCCAAATACGCAAGACCCAAAGTGGGATTTATGAACGTGTGAGATCCATCCAGATCTGAGCGTACGCACTTGCGGCTGTTAATAAATGCTGCGGCTGAAAACAAATGTATTTATGAAAGTCACGTCTATAAATATGCAGCAATTGCCTGTTTTACACCCCGTTTTTACAACATGCTGAATGGAAGTCGGCCAGGAAGACTGTTTGGAAGCCTCAAAAGGCAAGTGACATGCAATCCTGAAGAGTTGAGTTTGTTCATATGTACAATAGGTATGTACATATGTACAATAGGTCTGGCATGCGCCTCCTGTTCGGCGACCCCGCTCCCATCTCTGTGTGGAGTGAGTGGACAAGTGCCCAAAAAATAACAATTGTAAACCGCTTTGTGACTCTGGTCTGTGAAAGGCGGTATATAAATAAAGCTTACTTACTTACTTACTTACTTACTTACTTCATGTTGTTTAAAAGGAAATACGCTATATTCAGCTGCGTTTCCATTGAAAAAATTAGCAAAACTTTTTTGATACATTGCAAACATTTTTATTGAACTTAAGAAGTAAATAATGTAAATATATAAATAATGATTGACTTAATTAATTACTATTAATATCTCTGCCTCAACAGTGGCTCTCATCATTAACTGGATGAAGCGTCTTCAGCATCTTCTTGTGAATGGACTGCCCATAAGCCCGTTCCTACAGATAAGCGCATGGCCATCCTATCTATAAACTGCTACATGTGGACAGGGCATTGAGACATTTTGAGTGAGCAATGCCACAGTCCATTGGTGCGTTTATGGGATGAGAGAGACTTTCACAAAACTAATGAAAAAATACGTTGCTTTGCCAGATGTGAAAGAGGCAAAACAAATAGCCATGCGTACTGCAATTATGCAGCGCAGGCCTGCCACAAATTTACAGAGCAATAGATGTTGCGCAAGTTAGTAAGTAAGTAAAGTGTATTTGTATAGCGCCTTTCACAGACAATGAGCAAATTCAAATTTCGAAATTTAATGCTTAATGGAAAACGCATTAAATAAACATATTCCCAGATTGGGAATATGTTTATGGTTGTCCAATTCTTGAATTTTATGCGTGTTTTGATTAAGGTTGAGAGGAGCGTGCATTTACGCCACCTCCAGATTCGGTGTATATTCTGTGCGTATTGTACACTCACTTCCAGATTGATAAATGCGTAAATTTTTTGCGTACGCCTCATTTACACCCCAATTTGGCCATACGCAAGTTTCATAAATAAGAGCAACTATGTCCATGCAGCTGTGAGGGAGAATTAGGGGGTAGTGGAGAGGTCACAGGGGCCAAAGTGTCACAGGCATCACAAAGGTCACGAGGGTTTGTGCTGTACTTGGCTTTTTAGTGTTAGTTATATTACCCTGATTCACACCAAACAACAGGCATAACTTAGTGTGGTCTGAGTCCAGGTCCAGGTCTCAGTCTCAGTCCTTGTCCTCATGCAGTAATACTTGGGGCCTTGTACCATCTCTGTCACCTGTCTGAGTTTGTCGTCCGAGTCGCCCATCTGTGGCATCACCTCGGCTCCTAGCGCCGAAAGCTCATTGGTCGACAGCAGTTTGTCGTTAGGCGGGCCCACAGCCATGTGACTCTGCTCAAGTGAGTCATGTGCCGGGTCCTGACCCTCCTCCGATATCCCAGCATGCTTTGGGGTGGGCGGCTGAGGTCGACTCGGAGAGCGCTGCAACTGAAAAAAGGAGGAATGGAACCACTTGGTGGGGTTTGTGCTCTACAACTGTATTTTTAGAGTTATATATTCAGAACATCTCCATATCAATCTAAAACAATGTCATAAGAGGCATTTTGAACAGATATTTCGGCTTACCTGCAGATGCGGTGTGTAGCCTGTTGGGTCAACGCTCAGCCCTGGAGCTCGGGGGGAGGACCCGGCTGCTCCCTGCCCAGAGAAAATGTCTGCTCCTTGGCTGTAAGCCTCGGGGGATGGCCGGGAGGTACCCACAGGGGAGCGGGGGAAGCGCGGCGTACCCGGGGTTTGGGGGTACGGCTCCGGAGAGGGTCTGGAGCTGTGGGGGGACTGGTGACTGAAGCCCTCTGCGGCAGTGTAGTCAGACCGCGGGGTCCCTGGCGCCTGGGCGTACGGGCTGCGCTGAGGCGAGCCCAGAGCAGACAAGGGACTCGAGGGGTAGTCCTGCCCAAGGGGGAAGCCCAGATCTGTGGGGCGAGCACTGTGCTGAGGTGGCATGGGCGCTTTGAAGACTGGCCGCTGGTACGAGACTCGGGTGTCCAGAGAGGAGGGACTGAGCATGACTGGACGGAGTGCTGAGGAGCAGAGGAAACAGCTCAGAAATAAGTACCTTTGTAGAATATGTCCTAAAGCTGGGGTAAAGGGGGAGACCAGAGAGTCCTCTGAACTAATGACCACAGTGCACACAAGCAACAAAAGATTTCATGAGACTTTAAATGGTAATTATCATTTATACTAGTGGTTAAATGGGAAATAGGTACCCTTTTGTTGTATGCATTTCTATTTGGTAACTGGCCAATTAATCTCGTACCTTGCTGAGGCCCCATGCTCCTGAAGCCCTCCGCTCCTTTGGTGTCTGGGGAAGCAGAGCCCAGTGCATCGTGGGCCGGCGAGCTTAGCGAGTTCCTTCTCTGAACCTGCTGCTGTGGCCGTGGCGTTCCCACCACTTTAGCGTACGGATCCCAAGGAGATGAGGGGCGCGAGGGGGGGGGGGAGAACATCTGGGGAGAGGAGGGAGAGAAGGCCGAGAGGGGCGGGTTCTGGGGCCGCAGGAAGACATCGTCCAGAGCTGGCTGTTGATTGGATGGCATGGGGCTGTCCGGGGAATACATCTGCAGGAGATAACCGCAGTTATATTCATTATTCGTTCATAAGTCATTGTCCCTACAGAAAGTGTAAAAGTCGTTGCGAAGTGTGTAAAGATTTGAAACTGTCTCTGACCCTATAGCCCTGAGTTGAAGCCTGAGCTTGGGACCTCTTTAGTCCCTACATGCTAAAGAAGTAGGTCTGTGTTGTCGTCTCTGGGACACACTAGGTGGTTTTAAACTGCAGATAGTCAATGACCTGAATGTAACTTCAGGAGAACATTGACCACATGAGACACTGGGGACTCTGGCCAGGATCAAAGAGCTGTAAACGTCCCACAACATCTTTACAAGGGGGGACAGATGGAAATTAGGTGTGTAGCTAGGATCTGGTGCAGAAAACATCTGTCTTTGACATTAATGTTGGTCTGCACGGCCCCTTTCAAATAAAGAGTAAACTAAACCCCACTGAGAATACATGTGATTCAGACAGATTGCTCATGGGTAAGCACTTATTTACGACTGGAATGAAGGACAAAGCAGGACGTCCTACAAGGATATCTGGGGACTTTGGTTGTCCTGATAACTTAGGAATGGTCTCTCCTTCTCTGGACAGTCATACCGGAGACACGCCTCCGCAGAGCCGTTGTGAGCTGTGGAGCTGCTGCTGACGTTGTTGCATGAGCTGTTCGTTCTTCACTTGCTCCAGTTTCTGCGTGGCTTCGATCTTGGCCTGCTGTTTGCTCTTGTGTCGCATGAGCTGTAAACGCAGAAAAATGGTGAGGAGAAGGAGGAGGAAGAGGAGGGAGGGGAGAGAAGGAGGAGTGGGAGGAGCATAGGGAAGGACCACGCACACACATTTGGACAGGAGGGGCAAGGGAAGGTCCTGATAATATTGTGAGTGGACTCTTTGTGACGCTGAGGCCCTGTAGTTTGGCTCTCTCATTATAAGTGCTTTCAGGGTGACTTTAAATAAAATGCAAGTGTCATGTTATAAACATGGCACATGAAATGCACGCTGTAAGGTCTCTTACAGCGAGGGACCAGTGTATGAACCTATGAACCAAGATCACGGACTGGACCCAGGCTCAGAATTACTGTGGCATTTGAACACTTTCAGAGCTGAGGAAGCTGTAATGCCGCGTTCAGACCAGATCATGCGTCTGCTTTCAATGCAAAGTCAATGGTGACCTGCGTTCGAGCGTCACAACGCATGGACCGCTCAGTAGAGACGCACGGACTTGGCGGGAAAGTCAAAGGGGAGGAGCAGGAGCGGAAAATGGACACCCACAGGAGCTGGATTCTGCTCATCCTTTCCTTGGGACGTTCGTGCAGCGACCAATCAGAGAGCCGCAAAGTGGTCACGGGGACATTAGCGGACTGAGCGAGTAGACTGAAAATACTCGTAAACAGCCAAAACAGGACCCACACCAGGCTTCACCAGAACTCAAACCAGGGTTGACAATGGGGGACTGTGTGCTTGTGAATTAGGGTGTGACGATATATCGATATATCGCAATACTTTCTCCCGTGATTCGATTATTAAGTATCGATATCAATTTAATTTTTTTACAAATTATTTTTTTTAAATCGGTATCAATACTTAATATATAGCTACATTACAAATCTCCATTCCATTTATCATGAAATGAAGTGTATTTTCTCTTTTATTTATGCCATAAATTGGTATATTTCTGACCAATATATCGATAATCGTCATATCGTGATAAAATCCTTATCGTGATATCGTTATCGTGAGCTTTGTATCGTGAGGTACCCTTAGGTTCCCACCCCTATTGTGAATATATGCGTTGTCATGCTCCCATGACTTTATGCAACTGCTTTGAGTGTGTTCGCCGATGCGGAAACACCGTTTAATAATACAAAAAACGTATGGCGCACCTCCGTGAACACATACTACTGTTATATAAAGCCCGTGGAAGGTCTCTGAGCAAAGACACGCTGCAAAGCTGCATATTGGAGAAGATCTGTACACAAGAAGCCGCTTGCATAGCTCTGTTAGCATTAGAGCCGGCCGGCTACTTCCGGCGCTTCCGGGGCTGGTCAGGATGTTCTGGTGTGAAGTCCTCTGCGTCTGAAAACTAGAGAACGTGCATCTGGTGAGCGGGGCTTCAGCGTTTGAGCGTTTGCGGTCTGAATGCACCATAAGGCGGCTCATAGCTGCAGAAGGAACATGGGGGAGGGGTCGGGGTCTCTGTGTGCGTGGTCCTGTGGTTTGCATCCCAGAGTTGTATGGAGCGGTCACATGGTGAGGATGCTCTCTGTCCCTGATTCTGAGGATGGAGCATGCAGTGACATGCAGTAACCAGCAGGGGGAGAAACAGCACTGGGCCATTACATCCACAGGATCCACATATGCCTCCACAGTTGAGTAAATTTTAAGAGTTCTTCCATAAGATTCAGTTGTGTCTAGTTAAACAGCTCTTCTATCAGCTGTGTGTGTGTGTGTGAACATGCATATGGACCAGTGCTGCCTCTTCGTGGGGCCTGTATGGGTGCAGATGCGATCTAGCGGGGGCAGGGATGTCTCATTCTCTCACCTGATTCATCCTAAAAATTCTTAAAACTCATTGGAAAACAGTTCAAAGACAGACGCAGCAGCAGACAGCAACGCTGGGCCACGGTTTGTTTTTAAGAGTTCTGAGTCCAACGATCTGAGCTCCTCCAAATCGATTCAACCAATGATGTAAATAATGACACTTTAAACACACTGAAGAGACAATACTAGTGTGTTGTAGATAAACACTACTTCCTGCTCTCAGGTCTCCCTCTGGCCTCTCTCCCTCTGGCCTCTCTCCCTCTGGCCTCTCTCCCTCTGGCCTCTCTCCCTCTGGCCTCTCTCCCTCTGGCCTCTCTCCCTCTGGCCTCTCTCCCTCTGGCCTCTCTCCCTCTGGCCTCTCTCCCTCTGGCCTCTCTCCCTCTGGCCTCTCTCCCTCTGGCCTCTCTCCCTCTGGCCTCTCTCCCCTTCTCTCCGTCTGGCCTCTCTCCCCTTCTCTCCGTCTGGCCTCTCTCCCCTTCTCTCCGTCTGGCCTCTCTCCCCTTCTCTCCCCTTTTCTCCCTCTGGCCCCTCTGGCCTCTCTGCCCTTCTCTCTCTCTCTGGTCTCTCTCCCCTTCCCCCTCTCTGGTCTCTCTCCCCTTCCCCCTCTCTGGTCTCTCTCCCCTTCCCCCTATCTGGTCTCTCTCCCCTTCCCCCTATCTGGTCTCTCTCCCCCTGTCTGATCGTGTTTATCTGCTGGTTTAGGTGTACTTGTTTTGGTGTAATAGATGGCAACCACAGTGGAGCGGAGCAGGCTCCAGGGTGGCTGGAGTGCCTCTCCCGGTCTGCAGGTGGCGCTCAGGGCATTGGACACAGAAGTCTTCATGTGTGGAGGGCTTACCAGAGGCTCTGCTCCTGCTACAGACGCCTGGAAGGGACAATCTTTATGTGATGGTGTTTTTAGCCCGGAGCCCCATCTCTCATTTACCTCTCCCTTTTCAATGACAGTTAGAGACATTAGTGAGACCGCATGCACATCGTTAATATTCAAATGATCATGAGGAATGTGCAGAATATGCAAATGAGACACACACACTCCACACAACACGGCTGAGGATGGTGCTGAGCGACCAGGGGAAACCGACCACAGCCGAGCCAGTCCAAACAGACTGAGACAGGACTGAGACAGGACTGAGACAAGGACTGAGACAAGGACTGAGACAAGGACTGAGACAAGGACTGAGACAAGGACTGAGACAAGGACTGAGACAAGGACTGAGACAAGGACTGAGACAAGGACTGAGACAAGACAAGGACTAAGACAAGGACTAAGACAAGGACTAAGACAAGGACTAAGACAAGGACTAAGACAAGGACTAAGACAAGGACTGGGATAGGGCTGAACCAGCATTCAACTGAGACTTCCCTCTCCACACCACTCCTCTTGCTCCACAAGAGGTTCCTACTCGCCTGTATGATTGATCTTCTCCCCTTCTCTAAGGAAGCAGCAGCTGAAGCTTATGGCTATTTTTACCCAGATTACTGACATTGGAGTCTACCAGCATAATGTTAGCGTCTATTAGGGCTGGGCATTACGGCAAAAAGTAAAATCTTCATTTTATTTCCTGCTTTGGACGATTTTGATTTTAAATCGATTTTCATTAAAGTCACCAAAGACATACTTTATATGGAAGATTTTTTGTGTCAGATTTAGAATTTTTTTTAGCTTGAATTTTTCCATTTGAAATGTTTTACCCTGAAAAAGCATTTTTGAATATTTTTATCTTTGCATTTCAATCACTAAAAATTCAAGTTACAAATTTCAATGTGATCACCTTCAAAATATTCAATATATTTTTTTTCAATGAAAAAAAAATAGACGGATTATTTGTTCCATCAGAAATTGAATTTTAAATTGACCTGAATTCATCTATTTGAATGTTTTAAACATGTTGAATATTTTTTTCTGTGAATTTCAGTCACTGATTGTCAATTTCATAATGTTAAATTCAACGAGAAAAAATTCAAAGGTGAAAAATGCACATGACACATCCGGTGTTCTGACCAGTTGCTGTCAATATTAAAACATGCTTTTTCAGGGTTAAAAATTTCAAACGGAAAAATTCAAGCTAAAAAAAATTCAAAATCTGATGACACAAAAAATCTTCCATAACTTTACCCTTAATTTTTTGTTTTGACCTTTCCACTAAATATTCAAGTTTAAAAACTATTTTTAATTTGTTTCCCCCAATATGTATTATAAAAGTATTTTACAGACTGCTGATATTGCAAGTATTATTTTTCAAAAAACGATTAATTGCCTACATTTGATTTATTGCCCAGCCCTAGAATCTATGTGTAACAAGACAAAGCCCTGACTAAAACCGGACTAAAGCAGGACTAAAGCAAACCGGTCAGTTTCCCTTGCGTCTCAAACACGGATGTCTTGGTGACAGTTAAAATGGCCGCCTCTGATCGAACAGCTAAGATTTCTCTCACCTGCCGCAGCTTCCATTCCTGCTCCTGCTCGGTCTCGCGGGGTCGGTCCCTAAAGGCCGGATCAGTCTCCATGGCAACGGGATCATAGCTTGCTGGAGGGGGCGGGACCAGGCGTTTGAGTGGGTCAGGAGGGAGCTGCACTTTGTGGATCCTCTGAGCTGCTCGATTATCTCGAGCCTTTTGCTGAAATTCGATAAAAACATGAACTTCATGTGACATGACCTTCACCTTTTGTGTCTGTTGGTGTGTGAGTCTGCGTGTGTACATGTCTGTGTACATGTGTGTGTAGTTGGGGCTGACCACAAAGGGGGCTCGGTCTTGGGAGCTGGCCTTCCTCCACTGTTTGGCGATCTGCTTCATCCTGGACGGCCAGTCTGCAAACACAGACGAGATGAAAGCTTCTCAAAGTGTGGTCCTGAGAATCCTGAATCCCCCTAACATCCGGCCCCTTTGTGACCTTCAGAACCATGGAGATCTATGGGGATGTGCTGGAGGACCTGGTTTTGCCCATTTCAAACTTGCAGGTTTCAATTCATAAAGAAGTAGGGGCCCTTTACGGAACAAGTCTGAACCCCAATAAAAGACCCAAACCTGTGGATCTTTTATTGGGGGGTTTGGGTTACCTGGATACTGCTCCTTCAGCTGGGGGAACTTGACGTTGACATACAGGACTGGGGCAACTGTGGCCAGTTCTCCCAGAGGTTCTTCTTTCTCCCACTTCAACATCCCCCTCTGAGCCGTGGACAAGACATCCTGCTCCTCCGCTGGAGACTGCGTTTGATTGGACGACTGCAGGGCGTGGGTGGGGCCTGGAGGGAGAGGGGTGTGGCCTGAGTGAGGGGGAGGAGCCATCCTGAAGTGAGGCGTGGCCTGAGGGCCCAGCGGCAGCGTGGGAGCTGAGAAGTGGGCGGAGCTCATGAGACCATTGACCAGAGGGAGGCGCTGTTCACCTGGACACACAACAGTTTTAAAGGAGCAATATGTAATATTTGCATGTCAAGTCATCATTGAATGACCCGAATATTTCAAAAGGCGTTATTAAATCATACTCTTTTCGAATTCATCTTTAACTGATAACAGTAGTTCAGCCGAGATATTTGATTATCAAAATTAGTTTTACGACCCGTAAAAGTTGTTATTGTTTTGATTTTGATGTCCTACCCTCCGCCGTTTCGCCAATCAGGAAGTGTTATGTAAGTCCGTGATCGGGTTGCCAGAACTCCGCGCGGCTCATTAATCTCAGTGGTAAAATAACATGTGGCGCAGAACTAAAAAAGGTCTTGTTATGACTCTCAAATCATTAATGACAAAAGAAAGACTAAAACGAGGATTTATATCGGGATGCCTTTGAACAATTGAGACAGCTGATAAAAGTTCACGTGTGATGCAGAATTTTCTAGCTTGAGTCCGTTCTTCACAGTGTCTCATTTGTGTGAATCGGTGGTCTAGTGGTCTAAGCTGTGCGCTTACGATGCAGGAACCCGGGTTCGATCCCGGGCTATGTCTTTTTGTATTTATTGCATGTTATCACATTCTATGACAGATTGCTCTAAAAACGGTGAAGATGAAGGTCAAGACGTTTTTTTTGCAGATTATAGCTTAATTGTAAAAATAATCATTTAAGACCACATGTATCCCAATTCAAATAATGTTAGTCTCTTTTTGATGTGGGACTTTTACATGTTTATCTAAAAAATAGGGAATAAATAGAATTGAAAGGTGATATCCTCTTGAGCAAACCCTGATGTTGATACACTGAAGAAATACGTTCCAACATCCATTCTTCCCACTCCTATTTTGGACATCAATTGCTTATTTATTTTGCATAAACTATGTATAATTACATTGCTTTTATTTTGTTTTTGTTTTTTATCTCAAATGTCCAAATAATAATAATAATAAAAACATTAATCAAAACATTCATTCAGCATTAGCACGGCTGTCATGGCAATGTGAATGGAGACGGACAAACAACTGATAACATAATTCCCTGTGTTTGCTGCTGGATTTGGTGTGAATCTGGCAACCTGAGTCAGGGAGAGTGGGAGAGGACTACAAAATATTGACTGTGACTGCAGTACCACTTTTGGCCAGATTTTTACATATTGCTCCTTTAAGTTAGGGTATGTAACTTAAGTCTAAATAACACATGTTTAAAGCTGGGTACACAACAACAGGGTGCCTTTGTTTGAGTAAACATGTCATCTTTTAAATACGTGTAAGAAAGAGCCCGGTGAGTCACTATTTTCCTCTTTGGGCTCAGGGCTGATGTAGTTACCTGAAGCACGGGGGAGGGGCTTGCCGCTGCTCGAAGCCTCTGATTGGCTGTGATTCGGACTGAGAACAGCAGTGAACAGCTCCTCCACGTCTTTTCCCTCAAGCTCTGAGGGGGGAAAAAAACATCCATTAGACTCACACATGAGCAATCAGTGCAGACTAAAGCTGAAACGTGGACACGCACCAGGAATCTTGTAGAGTTTACTGAGGATGGCACCTGCACAGAGACCAGGATGAGACCAAGGTTAGAGTCAACATGACAGTTCCAACCTGCTCTTTGACTCTTTGTGAGGTCAGAGAGTGGGCAGAGCAAAATTGATCTCACCGTCTGTCACCATCTTGTCCAGTTCTGGGCTGAGGATGGCGTCCAGAGGCTCCTCCTGTCCTGACCGCTGTGTCTTGCAGGAGGCCACAGACCCAGAGGGGAGAACGGCTGAGCATACAAGAGGAGTAGTGAGAGGAGGAAGAGGACTCAAGGAGAGTGAGGAGAAAGAGCTGGAGACAAGAGGAGTAAGAAGAGGAAACGATAGGAATGAGAGGAGGAAGAAGAGTGAGAGGAGAAACCGAAGGAAAGAGTGAAAGAAGGAGAGGAGGGGAGTGAGAGCAGAAATAGGAGGAGACAAGACTGCAGGAAGGACAGAGAAGACTAAACCGGAGGTCAGAAGGTGTGTCCAAATTCTTAGGCAGCGTCCACAGTTTTGTGACGTCACTTCCGCCTGGGTCTGGGGGCACGAGGGCAGGTGTCCAAATTCACTTTTGGTTTCACCGTCTACCCCACTTTGTGCCTCATTGTGGGTCTTAGGGTACCTTCCTTCAGAGCACCAGAGGAGGGACACTGCCTATAAATTTGGACACACCTAGAGTGTGGAGGTCAGAGGTCTTTGAGATTGACCGAGAGTCTAAAGGTCACAGTGAGGTCAAATAAAATCCACTGGCACAGAGTCATGTCACGTTCATTAAAGCTGGGGTATGTAACTTTAGTCTAATTTCTAGTTCGTCCAACAGAAAGTCTTGGGCCAATAATACAGGTGAGTTCTGAAAGTTATGTACCCCAGCTTTAAAGTTAGCAGTATGATAATCTCATTAAGCAGGGCATGAGCCACATGTCTGAACAGTTTGGTGTTGTTAGGACACATCCATATATGAGGAGTGAACTGAACTGTGGTGGTACCTGTGTGATGTGGTGGTACCTGTGTGATGTGGTGGTACCTGTGTGATGTGGTGGTACCTGTGTGATGAGGTGGTACCTGTGTGATGTGGTGGTACCTGTGTGATGTGGTGGTACCTGTGTGATGAGGTGGTACCTGTGTGATGAGGTGGTACCTGTGTGATGAGGTGGGACCTGTGTGATGAGGTGGGACCTGTGTGATGAGGTGGGACCTGTGCGATGTGGTGGTACCCGTGTGATGAGGTGGGACCTGTGCGATGTGGTGGTACCCGTGTGATGAGGTGGGACCTGTGTGATGTGGTGGGACCTGTGTGATGAGGTGGTACCTGTAGGTCCCATGATGTGTGGCTCTGTGAGAACATCAGACAGATCCAGCATCTCCTCTGACACAGCTGAATGTGGTAAAACAAACACCAATGCATGAGATGAACCAGGATGCACTACAGCTGACACACAGAGCTGAGACTTACGCTTCTGGAGTGCACGGCCCAACGGCACGGGGACGGAGCCTTTCGTAGATACGGTTCCTGATTGGCTGAGACCTGCCGCCTCCTGTCCTGTCCTCCTGTCAATTAGACGGCTTCGGTCCAGAAGATCACGGCCAAAGAACGCCTCCTGGAGACCGAAATTAGAGCTGATTCACACAGGCTCAGCATACAGCTGACACACACAGACTGATTAGAGCTAACTCAGACCTGTAGATAAGAAGGGAAGGTCTCCTCAAGCTTGGTCCTCTTCTTCCTGTATCTCTTTTTCACTTTGTCGTTATTGGGGTCTGTGGGTGTGTCCACCAGGTCTCCGTCTGTAGTAATCCGATTACTTCATGAGGCTTAGATTAATTAATCAATTACTATTTCAGAAACTAACTAGTGATGACGCACACGGTGATGCATCTTAGGGCTGACACACACTCAAACACACACACAATCAGTGTTATTTATGAGAGTAGAGTTTAACCCTGTGTATGAGAGCAAAGTGACATCCCCCAGGTTTAACCCTGTGTATGAGGTTTAAGTTACATGTCCCAGCTTTAACCATGTGAGCCATAGGTGCTGTTACCGTCGTCTCGTCCTGGGTACACGTCTGTGGAGTCGCTTCGACATAGTTTGATTCTGCTCGGACCTTTACCTCCGCGCTGGCGAACCATGAAGCCTCCGATCCCTGAGAGAGAGAGACAGGTCAGAGTGTGTGTGTGAGATTGAGAAAGAGAGACAGTTCCGATTGTGTATATGGGTCTGTGACTGAGTTACCAGGTCTGTAAGGCTTCCTCTTCCTCTTCTTCTCTTCTGTAGTCTCTTTGAGACCATAACCTCCAAGATTCAGATCTCGCTCTGGACTCGAGTCGGACTTCATCTCACAGTCCAGATCTGCTGCACAAAAAAAGCTTTTATTTCTGTCCAGACAGCAGTCCTGTCCCAGACAGCATTCTTGTTCTGCTCGTCTCACCTCGGGGGGGCTCGGGCTCTGTGGGGGTCTCTGGGGTCTGCAGCACTGAAACACTGTTCTGGTTGATTATCCGCAACTTCAGTTTTGGCTTGTTCCTGAAAAGTAAAATGTGACATGTGTGGGCAATAAAGACAAGCACCATGTGACCTGTGGGGACAATTTGGACCTGCACTATGTGACTGGTGTGGGCAATATAGACCAGCACCATGCGACCTGTGTGGACAATATAGACCTGCACCATGTGACCTGTGTGGGTTATATAGACAGGCTCCATGTGACCTTTTTTGAACTCTTGGAATTACATGCGCTAAAGCTTCACTTTCAGTTTGATTTATCAAAAAAATTTAATGAAAAAAAAAATAGTTCCTTATAAACAGCTAGACAGATGGAGGTGTGTTCAAGAGGGTCACCCCATCCCAAGTAAGATCAGCTCTGCATGAAAGTGAGTCCGGGGACTGCCCCCCTCACTGAAAAAATTTGACTTGTGAGAGACCGTGTGGGCCAAAAGTGTCCAAACCCTCTGGGACTGACCTGCGGTAGCGGCGTGGTGAGGTCAGCGGCTCCACTAGAGCCTGAAGATGCGACAGACCGGACTCTGTCAGACACACACCGTCCTGAGTGTAGGTCTTCAGCTCTGCACAACAACACAACATCGGACTGTGATACAACTACACAACACAATGTGATAAACATGATTCTGAAGTTGCTCAGAACTAATTCTGAAGTCTTCAGTAGAACTTTATACAGTCGGCCATGTTGAGACAACGCGCAAGAAGAGGGTAACAAAGAGGCGGGGGCGAACACACTAACACAGCAAAGAGAAGGCAAACAAGCCTGTGGTAGTAGTAAGTAGTAGTAAGTAATCTTTATTTATATACCGCCTTTTCACTGCACATCGGAGTCTCAAAGCGGTTTACAATTGTGATTTTTGGGAGTGGGGGTGCCAGTACAGGAGGCACATGCCAGACCTATTGTACATATTTTAGTGGTAGGGGAAACCGGAGCACCCGGAGGAAACCTACGCAGACACGGGGAGAACATGCAAACTCCACTCAGAAAGGCCCTGGTCCAACCGGGATTCGAACCCAGGACCTTCTTGCTAAGAGGCGAGAGTGCTATCCACTCAGCCACCGTGCCACCGTGCAGTGAAATATACACGTTGTGTCAATATATCTTGTCTTCCTGAAGATGTGAGACAGGCCTCCTCTCTGACAATGTTAAAAACCAGGTTAAAAACAGTTCTGTTTAGCTGTGCATACAACTGAGGGATTTTATGTTTTTATCTTTCTTTTTAATGTCCTGTGATTATTTATGATTTTAATGCTATCTTGTTCAGCACTTTGAGTTGCCTTCTGTATGAATTGTGCTATACAAATAAACTTGCCTTGCCAATATATACATTATGTCAAAATTCACGACGAGTTTTCAAATATTGAGAAATATCATAAATATTGAGATATTGCCCACCCCTTGTCAAGTCACAGTTGTGGCACTGACCTGGCTCTCTGCACCTGGAGATGATCTGGGCCATGTACGGAGAGTCCAGGCTATCAGAGCGGGCTGCAGAAACGGGGATATGAGATTTAGTAGGGAGAGGGGTACCTTTAGGCCTGTGCTTCTACAGAGATCTCACCATATGTGGTCTTGCCGTGGTTCTTACAGAGCGAACAGTCAAAGCCCTCATCAGCTGCAGCCTCCACCTCCTCCTCACACATAAGACCATGACACAGGGCATGGACCCATCTGCACAAACACCAGGGTTACCTTCGATCGAGTGTCAGAAAGAGCCCTGAGAGACACTGACTGACTCTTTGGCTAAGAGCTGATTGGCTTAGTGAGGGTGGTCTTCTCTTTTTCACTTTGTAAAAGTTGATCTAAAGATGTGACAGGTGTAGTCTGAAGACCTGTTCTCATCTTTTGTCCCTGCAGTCGTTTTCCCTTGTCCCATCGACAGTTGTTTTCTGAGCATTTCTTGCAACTGTGATTTGGAGCTGTGATCGCCTAAAACAGGAGAGGCTGAAACTTCTAACAGGCCGCATCAATAGTTCAATCAGAGACTATAATTAAATGAATAAATTATAAATACTATTTCTTGAGCTAATAAATACTATTTCTTGAGCTAATAAATACTATTTCTTGAGCTAATTTTCTGCTCATACTGCAAGTATGAAAGACTGATCTTTCTCTGTTCTCTCCTTCTGGTCGGTCCCTCACCGGTCACACTGCTGGCACTGCAGAATCAGGTCTTCCTGGGAATACCCTCTCTGACACAGGGGACAGTGGCTCAGGCTACTGCATGGGCCACATAGGCTGTAGTTATTCATCCAATCACAGTGAAGACCAGGAGAGCCAGATCCACACTGGACACACCACACACACCTGTAGAAACACGACAGCGTTACACACAAACACACACAACACAACGGCAATCCTCCTCTATCTCCCTCCCCTCTCTACCCTATCTTCCCTATATACACTCTCCTTCCTATCCACTCCCTCCCTCCCTACCTCCCTTCCTCACCATCGGCACTTCCATGCCCCTTTGGGCACGGTGAGCAGGGGTGGGTCAAGGCAGTATGTGTGAAAGCTGATGTCACAGTCGTCACACAGCAGCAGGCGTCCCGGGTCGCTGGCCTGGCCACATGCCTCACACACAGTGCACTCCAGACAGCGCCACCCTTTGGTCAGGATCACACGGGTCACCTGTGAGAGAGGTAGAGCTGAGCTCACATGAACCCATATGACCCAGAGGGGTGAGGGGAGCACTGACCTTCACATTGACGCAAAATGGGTGATAACACTGTCCACACTGAGCACAGGCCAACAGACGGCCCTCCTTCCCCTGACCAAAGCTGCCACAGACCACACACATGTCCTGCAGAGAAGAACAGGCGTTAAACACTGGTGGGGTCTGGGTCTCGACAAACAACACTGAACACAGAAGGGGGGCTGGGTCACCTGTTTGAGGGTGAAGTGGTCCGAGGTGGAGAACATGACCACAGTGTTGTGCATGGAGCTGTCCTCCTCATCTCTGATCTGGAACGACTCCATGTAACCACCCTGAAACACACAAACAAGCTTTAAAACGAACTCCTGCATCCAGAGACAACAAGGCTAAATATTGGTTGTTTTTACCAGACTGTATACAGATCAACAATGCTAAGCCCAAATCAAGAAATGCTCATGGATAAGTTTGGCTCAATCTCTCTCTGGCTCCTTTTGAATAACATGTAAAAATAAACTCCTCTAGCTCAGTAACCGTTTGTGTCACACTCACCATTTAAATCCATAGTTTAGTGCTCTTTGTGATCCTGGTGTATATATTGTGATATTGCCTTTGTAAGATATGAGCCATTTAAGGATTGACCAATCAGGAGCCATTTTCACAGGGGAAACTCCAGCTTACAGTAGCAACCATCTTAGCTTCACGTCATAACAGGGGCAGACGTATTGCTAACGTCGTCAGAACAAATACCCATATATGGAAATTGGCCAGCATTAAAGCCAATACTATGGTGATAATAATAATAATAATAAATTTTATTTATAATGCACTTTATATTTGACACCAAATCTCAAAGTGCTACAAACAGGAGCATAAATAAAACACATAAAATCAGATAAAAGACTATAAAAGAATTAGCAGTACGCTTTAGTAGAAAGATGGGTTTTGAGTCCCTTTTTAAAAGCTTCCACCGTCTGTGGGGCCCTGAGGTGGTCTGGGAGGGCGTTCCACAGACGGGGAGCAGCAGCCTCGAAGGCCCGGTCCCCCATTGGTTACACTTGCAGTCCAGTCTTAATACAGTCTATGGTTCCCACTTGAGTACAACCTGGAGATGATCCTCCAGGTCCTAGAGGCTCTTGGGAGGTGCGCAGCACTTACTCCAGGGGAAACGCTCAGGCTGTCCTGAGTCTTCAGACGGCTCCGACCTCGTCCTCCTCTCGACCCAATGCCTCCTCCTCTGGACCTCCTGCGGCCTGGAAACCCCGAGCCCCGGCCCTGAGCACATAACACCATAACTGCCATTACGTGCAGCTCTTCTGTCAGCTTCAAACGTGTCCAGTTAGAACAGCTCTTCTGTCTGCTTTCCTTCTGTCATGTCCAGTTCGAACAGTTCTATCAGCCACAGAGTGTAGAGTGTTCTCACCGTCTTGGCACCCCACAGAGGCGAGTCCTGGGACCGTGGTTTCGGACTCTCCCAGCCGTCGTTTGAGTCCTGGGAGGAGGAAGGCGGGCTGACTGCTCTCCGGCTGCTCCACCAAGAACACTGAGCACGAGAGCAGATGTTAGTGACCCTTCAGTGACCAAAGCGAGACCATAGAGGGAGACCAGAGGGGGACCAGAGAGAGACCAGGAGAGACCATACGGATTAAAAAACGTATCCACAGCTACCACCCACAGCAGGTGTGTCTGCCTCAAGGCAGCTGTGGCCTCAGTCGTACCTGCCGTGCACGTGCTCGCCCAGGGGAGAACTTCCTCTTGGTGATGGCGGGTTTGCCCATGCCAATCTTAGGGGTGAGAGGAATGACAGTGGGGGCGACCTGAGGAGGGGACCACACGTTACACTCACTAAATGTAAGTGTGTGTCATTGACTGTTCTCTTATCATATTTTCCTGTGAAATTGTTTTTGTATCTTGTGCATGTTAACAAATAGAGTGACTAGAGACATTTATTACAGAATTTTATTGTAGTCTGAAAGTTACGTACACCAGCTTTAGTTTCAAACAAACATTGATGGGACTCACCAGGGTCATGGGCGGGCTCTCAGAGGACCGTCGAAAGGGAGGGGTCATCGGGGACAGGGGGGTGGGAGAGTTTTCGGGGGAGGCTTCAGCAGAGAAGGGGGAATGTCTAAGGCGTGTTGTGAGGTCATGTTCGGGTCGACAGCCCGAGTGCAGTGTACGCAGAGCTGAGCAGCCCTTTCCCCTCCGAGGCTCTGGCAGCACAGGGCCCGACAGAGCAGAAGACATCAGCTCCATCACCTCCAGGTCCAGACCCGCATCCAGGTCCAAGACCGGACTCACGGGATCCTCCGGTTCCGAGTCTGAGCCCTCTTTGTACGACTGCTCCTGTATAAGACATAACATAAGGGATCAGTCAATCAATCGGTTGGACGCAGTTAGAACAAGGCTCACCTCTGGGTCCCGGGACTCCTCACACGTCTGGGGGTCCTCCATATTGTCTTCAGCATCCTGGTTCTCCGCGGCCTCTGACTGGTCAACTGCAGCTTTCTCCCCCACCTCCTCTTCCAACAAAACCGCTCTTGACTGATTGACCGTTTCCTCCACGTTTTCTCTGTGCTGTTGAATCAATTCTGCCTCTTCCTGCTCGTTTCCTGGCCTTTTCGCTGCGATCAAACTCTTTGTTTTGTCCCCTCCCTCAGACCGGTCCAAGCTCTTGGTCGCCTCCATATGGTCTTCCTTAAGGCCAGGGATCTCCTCAGCACCCAGCTGGTCTCCGGCACAGACCTCAGCCCCCAGCTGGTCTCCGGCACAGACCTCAGCACCCAGCTGGTCTCCGGCACAGACCTCAGCACCCAGCTGGTCTCCGGCACAGACCTCAGCACAGACCTCAGCACCCAGCTGGTCTCCGGCACAGACCTCAGCACCCAGCTGGTCTCCGGCACAGACCTCAGCACCCAGCTGGTCTCCGGCAGAGACCTCAGTCTCGATCTGGTCTCCGGCAGAGACCTCAGTCTCGATCTGGTCTCCGGCAGAGACCTCAGTCTCGATCTGGTCTCCGGCAGAGACCTCAGTCTCGATCTGGTCTCCGGCAGAGACCTCAGTCTCGATCTGGTCTCCGGCAGAGACCTCAGTCTCGATCTGGTCTCCGGCAGAGACCTCAGTCTCGATCTGGTCTCCGGCAGAGAGCTCAGTCTCTTTCTGGTCTCCGGCAGAGACCTCAGTCTCTTTCTGGTCTCCAGCAGAGACCCCAGTCCTCAAATGGCCTTCTGCAGAGACCTCAGTCCTCATCTGGTCTCCGGCACACGCCTCTGTCCCCATCTGATCTCCAGCGGAGACCTCAGTTCCAATCTGGTCTCCAGCAGAGACCTCAGTTCCAATCTGGTCTCCAGCAGAGACCTCAGTTCCAATCTGGTCTCCAGCAGAGACCTCTGTACTCATCTGGTCTCCAGCAGAGACCTCAGTTCCCATCTGGTCTCCAGCAGAGACCTCAGTTCCCATCTGGTCTCCAGCAGAGACCTCAGTTCCCATCTGGTCTCCAGCAGAGACCTCTGTACTCATCTGGTCTCCAGCAGAGACCTCAGTCCTCATCTGGTCTCCAGCAGAGTACTCAGTCCTCATCTGGTCTCCAGCAGAGACCTCAGTCCTCATCTGGTCTCCAGCAGAGACCTCAGTCCTCATCTGGTCTCCAGCACACGACTCTGCTGAAGACCAGCTGAGTACAGAGACCTCAGTTCTTATCTGGTCTTCAGCAGAGACCTCAGTTCTTATCTGGTCTCCAGCAGAGACCTCAGTCCTCATCTGGTCTCCGGCACACGACTCTGCTGAAGACCAGCTGAGTACAGAGACCTCAGTTCTTATCTGGTCTTCAGCAGAGACCTCAGTTCTTATCTGGTCTTCAGCAGAGACCTCAGTTCTTATCTGGTCTTCAGCAGAGACCTCAGTTCTTATCTGGTCTTCAGCAGAGACCTCAGTTCTTATCTGGTCTTCAGCAGAGACCTCAGTTCTTATCTGGTCTTCAGCAGAGACCTCAGTCCTCATCTGGTCTCCAGCAGAGACCTCAGTCCTCATCTGGTCTCCAGCAGAGACCTCAGTCCTCATCTGGTCTCCAGCAGAGACCTCAGTCCTCATCTGGTCTCCAGCAGAGACCTCAGTCCTCATCTGGTCTCCAGCAGAGACCTCAGTCCTCATCTGGTCTCCAGCAGAGACCTCAGTCCTCATCTGGTCTCCAGCAGAGACCTCAGTCCTCATCTGGTCTCCAGCAGAAACCTCAGTCTCCATCTGGTCTCCAGCACAGGTCTCCTCAACAGCCGAACCAAATAACGACCTTTCTTGCGTCTTTTGGTGATCCACCATATTTTTCTCCATGGCCTCCGATTGGTCGACTACACTAGTCTCAGTTCTCATCTGGTCTCCAGCACAAACCTCAGTCTCTTTGGACCACACAAACTGTTGCTGCAACATTTCCTCTTGAATTCTAAGGACCTCTTCACATTGAATTATCTCAAACTCTGCTTCTAAACCGCTTTCGTCAGACTCGTTGCCTCGGTCGCCACCCCGGTCGCCGGCCATTATTGGTACCACTTTGGTTTCTATTGCATTCTCACTCACCATTTCTGTATCTTCCAAAGTCTTTAACTGGTCGTCTCCAGAGGCCTGCACTGTAAACAAGCTCTGTGATTGGTCGGTTGAACAGGAATTGTCAGAATCTTTTAAAAGCTTGTCTTCCTGAGTGGTCATTTCAAAATCGCGATTGCTGAACTCGTTTTCAGTGGCTTTTTCCAAATTTTCCTTCTTGCTGATGGCTTTCTGATTGGGCTCTCCTTGGTCTCTCTCATTGGAGTACTGGACTTCTGGGTCTGCCGCATAAGAGGATTGGACTTCTGGGTCTCCCACATTGGAGGATTGGACTTCTGGGTCTCCCACATTGGAGGATTGGACTTTATGGTTTAGAGGCTTTTCGAGTTGGTCAGTGGATCCTGTCTCTTCTTGTTGAAGGCACGTGATTGGCTGCGAATCATGATTGCTGGGTTCTTCTTCCTGGGTCAGGGTGATATGTTGTTGGGTTTGTGTTCGCAAGTAGGGGCCGCCTGAAGAACATGTTCTGCAGGGCCATGATGGGGCAGGAGATGAGACAGAGGACGGTGAGGCGAGTGGGGGAGACACAGAGTGGGGGGTTGGCCGAGCTGGCGACAACACTCCTCCTGCAAAAACAAGAAAACATTACTAAAGTAAAAATTTACAGAGAGCAAGAACCAAGAGAGAGACCAGAGAGAAACTAGAAAGGGAGACCAGAGAGTGTGGTAGACTGTGTGGCACATACAGTGCCTCTCGATTATTCATTCTGTATAATGTGTTGCACTGTAGGGAAAAGCTCAACCAGGGACAGGAGTTGAAAATTAGCATTAGCTATACACTCTGTATGTGTCGCATCAGCTGCATTTTCATAATGTAACTATGTATGACTACATTGTCCCTGTCAAATAAATGAATAAATAAATAAATCGAAAGTACTAACATAGCTGTAAGTGAAAAGTTTGTCCTGCAGAAGTATTCATACAGCTTTTTTCTGAGTGCATTAAAACATTTGTAATAACTCTATTGGTCACTAAACAGCATCCCGAGGCCAAAGAATCCACCAGAGAGATCAGGAATAACGTTGTTGAGAGGTTTAAAGTAGCATTAAGATATACCAAGATTTCTCAGGATTTGAACGTCTCACGAAGCACTGTTCAATCCATTATTTACAAATGGAAAGATAATGGCACCACTGGGAACACAAGACACAGTCGTCCAACTAAACTAACAGATTGAGGAGGGCACTGCTCATCGCACCATCCCCCCCAGGGTCAAATATGGCGGGGGGAGGATCTTGCTATGTAGCTGCTTCTCTTCTACAGGGGACTGGTAAGATTGTAAGAAAAAGCTGGAAATGGATGGAGCCAAAAAAATGTCCACATTTGGGTGGAAAGGCTGCTGAAGTCGGCAAGAAAATTGAGACTTGAGAAGAGAGCAGGGAAAGATAAATCTACAATTGTTTAACTCGTTGTGTGCCATTGACGCCCTAATACGTCAAAGCAAATAGTAACGTTGTGTGCCACTGACACATTAATACGTCAATTGCGTTTTCCGCTATTTTCCTGTTCCCAGATGTCTATTGTATCTAATATGTACGGGGATTAGCTTTAGAGCATATTTTATCGAGCCAGCAGGTGGCACCTGCGCTGCCTCTGGATGTTTTGAATACGGCTAGATGCACTTGTTGTACCTCTTTTTTTCTCCGCTTTTTGTCTGAGACTGGTGATTTCAGTAAAACTTCCCTCTACTCAACTGGGGATTACAGGGGAACCAAAAACGCTAGAAACAAAATTATTTTTGAGAATTTTTCAGAATCTGGTTTTGGATAGTCATTGTACACAATATTCTGTGCATCTTGAAAAATAAATAAAAATCATCAGAAACTGCTGGCAATATGGGAGAACCTGTTCTGAAATAGGCTGGCATGCAATGAGTTAATGAAGAGGAATGTGAGGAGTCATTAGATGTGCAAACCTTGTACAGTCCATACCCCAGCAGCAAATGGGGGTTCCCCAAAGTATTAGTGCAAACCCAACTTTTCGATTTTATATTTTTTGAAAATCAACAATCATGTATGTTTCATGAATTTTCAAAAAACATGCTTTCACTTCACAGTTGTCCATTACTTGAGTGCGAACACAATGTACAACAGTTCAAACTGTATCAATACTTACTCAAGGCATTGTATACAGCACAACTGTAAATGTACCAGACAGAATCAAAGGCTTTGGGGGTGCGTACCTGAACTGTGAGGGCTAAGGTCTTCTGCAGTGGTCTTTTCTTCACTTGGACCAGCTTCCTCTAGACACCCCTGGTTTTTCTCCTCCTCTAGCTGGTCTGTCATGTGTAGACCAAGTTCCTCTTGTTCTGTCTGTAGAAAGTCTATGGACTCCTCTGCTCCCTCCTGCCTCTGAAGAACGATGTGCTCCTCTTGATCGGGTTCAGTCTTTAGGTGTTCAATACACTCATCAACTTTTCCATCTACAGAAAACTTCTCACAAGATTGCCCCGGTGTTCCAGCAGTCCTTTGGATGTTCATCGCCTCGTCCGAATAATCTGCTTTTGCGTGCGTGGTGTCCTCACTTGTCTCAACAACCTCTGGTGTTCTGTCAGTGCTTTGAGAGTCATTCATGTCTATTGTATTTCCCGAACTCTTGGATCTCTTAGAGAGCTCTATATCTAGTCCCTCTGAAGTTCTGTCAGTCCTTTGAGAGTCAATTTTCTCTGGTAAATGTTCCAAACTCTCCTCACTCCCCTCTGCTAACTCCTCGTCATTTTGCTCTGGGTTTCTATTTGTTTTATCTTCTCCCATTTCTTCCAAATCTTCTGCTGTGTATGAGCACTCCTCGGTTCTCTGGGAAGGCTCTTCTGCTGTGTGTGAGCTCTCCTCAGATCTATGAGAAAGCTCTTCTGCTGTGTGTGAGCTCTTCTCGGTTTTCTGAGAAAGCTCTTCTGCTGTGTGTGAGCTCTTCTCGGTTTTCTGAGAAAGCTCTTCTGCTGTGTGTGAACTCTCCTCAGTTCTCTGAAAAAACTCTTCTGTGAGTAAGCTCTCAAGTCTATCCTCACAGCTCGCTAAAGACTCGTCATGATCCTGATTTTTGAGCACACACCTCTCTTCCACGTGGACAGCTTCCAAGTCGATATGTGAGGATAAAGCTGCCTCCTCAGGCTCCTCCACCTCCTCAGGCTCCTCCACCTCCTCAGGCTCCTCCACCTCCTCAGGCTCCTCCACCTCCTCAGGCTCCTCCACCTCCTCAGGCTTCTCCACCTCCTCAGGCTTCTCCACCTCCTCAGGCTTCTCCACCTCCTCAGGCTTCTCCACCTCCTCAGGCTTCTCCACCTCCTCAGGCTTCTCCACCTCCTCAGGCTTCTCCACCTCCTCAGGCTTCTCCACCTCCTCAGGCTTCTCCACCTCCTCAGGCTTCTCCACGTCCATAGGCTCCTCCACGTCCATAGGCTCCTCTATCTCCATCTTCTTAGGCTCCTCCACCTCCTTAAGCTCCTCCAACTCTTTTGACTCCTCCATCTCCATGGGATCCTCCAATTCCTTCTCCGTCAGATACTCCACCACATCATCTGGAAAGAACAGATAACAGTCATGAATTCTGATCACAACTTTGAAAAGTTTGAAGTTTGAATCTTGAACCTCAAACAAGACAGACACTGGTACTGTGTAGGAGTAAAGTAATCCAAGGGCACTACTGGATCAGCTTCGATCTGAGATTAGTACAAACTTTACATTTTCCAACTCACCTGATGTGGAAGTAGCCTCAAGATCCAATCCCTCATCAACAAGAGGAAGTCCATCCTCTGGAGTTTTGATGGAAATGGGATCAGCACCATTATCTGCTTCGACGGCTGTGCTAACTGACGAATGACCTAGGCTAGCCGCAACAGAGGAGCTAGCTTTAGATCTGGAGAGCGAAGGGATGGGTGAGACCTGCTGTGGATATTGAGGAGGGATGGGTTCATGTTGAAGGGAGGATAGGTGGCTCATGACAGGACTAATGTTTGCTTCCTCATCAAATACATTCTCACAAGGGCTTGGAGGCGTCGGACTACGAGCAGATTTGTCTTGAGGGGGGGGAGAGGGGGGTGGACTAGCTGGACAAGATACATAACTGGGAGAACGATTGTGAGATAATAGCGTTGTAGAGAAAGGGCTAGCGGGTCTCTGCGGGCTAAGGTCCAGGTTAGAAACGTATGGAAGCGACTTGGAGGATGTGGTTTGAAGACTTGCGGAAGTGGAAATGTTGGCGTTGAGAGTTGAAACGGACGCTTCAGGATTAAGGCTCAGGGTAGCGTCCGTCTCAGCACCAGGACTTTTGAACAAGAAATTTTGGTCTGGGTGAGGGGAGTGCGGATCAGTAGCATGTGTGGGGCCTTCGTAAAACCTAACAGGACTAGCGAGACCAGCAGGACTAGACCTTGGCGGACTATGGACTGTGTCAGCTGCACTTTGAGAAATGCCATCAGGGATTACTTCTGGCAATTTACAGTGTGGAGGACTAAAGCTAGCTGGTGTTGGCTCTGGGCTTGTAGGGGCCTCTAAACAGCTTTGAGTTGCATCTGAAGGCTTGGCTAAAAATGGCAAATCTGTTGTCTGGGTTAAGCTGCTGGGAATGCTGAGCGAGGGGCTGGCTTCTTTAGCGGTTTGCTCAAACTTTACTTCCATTTCTTCTTGCTGTGGGGCCGGGGAAACTGCCTGCATTGGGCTAGCGGGCATTTCTTCTGAGGGAATAGCTTGGACCAGATTCTGAACCGGGCTAGCAGGTGGTGTTACGTCTTTGTTACGATCAGCACAAGGTGATAGAGTTAGGCTACTGTGTTTTGCTGAAATGTTAAGGCTTTGTGGTGCAAGGGGGCTAGCAGGACTGGCGCTACTTTGAGCTGGCGGTTCATTGAGTTCCTGTGTAGGCATTTTGAAAAGGTCCACCGCGCTTGGGCAAGAAGGCAATTTTTCCAGTGTTAGGCTTTCCAAATCAGGACACAACGACGATTTTGGGGATGCCACGTTGTCCTCACCGCATCCATCAACACGCACATGGTTGGATTCTGGTATTCTGATATCTAAAGGTTTCAGCGGCTGTGTTAAATTAACCGGTTTTGGACTTGGGGGAAGTGAGAAACTACATTGCGATTGTTTGGGGAAGTGTGTAGGGCTACATGGTGCTGAGAACGAAGCTCGGCCCAGTTTGGACCGTGTGGGGGGAGGAGAGAGATCCTTTTCCAGTGTACAACAGTCCTGGTCAGTTTCATATAATCCTTCATCTAGCGGTGTTTCCTGTGAAGCACTTCCAACAGGACTGTGAGGAGGGCTTTCAGTCTGTGGTTTTGTTTCAGCTGTAGAAAAGTGTGTCAAGCGCTGCATTTCATCAGACTCTTCGCAGATCTTAAAGGAGTTTATTGAGTCAGGGCTTTGAGGCTCATTCAGAGATCTGGAACTACCTTGAATTTGGATTTCAGCTTCACATAATGATCTCTGCAGGTCTCTAACTTCCATTTTCTCCTCCTCTTCCACTGAAGTTACACCTAAAGGACTTGTTCGCTCCTCTGCACTTGGACAAAGCTGCAATGGCTGTAAGATGTCTTGTTTCATCTCTTCACCTGAATCGTTGCAAGGTCTCTGTTGATCTGTTACAGCGAGGTAATCTTGTGTATGGCTTTCATGCGCTTTTGAGGAATCCAGTTCTGACGTTTCATTGCATTGGGAGTCTTTTGGAGATGAAATGGGGCTTGCAGAATTGTCCATATTCTCCATAAGTATAACAGGAGTTCCAATTTTAGCTGGGCTTTTAGGGTTTTCTTTAGACATATCTGCTGGAGGAGCTTGTATCTCTTCTTCCATTGGCGTAATGGTAGACCTCTCTGGACTTTGTGGATGATCAGAGAGGTTTGGATTGCATGGATGTTCCGTGGACTCTGCGTGAGAAGGGAGTGGACTGGGAGGTTTAGAATCAGAAACGTTTGTTTGGGATGGATCAGAGTTTTCCCAAACAGCAGGTGATCTAGGACTGTGTGGAAGCGTTGGTGATGTGGGATTTTCTTTAATTGTTTTCTCTGTTTCTTGTGGACTTTGAGGAGGAGATTCTGAAATGATGAGTCTACCTTCAAACTCTACCATATCGGGGTCAAAAGGACTGCCTCTTCTGTTCACTTGAATGCATGCTGAAGCTGGAGGGGGGCTGTTCAAGAGTTGAGATTCTTCAACCAGCAGATTTTGCGACGATGAGGGACACCACTTCATTTCCAAAGCCTCTGCTGCAGCTTTAAAAACTCCTGAAGCCTCAGATGCAGCTTCACCTACTCCTGAAGCCTCAGATGCAGCTTTACAAACTCCTGAAGCCTCAGATGCAGCTTCACAAACTCCTGAAGCCTCAGATGCAGCTTCACAAACTCCTGAAGCCTCAGATGCAGCTACACAAACTCCTGAAGCCTCAGATGCAGCTTCACAAACTCCTGAAGCCTCAGATGCAGCTACACAAACTCCTGAAGGCTCTGGTTCAGCTTCAAAAACTCCTGAAGCTTCTGGTGCAGCTCCACAAACTCCCGATGGCTGTATATCACAGGGAGGCCGACCTTTTCGACATGGGCTATCTGTGAGATACTTTCGACACAGACTTTGCTCTGGTTCTTGCGATGACGATGGAAGAGGCTGCGTTGTGTCCATCCAATCAGGGCTTTCGGGAGAGTCTTTGTGACAGCTGGGAAGAGAGGGTTGATGAGATGAAATGGGCGGATCTTTGTCTGATAATACTGGAGGAGTGGTGGAGACGGTGAAGGGGCTGGTTGGCAGTTCCGCCCGTGGCCTGCATGTGGTGCATGTATACGCTTCAGCCCCCAACCTCGCCTCGCCAGCCTGAATGATGCACTCTGTATGCAAACTCCTGTGAAACAGAGGATTTCAAGGGTTAAAATCAAGAGAAATAACTCAGAATGTTTATAATAGACCTGTTAAACATGTGTACAATCGATCTCTGGAGTAGATCTGAGTTTACAGAGTCCTCAGTTCCTAAAGTTTTTGTTTCTTTTGATAAAGCTGTTCTCAAACGGTGTCGGACTGGGTTTATAAATGCAGACTTGAGCTTTGTGCACCAGCAACTATACTATAAACTCTTTTAGGCAGAAGTAATGCACAAGCTCTGAGATCTAGGAGACTTTCTATACAGCGACTGGGCTTCACCCAGACATCTACAATTTTATGATTTCAGACCAGAGAGATTGAAGAGAGAGAGACTAGAGAGAGACTAAAGACCCTGTGTGTGAGGGTGTAGCAGAGTTTTGCACCTGAAGCAGCTGATACAGGTAACATGGTTCTGTGGGGAGTAAAGGTCGGGGGCGTGTCCACACAGACCACAGGGCTGGGCTGGGTCACATGACTCGCACAGAGACGGGTGATTGGCCCACACCCCGGATGATCTCACACCACAGCGCTGGCAGACTCTGCAGCTCTGGAAGGAAAAGTGAAGACAAGTAAAGATAAGCATCCCAGAGTCCTGAGACCCCCTTATCCCAGGGTCCGGGGAGTATAGCTAAGTGAGAAAGAGTCCCTCATCAAACACAGGAGCCTCACCTTGCAGTTCCAGCCACTGGAGGGGGGCTGCAGGAGCAGAGGGCTGAGGCAGTGTGGATGATAAACTTTATCACATCGAGAACAGACAAGAAGAGAACTGTCCTGCTCTCGCAATCTGAGGACACACAGAGAGAGAAAAAGTTACACACGCACATACAAGAGAGAGTTACACAACACACAGAGGGTTACACACAATCAGACACAGAAACAGTTGAGTTGAACCCGTGATTGCCATTTTTATTCTCTCTGTGGATGAATTGTGCTACACAAATAAACAGTAAACCACACTCACCCACACGCACGGCACACCCGGCACTGGGCGCACTGCCACCCGGCCCGGGTAAGGGGTGTGGCCTGAAGGGGTGGTACCAAGCAGTCACCGTGGTAATGGTCTCCACAGCAACAGCACATCAACAACTCCCCACCGCCACGAAAGCAAAGAGCACACTGGACCGGGACTGGAACACATGGGACTGAGTTAGTTCATTCAGTCCGGCCTGATTCAGTTAGTCCCATGAGCAGAAATGGCCCTGTCCCTTACCTTTGTGGGCGTGTCGGGAGCACCATGTGACCTTCTGACTCCACTCCTGATTGGTGGAAGCAGCAGCGGCACAGGGGAAGTGGTAAGTCCGCCCACAGCCTGTCTCCCGGCAACGCAGCGACGCTCCCAAGTGGTGACAGAAGGAACAGACCTGGAACAGGACATGAGGAAGTGAGTTTCAGGGTTTAGAACCACATAGATTAAGCTGTTGGTTGTACAACACAAGGACATGTATGATGAACGACCTACATGCCGCGGTCTAAATGACTTACACACCGTAAATCTCTGCCAATCAGAAGCTGCTGTTGTCAAGCACTTTGAACCAAGGGCTTATAGAGTGATGTATTTATTTGTAAGGTGCTAGAGGTGCTACATAGTGAGTTGTGTCCAAATGCCCGCTCTCTAAGAGTCACAGAAATCACGTCATTCTTAGGAACATATGGCTCTCTGTGGAACACGTTAGGAAACTCCTCGTCCACGAGCTCAGGTTAGGGGCGTGTTTGTAGCCCCCTAGTTCTCACACAGGGGTTAGGGGTGTGTTTTCAGAGACTCACCTGTGTAGATGCACAGTCAATAGCCTTGTCCACAAACAGCAGACACTGAGCGTCTCCTCTGGACACGCCCTCTGACCACGACGCACACTGCATATGGGCACAGCACTGACCTGTACAAGGTAATATTTTATACCAGAGACTAGAGACCAGAGAGATCAAAGTCTGAGACAGTGACATGTGACATGTACCTGTGGGGTCAAACAGACTCTGCTCATGTTCTTCAGGATGAAGACCCATTGCGCCGAGCTGTAGGACAAACTCAGAGGAATCTGAGGGAATAAAAACTCAAATTTCACTTTCAAGAGCCAAATATTGCATACCCTGGATGTGTGTTTTTTTACAAAGCTAAAGTGTACATCTAACACGGTGCAATGTAACTGTGGACACAGATGTCTATGACATCACAGTGTAACTAGTTAAAAAACAGTGTTAGAACAAAAGGGGCGTTTAGACTCACCGCTCTGCTCTGGACTGATGCACCTGCAAACACAAGGAACATATGAGGACCAATGATATACACACACACTCAGGCACAGGCACAGACACAGACACAGCTTACCGGTCGGGTGCGGGCCGGTACACATGGTCGTGGCAGTCGTTATGACGATCTGGGGAGGCGCGGCAGTTCAGCACGTGCAGCGGGATGTATCCGGGAGTGGGACCAAACACAACCAGAGGACCTTGTCCCAGCAACGACAGCTCCCCCCGCAGGCAGAAAGCACATCGCGTTAGCCTGACAGGAAAAAGAACATATGTTATGAAAAAAATCAGAGACATTTACAAAAATTCTTACCGCTTCACTGTGTCCCCAATGCTCGCTGTAGGGGAGCCGCCGGGGTCGTCTGCCAAACTGCGCTGGAACAGGAGGAAGGCCAAATCATCATCTGGCCGTGGGGTCTCTGGGACACTGGAGCAGGGGCTGGGGGCGGGCCTCAACTCCATGCTTCCTTCCTGCTCCTGTATTTCCATGGCGATGGGGCTAGGTGTGGCAGGGGGAGTAGCAGTGGGGTGAGGAGGGGTCTGGACAGCAGGCTCTGGAGAGAAGGAAAAGAACATGCAAGATCAACCCCAATGTGTGTGACAGATGTGTGTATAACCAGGATAAACCCTGTTGACGTGTAAACAACAGCACTCCAGCCTATACACATTAGCTCAAGCAGAAAGTTGTACTTTTTGTCAGTGTATTTAGGCTTGAACATAAGGAGCTTACTTGGAGATGAAGGCCTGGGGGACAGAGGCTTGGGGGATGGAGGCTTGGGGGATGAAGGCTTGGGGGATGAAGGCTTGGAGGACACTGGACTGTGGGCTTTATTCTGAGACTTTCTCTGGGACGTTGAGCGCCTCCGTGTGGCCATCTTCTCACTCACGTCTGAAAAAGAGCAGATATGTTCAAACCCTGTTGTGGGCCTTCATCGTTCAATAGGATCATACAGAGCTCCAACAGGAGACCTTTAAGATGAGGCTTCATTGAGCTAACTCAAGGCTGTCAAACCAGTCCTCAAAGAGCTAAGCTAGCAGGACAGCAGTGTGAGTCTATATCAAGCGGTGATCCAAGATACGCGTGTGTGGCATGGATCTTTTTTAATATCTGGATAGGGTACATCCAGATACATTGAGTTCTATATAGAGAAAATGTATGGGTAGCCCATGTGAATTTAGTCTTCTTTAGTCTGTAGTACCACAACAATCCCTCGAGCAAATGGGTCTTTCAACTCCAAGCTGTAATACCATATCCAGATATTATAATATATCCATTATCTATTGACCCCTTGCATGTGACGTCCCGGCCACGCCCACTCTCCATGAAAGTTGGCAGAAGTCTAACTGCGAGCCTACGGACACCTGACAAAAACAACCTGTTTCAGTGCATTACAGCCAAAACTGACATTTTGCAGTGCGGTTGATTATACTAACAGGCAAGGACATACGCTTTTTTATCCGATACCTGCTCGTCATGAAGACAGAAGACGACGATGGCCTCAACCAAAAGGACTGGGACCCATCCAAGTACTCCCTAATATGCAGTGAACACTTTTTACAAGATAAAGCAATCACAAGTTTGCATTTATTTTATTTCCATTAATTTGGAGGACAATGACACACGTCAAACGTGTCTCTTACTACTGTCCTGTATGTGCGCTGCAACATTGACATTTTTATATTTGCCAATTGCGTGTTTCACTATTTTCCTCTCCGTCAGTGCGTATCATGTTTGGCTGTGGACAGAAAAGCCACAGAAAAGTGGACTATTGCTAATGCTACCAGCAAAATGTACAGTGCTACCTCACACTGCTCCAGTGTGAGGGGATGCATTGTTAACGATAATGATAAAGATCATGTAGGGTGAATTTGGGCAAAAATAGACATTTTATTAAATCGATAAAATTCACTGGGGGGAGAAGGTACGGGTCAACATCCAGTTAGGCAATCCTTAACTTCTCCAAATATCACTCTTTGTGAGCCCTGACCTGATGTCCTACTTCCACCTATAACGTTATCAAACATGTGCTTGAAGCAGCCACTTCTCGATTTAGGAGAGGAAGCTCCGTTTTTAAGAGTTGTAGTCCGTTTTGCTCTCGCAGCAATGCTAGTTTCCAATACTTCCGCCATAAGCTCATTCACAATCACGTGACTGGAGGACGTTGATGCATCTAGTCAATACACAGTCCATGAGGTTCCTCACCCGTCCTGGGGGCGGGGCTCTTCTCCACTCCTGTCCTTGGGGCGGGGCTTTTCTCCACTCCTGTCCTGGGAGCGGGGCTCTTCTCCACTCCTGTCCTGGGAGCGGGGCTCTTCTCCACTCCTGTCCTGGGAGCGGGGCTCTTCTCCACTCCTGTCCTGGGAGCGGGGCTCTTCTCCACACAGTCATCGCCTTCACCCTTTGTGCGGCTTCGAGTGCGTCCCCTAAAGATAATAAAGCAAATATGATTCAACCTCCAGCTTCAGAGAACAATGAGTATGTTAGCTCTTGACAGCTCAATAGTGTGTGTCTGTGTTAGCTCTGCAATGTGTGTATGTGTAAAATCACTGATCAGATAGTTTCAGCAGTGTTCTCACTTCTTGTGTTTAGCGAGCGGCGGTGGCGGTGAGGGGGGGGCAGAGCGGCCATCTTTACGCGGCCGTCCCCTGCGTCTCTCGAGGCCAGGGCTTGTGGAGGCTTTGGCCAATGAAGCGCTGCGTCCAGCCCTAGTGACAGGAGGCGGCCCTCTGTCCCGCTCCTGAGCCTCAGACGGCATTCTGGGGAAAAGAGAAGGCACTTCAGCATATTCTTCAGTCATTATGTCACACAGTGAAAACCTCATTTTTTTATTTTTTTGTTACAATTTTCAACAGAAAGTTACCCACTCTCACTCGTTGGTCTGGTCTGTCAGTGCTAAACCGGGACAAAAAGAACTAAACCAGGACTGACAATGGGAGTCAGTGCTTGTGGACATATGCCTTCACACGGAGTTCACCTTTTACCGTGACTAAATTAACCCTTCAATCAATCAAATGTTATTTATAAAGCACTTTTCATACAGAATATGCAACACAAAGTGCTTTACAGTTTGGTTAAAAACAATCCCACATGCCCATGAACCCTCCTCCCGACGACTCAACCAACCAACCCACCCCAAACCATATATATTGTTAAGAACGCACGCGCAGACACACACACATCCCAGTAAAACAGTAAAACCAAGAAGAAAAAAATGGAGGATGGAGATTTAAACAGCTAAAGAAGCCCATTCAAGGAGCAGTCTGCACCAGGAACAGAGTGCCGCCCATAGTCAACCAGAGGAGACATGAAGTCGAAGCTCCAAGCCTCCACCAGGTCCAAGTGCCAGACCCCACAGACACAGCCGACACCGCTCCCAGTGCAGAGGACTCCTCCAGAGGAAACACTGGGGATACTAAAAACACAATAAAAAATTAAAACAATAAAATGTGAGAATAAAATAAAACTATCATGGTACATATCAATAATAGTAATAACAATAATAAAACCAAAAACTTAAATGTGTCTAAAAGATAAATAGAATATAAAATGCAATAATAAATACTAGTAAAATGCTAATATAATAGGGTGTGTCTTGAGCCTGCTTTTAAAAATATGAATGCTCTCTACGGCCCTTGTGCTATCCTCAGGACAAATTGACCCACCAGTGATTGAAAAATACCCTAAATTTGTACATTTCCCAACCTCAACATTCCTGGGCAATTTAGGTCATTAGAGTCAAAAAAGGTCTGCTTTTAATTATTGTGGCAGGTCATTATGAGCCGTATGCAGCACAAGGATTAAACAGTGTCCTGATTCTTCCCCTGGTCGCTACCAATAGGCATCCTATACAGATGCCCGATCCACCTCAACTGGCTCCTCTCCACATGGAGAAGCAGCAGCTCTACTCCGAGCTCCACCTGTGTGACTGAGCTCCCCCCTTTATTTCAAATGGAGTTCCACTATGCAGAGGAAACTCATGTGGACCGCTTGTATCCGCGATCTAGTCATTACCCAAAGTTCCTGACTGGAGGTGAAGAAGGGGACGTAGGGCTCTGACTGCAGACACTGCTCCGTCATGACCAGAGGTGAGGGAAGCAACGCAGACTGAGCTTTGACTACTGACGCTGCTCCCTCATCTAATTAATAATCAAAACAATACTAGAGCTTTACTATTGTGCTTCCTAATGTGAGCATCAGTCATGTAGTATCAGCCTGTTGACCATTGGTTCTAAATCAAAACACAACAAAACACAAGTGAATTCATTGGAACATATTAGAAGGAGTGACAGGTAAAAGATCCAAACAGAGCACAGAACCACAACATTGTAACAGCGGGTTAATAACATCAAACACGGCTCAGATCCAGGACACAAATATGACAAATGCAGTGTACCATCTTTATGTGTTAAATATATAAACAGTAACATGTAATAAAACGAGTGTATTCCAAAGCAATGATGTTTGTGCCTGTGAGGAGCCAGGTTAGCATACGGTGAAAGAGCCAACATAACGAGACGTGTTATTTATGCGTTAGTACGAGTAAACAGCGCCATTTTAGGAGTCTGTCACAGAACATTAGAACTCAGTCACGTGTTTATGTTCCGATGAACACGAGTGTGTTTGCGAATAATAGTATTTTATAGTGTTTTGAGCGTTAGCTGTTAGCTACACGGACCGCCCCATTTGACTGATCACTCTTACGTTAGCATTAGCATTAGCATTGGCAAGCAGCGCGGACTCCAGACTGCAGCTGTTTTCGCTGCTTTTATATGTGAAAACAGCCGCAAAGTGCTGAGTTCGGTGACCAGAACACACGAATAGGCGCTAAAGTGTATTAACTGCGCGACACCCGCACAGAACACTGCGCCAGAAGCAAAAACACAACGAGGCTCTTACGGTTTCGTTGCGGTTCGCTCGTGTCTCCTCTCCGGGGCTTTCAGAACTCACATCCCGGGGATGAGGTCGTGCATCCCCGCAAGAGCATCCCCGCGAGGCCGTGGGCACCAGGCGGATCACGTGTGAAAAGAAAAACAACGTGCAGTAAATTAAAGTTGCAGCGGTCGCCCCGAGATGGAGGCCATGTTTGGGAGCGTCACGGAGATATGGGCCAGCTCTGAAGAAGTAGGGCTGCTGAGAAAAACAGCCGCGATTCAAAGGCTTCGGCGATCTGCGCTGTGCGGAGAATGGGCGGTGATGTAGTGTGTTGTGTGCGAAGTGAGTGGAGTGGACCGGGAGAGGCAAAAACAGACGAACAAGGATTTTACAGGGGTTTACAGGCTCGTGTTTGGGGGAGAGTGTGAGTGATGGCGCTGAGAAGCTGCTAGAGAGCTCTTTGGCACCAGACCGAAGGCCGCCATCTTGGGAGGACAGAGTTCTCATAGGAAATTCACAGAGCTGCAAAGAACAGTGTTGGGGAGAGAGCTTTGAACATGTTTTCTGTATGTTCTCCGCCATACGGTCCAATCAGAGGGCTGTTTTCTGAATACTTTGAACATGTTCAATTAAGTATGATTATAAAAATGCATTAGTTTTACATAGCGCTGTTTTTGGACTCTCAAAACGCTTTACATGTCATTATTCATTCACTCCATAGACAGTGGTGAGAAACTACTGCTGTAACCAGAGCTGCCCTGGGCACACAAACGGAAAGGAGGCAACCAGTATGTGCCATCGGCTCCTCCGACTGCCATCAATCACATCAATTCACACACACCAGACTCATTCTAGGCAATCACTAACGGATTACAACTACTACAACTACACTTTGTTTTGGCAGCATGTGCAGTGATGTGTGACTGTTGTGGTGAAGAGGGAGCAACATCGGCAGATGATCATGAGCTTCCATCTATCCATTTTCTTCCCCTTAATACATTTCTGGGTCAGAGCTGCACTTAGTACACATATCACCAGCCCCTCAATGATCCTCCTGCAGGTGGTGAGTCCACAGGAGCCTTGATCTTTCAGCGGGGGCTTCAGGCAAAGTGGAGTTAAGTGTCTTGCTCAAGGACACAATGACAGCAGACATCAGTGCGAGTTGTGAAGTAGGTCTCGTGGTGGGCTCGAACCCATGACATTCAGACCCAAAGGCCAATGCACTATCAGCTGAATGACTGTCGCCCCCCCAGTCTTCCAATATAGGGTCAAAATGACCGAAAGACAGGAAATTCTCATTTCTTATGCTGTGGCTTTAAGTTGAACTATCTGTTGTTTTAGGTCATCAGAAAAACATTAAAGATACATTTATGTAATGGATAAACTTAGTACTGGTTGTCTGGTCTTCTGCTACTGGAACTGGGACAGGAGAAGATGAGGCTCTAGTGAGATTTTATGGAGATCAGGAGTATAAATATTTTTTGACTTGGAGATGGAGTTGAAACAGGACTAAGGCACATGAGGGCAAGGAGGGGAGGAGACTGAGGAATAGATGAGAAGGGCTTTGGATGAGGGAGATAGGGGGCTGAGGGGGTTTGGATGAAGAATGACAGGGGGCTGAGGTTCTGGACCATCCCGTTCACAATATTAAAGCAGTCGATCAGAGGTCAGGGGTCTTTCGTTAGGTCTCAGAGGGAGGTATCTGTGGGTCATCTGCAGAGCAATTGATAAAGGTCACCTCGGTTCAGTCTGTGTCCTTTTAAATAAATTACAGTTGCTGAATTTTGGAGGTCACAGAAGGAGTTCGGAGTTGAGCCGATATATCTCCCCTCGGGTCTTCAATTGGAGAGGAGCCAGTTGAGGTGTCTAGGCGTTCTGGGTATGTCCCACTAGGAGGAGATCAGGGAAAGAGCCAGGACACACTTGAGAGATTGACTCTTCTGGCCTGGGAACCTCTTTGAATTCCCCTGAATGACTTGGAGAAAGTGTGTGTGGAGAAGGAAGTAGCAGAAAAACAATGATCGGAGCAGCCCGATAATGTGAGCAATCTCCCCAGCAGAAGGTTCTGGGTTCAATTCCACCCAGGACCTATCTGATTAGAGTTTGCACATTCTCCCCATGTAGTTTCCTCCAGGTCCTCCGGTTTCCCCTAAATCACACAACAGTTTGAACACAGGAAATGCAATAATGCTTCAGTGACAGACTTATTCATCCTTGATGCGTGAAGGAGAGGTTCCGCTGGTCTTTTGTTCCTGCTGCTGTCAGACTGTACAACAAAAAAACTTCATTTTCATTTATTTCATTTATTTATTTATTTCAGGCAGAGGGCAACATAGAATATGCAGCAGAAAACAAAACAAAACAAAAAAACAATCCACTTCCACCTGAAAGGGAGTGGGAAGAAGAAAACTTATTTAATCCCACCCCCAGTTCCCCACTCAGAGCTCAACAGACTCAACTTCACTGTCACTTGTTTAAAAGCTTCTACAAATTATAACATGGTGGCGTTTCCACATCTGTCAACAATGTATGACAGCGCAACAAAAATTTGATCCCACGTGTCATGCATCGTTGCGATATCCTTAGCTAATATCAGAATGTGCAATAACCACATGTCACTGTCACTTTACTGAGTCACTGTGTCCCAGAGCCCCATGCTGCTAATGTACAGATGTAAACATACTGCTGCTAATGTACAGATGTAAACATACTGCTGCTAATGTACAGATGTAAACATACTGCTGCTAATGTACAGATGTAAACATACTGCTGCTAATGTACAGATGTAAACATACTGTACTGTTGCTTATGTACAGATGTAAACATACTGCTGCTTATGTACAGATGTAAACATACTGCTGCTAAAGTACAGATGTAAACATACTGCTGCTTATGTACAGATGTAAACATACTGCTGCTAATGTACAGATGTATAAATATTACTGCTAATGTACAAATGCTAATAATATTGCGTGCACTAGAATACACAGTACTTTATACTTGCCTCTTATTTTGCCAGATGTAAAACTTTTGCACTTCTTTTTATTGTCATTATTATTTTCAAGATAGAGATTTTATACTTGTTATTGATGCTACAGTTAGAGATTTTGTTTTATTTTAATTAGTATAGCTATTGTTCACTGCTGTGTGCTCCTCTTTCCTACTGTCCTATAACTTGTGATTCAAAATGGAAATTTCGAATAAAGGATCTTTTAATCTTAAAAATAGATATAGTATTATAAATATTTGACATTATTATTAGATTATGATTATTTTTTATCATGAAACGCATGTTTTTGATTAAAAAAAGCTTTTTGCACAAACATATATGTGCATAATAGCGTTTATGTGTATTTGTGCTTGTATGGTTCTGTGTTCTCTTGCACACGCACAAATCGTTTCCATGGAGATGCGCGCTCTAGTCTCTAAGATGGCGCTGTGTGTGACCTCGCGGAGGGATTTACAAGAGGTGATGCGGCTGTCATCAGACCGGAAGTGCCGCACTGGAGAGCGAGAAGCAGAAGTGTAAATGTAATAATATAATAATAATAATAATAATAATTAATTTTATTAATAGTAATAATATTTAGTATTATTATTATTATTATTATCACCATCATCATATAATAATAATAATGATATTTTTTATCATTATTACTATAATAGCAATAATGACATTAGTCACAGAAAAGTACAGAGTGCAGTTACATTTGAACAAACTTGAAATATAAAAAAAAATACATTAAATTTAGAAACAAAATAAAAAGAAACTAAATTCTATAAATTGTACATTATACATTACAGTACAGTAAATCATACATTTACAAATACATTACATACAATAGACATCCCACTGTGACACGCCCCACGTCTGGGAATAGTTCCTCACACAAACATTAGAATAAATAAATGTAGTCAGGACCACCTGGGGCGGACCGGGACCACAAGAGGTGGTTCAATCCAAATATTAACGCAGTGATTTTCAACTAGTGTGTCGTGGCTCTAAATCACAACAGTAGTCATCTCAGACTTATCAAAACCGTTGAAATTGCCAACACAGATCAGAGAGTAAAACAGTTCAGACAAAAAAAATATATAGAACACGTAGGTATTGGTCCACAGGGGGAGTTGACTAATGTCCATGAATGTTGATAAATGTCCATAAAGGTTGAATAATGGGGCGACAGTTGCTCAGTTGGTAGAGCACAAGACTATGGGCCCAATGGTTGTGGGTTCGAAACCACGACCCATGGCATCTGCACCCACTATTGTCTGCTGTCGTTGTGTCCCTGGGCAAGACACTCAACCCCATATTGCCCGTGGATCCACCACCTGCTGGAAGATCAGCATTGAGACTTGCGTGGCATCTCTGATTGATCTCTGATTACTCCACACGGACGGACGGACGGACGGACGGACGGGCTGTAGATCCAGGACCTACGCAGCAGCTGCAGAACATGGACAGGTCTGGTGCAGCTCCTAGGTGGGCAGGGCAGTCCGCAGGTGCAGAGGGAGGGGGCCAGGTTCAGGGGTCCCGTCATCGCGATGCAACACTCATGTGATGCATCCTGAAGAAGCGTGAATTTGAAACACATACGTTGATGTTACACTGATAGCTGGCTGTAAACTGCTCTCCTGTTTAAGACCTATATAAAGTGGAACTGACTAAAGAATGGGCTTCTTCATATACCATACACCACAGGGTGAATAGCAATAAACAGACTACAGTCAAAATTCTAATAATGCAGACAGACTCCATATCCTTGTCAATTACATGAATTTTAGTCCACTTACCTTCCAAACAATATGCTAAATTGAAGAGGGCTGTCAGAAGCCTGCCAATGAATACATAGACTGTATGCTTCCTTAAAGTGGATGGGAAGCTGATTCCACAGTAAAGAGTAGATAGAGTAAATGGAGTAGATAGTTGTCATGATATGAGGCAAGACACGGGTCGTGGTATTCATCAAATAGATTATATATTTAGCTACTGCCATGTGTCGGACGAAGTTCTGAACTGCAATTCTAGTGCCCCCTCGTGGTTAGCATCCCAAACTACAGTAACATAGCTTGGATAAAAGACCATGTCACAGCAGTAGTTGAGTCATCCACGTTTTTTGGTCCTTCTATACAGGCACTAAGCCTTTTTACTGATCTGTCTGATTTGGTTTCATCGACAGGTAAAGCTGTGTGTCATCTGCATAGAAGTGGAAATTAATTCTATGCTTTTTAATGGTGTTGCTTACCGGCAGCATGTAGAATGTGAAAATAATTGGTCTGAGTACCGATCCTTGTGGCACACCGAATTTTATTTTAAAACAAGGCAATGAGTTTTGATTCACATTGACAAACTGATACCGATCCAATAAAAAGAATTTAAACCAGCCAAGGGCGGTTCCTCTGAGACCTATGTCACATTCTAGCCTCCGCAGTAGAATGTTGTGGTCTATTGGGTCAAATGCAGCGCTGAGGTCCAGGAGGGCGAACACTGACACTGTCCATTATCAGCAGCTAGTAGTAAGTCATTTGTGACTTTGACCGCCGTTTCAGTGCTATGAGCTCGGAATCCTGATTGAAACATATCAAGTAAATTATTTTCCTGCAGGTGGCAGCATAGTTTAGCAATAAGCTATTCACGGATTTTAGATTTATAAACGTAAGGTTTGAGGTTATTCAATAGGCATTTATTATATTTAAGATGGGCTCGATTATCAAAGGAAGTGTGTCTTTGAGAGCCTAGCTTGGATTGAATCTAAAATACAAGATGAGGTGTCCTTCAAATTTATTTATCAAGCACAATTCATACAAAGTAGCCCAAAATAATCTAACAAAAGAAAATAAATTCTGGAAGATTGTTCCAGATTTAGATTGCACATATCTGAAACGCTGATTCTCCATGCCTGAGTCTGACTCCAGGCACCAGCAGGAGGCCAATCCCTGTGGTCCTCAGAATCTAGTCGGTTCATATTAGTCGTGTCTGGAGCGACAAACAGAAGCAATCAGAATCTTGGACACAAACTTCTGTGAGACCTGTTTATATAGCGCCTTCCAAAGACACAGTTGCCAAACAGCAGACTGTGACAGTGTTTCTGTATCACTGTCACACACATACGGCAGTGATCACTTTACCCCCTGAGTATAACAGGATCAGGAAACATCAGAGATCAAATAACACTTTTATTTAAATTATTTACAATAACAACAATTAACACTTGTTAATTGTTAACAATTCTGAGCGTGTACTGAATACAGCTCTGTGATTGGACGAGGAAACTAACAGCACTGGTCCACTACCACAAACAGACCTGGTCCAGACCTGGTTCAGACAAATTCCAGCCCTCGGTCTGAGATAATAAAACTGTTTGTTCTTGTTCCTTTCTTCTTGGATGAATAGAGAACTGTGAATATGCTCTTCTGTGGGTCTGTGGCAGCCATGTTAGAGAGACTTTGACCTGTTGACGAGGAAGCGGCCATGTTGGAGAGAGTAGTGTCCTTTTTGGGCTCCGCAGCGGCCATGTTGGGGATAGTGTCAGTCCTGGAGCAGGTTAAACGGTGCGACACAAGCTTCTGCCATGCCCCGCACAGATAGGGCCGGTCGTGGTCAGCCAGGAGGGAGGAGGAAGAGGTAGCAGAGGAGGAGGAGCTCTTGTGTCTGATCGAGTGGCAGGTCGCGAACACTGTAATCTTGTAATCCCTGAAAAACAGGAGAAAAAGCGATTTAAGGAATCTACAGCAGCCACGTGTACCAAAAACTTTTGGCCTTTAGTGATCCTAAAAAGAGCCTGGTCCTGGTTCATGTGGTCCTTAAGTTCAGTTTAATTCCATTACATTTATCTTTATATAATAGTAACTATTATAAAGTTATAACTTATCTCAGAAACTTTACAAAGTCTCTGATCGCCAACACAGATCAGAGAATCAACAGTTCAAAAACAAGAAATGCAATGAGAAAAAACCCAGAGCTATTGGTCCATAAGAGCAGCTGACGAATGTCCATTAACATCATTGAATGTCAACTGTCCTGTAACATCACCACTTTCTTTTGATCCTCCTGATGGGTCTGGTCCTGGTCCATATGGTCCTAAAGGGTTTGAGTCTGGTTCATGTGGTCCTTTAATTTAGAGTCTGGGTCTGGTGCATGTGGTTCTAATGAGTCTGAGTCTGGCCCTGGTCTCGGCCCTGGTTTTTCCACGGTCTCCACCTTAGCAGTCGTCCCAGCAGCTCTGAGCATTTGTTCAGTCTCTCTTCCCGTTTGCTGTAGCTGGTCCCGCCCTCTGCTCGATCCAGCCAATAGAATGCAGAGATGCTGTCGATGAGCAGTAGTGATAGGCCAGGCCGCGTGGTGATGGTTGTTTCAAGGAAGTGAAGTGTCAGCAGCAGCTGCGAGGAAGATGAGCAGTGCAGGACGAAGAGGCGTGACAGGCAAGACCGAAGCAGAGACTCTTCAAGGTCAGCAGGAGGCACTGTAGGATTACACAGACAGCATTCAAACTAACATCCCGGTGGTCTTGGTCCACCAGGTCTGGTCGTCTTGGTCCACCAGGTCTGGTCGTCTTGGTCCACCAGGTCTGGTCGTCTTGGTCCACCAGGTCTGGTCGTCTTGGTCCACCAGGTCTGGTCGTCTTGGTCCACCAGGTCTGGTCTTGGTCCACCAGGTCTGGTCTTGATCTCACCTGCAGTGTGGAGCCTCTGGTCCAGGAGGCTTACAAGTCGGATCATGTCGAGGCTGTGGTCTGTGTCTACAAAGGCCACAGAGACCTCCAGACCGCCAGCGGAGAGGGGCAGCAGGCAGCCAATCAGAAGGTGGTACAGCAGCGCCGTCTTACCTGGAAACGCAGCGGTTATGTAGTTGTATTTCTATCACTGGTGTGATTTCCATACTCTGGTGCAGAGACTGAATTGTGGATATTTATACTCAAATCTCAAAAGAATAAAACTATAATTATGCACAGGAGCAGGGGTGGTTCAAGCAGGGGAACGGGTTGAGGTTAGCGTGAGAGGACGTTCAGACCCAACACCTGCGTCCAGACCATAGACCGTAAATGTCCGGACTCTCACCTGTGCCTTCTGGTCCGGAGATTTCCACCACCTCACCTGGAAAAAAAAGGGTACATCTATATACCAGGGGTGCAGTACACAAGTACACAGAAGTGCACTACACATGTATACTGTATACATGTGTCGCTCACCAGAGTCTGGACCTTCATCTTGGGGAAACAGTCGAGGCTCGATGTCCTTCAAACAGCGACGCGGCTCCAGACGAGAGAAGAGCTGCAAACAGGAACTGTCAACACAAACACACACACACACACACACACAGACACAGAAATAGAGGAACAGACCTGAGCTCCAGTCTCGTTCATGTCTTCCAGTTATCGCCACATGTCTGATATTTAGATTACATCCATGGATGGTCCGCGCTATCTTCAAACCATGTTCTACTTCCGGGTTTTACGTCAACACCGTGTCGTCACTACGTTAGTTTGCGGAGCAACAACAGATAAAGCAGCAGTATGTACATATCTGGCAAAAAGTGCCACCTCTCCCAGACTCGGGTTGCCAGATATGCAAATGAATCCTTTGTCAACAAATCTTATAATAACGAAATCTTTATAAATTCCGCGGCCACATGTTACTTTACCACCAAAAGGGGAGATCTAGCAACCCGGATCACGGACTTTCTGATTGGTTAAAGAGTGGAGGGCGGGACATCGAAATGAAAACATGATTTAGGCGCTGTAAAGCAAATTTGGAAATCCAAAAATATCTGCTAAACTACTGTTCTCAGTTAAATAAGTATTTAAAAAGACCATGGTTTATAAATGCCTTTTGACAGATTAGGGCCAATTACGGATGACTTGACATGAAAATCTCAATAAATGTGTTTGCACATGTGTGACAGTGCATGAATATTTCTCTGCTCTCTCTCTGATCTGACAAGCATGTTTGCTACTGAAGTAAATAAAGTCAATATTCAGGGTGTAAGAATCAGAACAAACAGAAAACTGCATTTATTAAAAACACTGAACATATAAAATACACTCACTCCGGTCTCCCGGTCAACCACACTCCGGTCACCCACACACTCCGGCCTCCCACTCGGGTTGTCTGAGCAGTTTGACAACACATGGTAGTATTAAAGTCAGGGCATTTGATTGGTCATCTCTAAACACCAGAAACTCAGGGGTGTCGTTCTGGCTCAGGCGCAGTTTGATGCCGGTGCTCCCCTGCGTAAACTCTGTGGAGAGGCCGCCTCCTGCGTCTTCCACTTTCTTTAACTCCAACTTGATTCGTGACCCACTGTCGAGACTCGGGGGCTTCAACCAAGCGGCCACCTCGCCGCTGAGGATCTGCATCTTCTTCACCAACCCGCGCTCCACATCCAGAACATCACCCAAGGGGATGGTCTCCCGTTCCAGGTCCCCTTCCAGAACAAGTTCTTGTTTAACCTCATCATCTTTAATGTCAATGCTTATTCTAGAATTTGTCTTTGGTCTCCCCATCCCTGGTCCATGTTCAGAGATTCGGGCGACTTTGAGCTCTTTCTTAATCACTACTTTCTGACTTCTGTTCAATTTCAATCCTTCCGTCTTAACTCTCCCCTCAGTCAGTGCTTTGGAGTTTGCCAAATCTTTGCTCTGGCAAGCGCTCTGCCTGCCCCAGCTGACAGGGTCTCCGCCGGTTGTCTCCAGGGCGTAGTCCAGCAGGTAGCGTAGAGGTAAGCCTGCCGCTCGCTCCATCTTGCGTCGCGGTTTCAGGGTTTCAGGGTCTGAGTGCGACGAGCTGAGGCTATGCTTTGGGATTGTCTCACTGAGGAGCGCTGTGGAATCATCTGGAACAAAGGACACTAGTTAAACTGGACATCCTTTTCGCTATGTCACTTATAAAGCTAGGGTACCTTACGTTCAGACCAAACCAATAGAACTTTAATGAACCCATGTCTTTAGCTACTGGCTCTAAACATAGACTGTAAAAATTAATGGACGTAGTCACGCCTATCTCTGATGGGCCAAAAATAGTGCTCTACTGGAGCTATCCAAAATGGCAGCGAGTGGTCCCGCCCCCAAGAAAATTGTGAAAAAACGCATCTGCGCATGCATCAGCCGGCGCAAACTCCATTCATTTGAACGAGAGACTTCAAAAATTCACAGCAAGTAAACTAGAGTGGTCCAAAAAAAATTCACCCCCCTCAGCATTGACACACATGTGGAACGGAGCTTTGGGCCAAGAGCCAACTTTTGAACCATCCTGTAAAGACGTTCGAGAGGTCTGTCAATGCTATATGTTAGCATTGGATAATTCTCATTCCGGGTCCACCCCCATCGGTAGTATTGCAAGAATGTCAGCGCACATCAATTTGGCCACTTTTGAGCCGGGACCCCACTGGCTCTAAAACAGTTGCTTCTATCACTAGTTTTCACATCATGTATTTTTGGCCTCTGTCACATCTTTAGATCAGCTTTGTGAGGGTCACTCAGCCAATTAGCTCTCAGTCCAAAGACTGAAATAGTGACTCACAATGCTCCTTCTTACAAGTATAAAAAAAGACAACCTGACAATCCTGTTTGCAACTTGGCCGATCTATGTTGTAAAAGGTTTGCATTGGGGGGGGGGTTGTAATTCCCAGCAGACGGCTGGAGGTGGTGCACTGCTTAGCTGCTGATAGAATGGTTTATCACAGACCTTTGAGCTGTGAGTCTGACTCATCAGAGCTGAGTGGAGCCATGCAACCGTCTGGGGTCTTGGCTTGGCCTGGGGCCTTGGCTTTGTTTGGGACCACTTGGGTTTGGCCCAGGACCTGGGCTGCACAGCTCGGAACAGCGAGCGTGGTGACTGGAGAGGGCTCCAGCGCTGAGGGAGACAACCCAAGGTAAGTCACATTTATTTATACAGAACATCTCACACTAAGAAGTTGGTCTCTCTCTCTGGTCTCTCTCTCTGGTCTCTCTCTCTGGTCTCTCTCTCTGGTCTCTCTCTCTGGTCTCTCTCTCTGGTCTCTCTCAGGTCTCTCTCATACCTGGAGAGCAGTGGTGAATGTTGTGAAGTGTAGTCATTCTGCAGGGGGAGAGGCCGAGAAGAGCAGCAGAGGGGGGACAGGCCAGAGGGCAGTACCACAGAGCACCCCCTGCAGGTTGCTCTGGGCACACAGACAAACATCGCCTCGGGACATCCCCAGAGCCTGTTACAAACACATGAGTTACACACTGTGCTGTAGACTAAACCATGTATCTGTGAGTCTCCACTAGCCTCTTATCTGCATCCTCCTGAGTTAAAAGTAAAGCACAGCCCCACAGTATACCTTCAACGCTGCAGCTCAGGCCAAGCAGATCCACCTGCACCGCGGCCTTGCACCAGAGTGGGTCAGAGAGGCGGTCCTTAAGCTCCTCCCACTGCACGCCTACATCAGAGAGGCGGTCCTTAGGCTCCTCCCACTGCACGCCTACATCAGAGAGGCGGTCCTTAGGCTCCTCCCACTGCACGCCTACATCAGAGAGGCGGTCCTTAGGCTCCTCCCACTGCACGCCTACATCAGAGAGGCGGTCCTTAGGCTTCTCCCACTGCACGCCTACATCAGAGAGGCGGTCCTTAGGCTCCTCCCACTGCACGCTTACATCAGAGAGGCGGTCCTTAGGCTCCTCCCACTGCACGCCTATATCAGAGAGGCGGCCCTTAGGCTCCTCCCACTGCACGCGGTCCTTGGATTCTTCCCACTGCACGGGCAACTTACAGCGTCCCCTGGAGGCCAGTGTGGTACTGCGCCGCTTCATCTGAGAGAAACAGGCTCAAAATAAACACTTATAAGGAGTCACCTATATCCCTGCTTCAAGTCCATCATTGTTCCTGTCCCCAAGAAGTCCCTAACACACAGGACAACAGACTTGTGGCACTCACATCTGTAGTCATCAAAATATTATTTTTATTTAACGTTTATTAGGAGGAATAACCCCTTGAGATGAATAATCTCATTTCCAAGGGGGTCCTCAAAATCAAATTCAAAAATAACAATACAGCGGAAACAGTCAATTATATACAAAACAAACACACAAAAAAAGAAAACAGGACAAAAGCTCAACACATTCACTCATACACACACACACTCAGCTCTCAGAGGTCACCCACTGAACAGTTAATTGAGCGCCTGGTCCTTTCCCACCTAAAGTCCTTTACCTCTGCCCTCCTGAACCTCCTGGAGTTCAGCTATAGAGCCAACAGATCTATGGACTATGCTATAAAGATGGCACCCCTGCAGCATCTGGACTCCCCGGGAACTAGCGCCAGGATCCTGTTTTGCCGCTTTCCCATAGTCACGGTACGGCACGGCATGGCACAGCACGTTTATTTTGCATTTCCACTAGGGTTGGGCTTGGATCAGCCCAGTGGTTCCAAGCGCGCCAAAGCTACACCATTAACTTGACGTCAGCCAACTGCCTTGCACTGATTGGCCAACAAGTGTCGTCACTGGAAGGTCCACAAGTTACTCTCTTTAGCCCGAAGAAAGATACATCAGCGCATCGCGAAGCACTGGGGATTCATCAAACTATACATCAAAGACTATAAGATAACTCAAAAACCACAACCAACTTAGTGGCTTTGACCATAAAAATACATTATTGTATTTATTTATATTGTTTATTATAAATTATTGTATTTAGTTATATTGATAACGCAGCAATCGAAACTCATGAGTCGCAGAAGAGTCCTACTTTGCAGTGGAGACACTTCATTCCACTTCATTCCAACATGCCCGAAATAACACGAGTGACACGTGACTCTTTTGCAATTTTGGAACCTTCATTCTGCACATGCGCAGTATGAAGTCACCGATCTATGTCGGTCGGCACCATAGACTGTAAATATTAACGGACGTAGTCACGCCTATCTCCACCATTCAAACTAATGGGCCAAAAATTGTGCTCTACTGGAGCTATCCAAGATGGCCGCGAGTGGTCCCGCCCACAAGAAAATTGTGAAAAAACGCATCTGCACATGTGTCAGCTGGCGAGAGCTCCATTCATTTGAACGAGAGACTTCAAAACTTCACAGCGAGTAAACAGCGAGTAAAAGTAAATAAATTTACTTTGGGCCAAGAGCCAACTTTTGGACCATCCTGTAAAGGTGTTTGAGAGAGGTAAGAAGATGCTATACGTTAGCATTGGCTAATTCTTATTCCGGGTCCACCCCAGTGGGGGAGGGTCCCAGCTCAAAAGTGGCCAAAATGATGTGCGCTGACATGCTTGCAATACCACCCCGGGCCGATGGGGGTGGACCCGGAATAAGAATTAGCCAATGCTAACATACAGTATAGCATTGGCAGACCTCTCGAAAACGTCTTTACAGGATGGTCCAAAAATTGGCTCTTGGCCCAAAGCTCCGTCAATTCTGAGGGGAGTGAATTTTTTTGGACCACTCCAGTTTACTTGCTGCGAATTTTTGAAGTCTCTCGTTCAAAGTAATGGAGCTTGCGCCGGCTGACGCATGCGCAGATGCGTTTTTTCCAGTGGGGGAGGGTCCCAGCTCAAAAGTGGCCAAAATGACGTGCGCTGACATACTTGCAATACCACCCCGGGCCGTTGGGGGTGGACCCAGAAGAAGAATTAGCCAATGCTAACATATAGCGTTAGCAGACCTCTCAAAAACGTCTTTACAGGATGGACCAAAAGTTGGCTCTTGGCCCAAAGCTCCGTTCCACATGTGTGTCAATGCTGAGGGGGGTGATTTTTTTTGGTCCACTCTAGTTTACTCGCGGGGAATTTTTGAAGTCTCTCGTTCAAATGAATGGAGCTGTGCCGGCTGACGCATGCACAGATGCGTTTTTTCACAATTTTCTTGTGGGCGGGACCACTCGCGGCCATCTTGGATTGCTCCATGAAAGCACTTTTCATGGCCAACTCCTATGAACGGCGGAGATAGGCGTGACTCTGTCCGTTAATATATACAATCTATGGTTTTTTCACAATTTTCTTGTGGGCGGGACCGCTCGCTGCCATTTTGGATAGCTCCAGTAGAGCACTAATTTTGGACCATTGGTTAGAACAGCAGAGATATTTATTACAGTTTATTTTTTACAGTCTATGGTCCACCCCCATCGGCCCGGTTTGGTATTGCAAGCATGTCAGTGCATGTCATTCTGGCCACATTTAAGCCGGGACCCGACCCCACTGGTCGGCACTAGATCATATAGAGATTTCTCACGTGACGTCAAAAGGGCTAGAAGTTGCGAGGCCTCCGCCATGTTGGAGGACAAGCAAACGCTGTATGGTAGTGGCGTGCATCCGGCACCACATAAACATGTTAACATTTTGCGCCGTTTTTGCTGCAGCAAAAAGGGAGACAGGGACAATAAGTTGTTTTACCGAATGCCAACTGTCCTTACAAAACAGAAGAAATCTCCAAGAAACGAGAGAGAAATGGCACAACAACAAAAAACTAACATCCTCCAGAGCGTCCGAATATGCTCGGATCATTTCATTTCTGCTAAGTAAAATTAATTTGGTGGCGGATTTACTGTTATTCCGAAACAATCAGAAGTTTAAGGATAATATAGACTTATCACTGTCTGACTGCAACTTGGGGTTGCTCTCTTACCGGACCTCACCCTCACCCGGCTCACAGGGTATCTGACTTGCCGAAAGCCAGCAGACGTGTGAACAACTGAGCCGTGCTCGAGGCAGGGTTCCCCGTAATAGTATTTATTAATAAAATATACGGCTCCTCACAGTAGACGCAGAAAGCTCCATTGAATTGAATGTAATTTCATTATTTCCACGGCAGTGTAGCCACACATTAGATCCATGGTGTAACAATAAACACATTTAAATGTTCATCGGAGAATACATTATACATATACATTCTTAATGCATGTGCACGGAGGTTTTCAGAACTTTCTGTTAACGTTTTCATGACAAAAACTGTTTTAATGCAACCACGGAAAACCCGGAAGTAACTATTAACATTAATAATACATTTTAGGACGCATTTGCAGAGGATCTGATTCATGGATTTAGGTTGAGTATATATTTGGGTCACTTTTTTTCAGTTTTCATGTAGTTCTAGTTTTGAAGTGGCTGGCATGGCTTTTACTCGCCAAGGTTGTCCTCCAGTATACATGCATTAAAAGTTCCAAGCTTCCGGCTCGACCGCACAGCATTGTGGGTAGTTTTCTCAAAAAGGTGGGCATCAAATCACGCTGCCATATTGGATTACTTGTTGCGAACGTGATCTCTCTCGTTTCCAGCCCATAGATTGGTTTAATAGCTAAAAAATTCACCAATTTCAGACATTTCGAAGGTAAAGATTTTTTCATTTAACAAAAAAGCAATGCATTTTTTTTCTTGTGGTTTTAGATGTAAACACAACTGACTTACTATAGAGCTACTTGCAGCTTATGCTACTTACGAGGATCGAATGCTTACAAGCGAGCTTCATAAACTTGCCCAAAGCTGTACTTCGGACATATTTGTCTGGTGGGGAGCTTCTGATTACGTATTTGAGAAGGCCAAATACGTAATCAGGAGTGACCTCAGTGATGACAATGACATTCAGAGGCAGTACTGTAAGCTGTATGGACAGGCTAACACTTAAGCACGGAGAGTTCACACGTGTACTGACAAAGTGAAAATAACTTTGTTTAAAGCCTACTGCACACCTCTCTATACTGCCAGCTCACTGTTTGTTCTTAATAATGTCCCCACTCTGAATGCTCTGATCAAAAATGTTATCTATCCTCGTAAGTAGCATAAGCTACATGTATCTCTATCGTCACTCGGTTGTGTTTACATATAAAACCACAAGAAAAAAATGCATTGCTTTTTTGTTAAATGAAAAAATCTTTACCCGTACCTTCAAAATGTCTGAAATTGGTGAATTTTTTAGCTATTAAAAAAATCTATGGGCTGGAAACAAGAGAGATCACGTTCGCAACAAGTAATCCAAGATGGCGCTGTATTCAAATGAATGGTTGTGCTCAGTGGCGCTTTTTTGAAAAGATTAGCGAAAGTCGCCTGGAATTTGCAAAGATCCATGGGAAACTCGCAAAGATCCATGGGAAACTCGCAAAGATCCATGGGAAACTCGCAAAGATCCATGGGAAACTCGCAAAGATCCATGGGAAACTCGCAAAGATCCATGGGAAACTCGCAAAGATCCATGGGAAACTCGCAAAGATCCATGGGAAACTCGCAAAGATCCATGGGAAACTCGCAAAGATCCATGGGAAACTCGCAAAGATCCATGGGAAACTCGCAAAGTTCCATGGGAAACTCGCAAAGATCTATGGGAAACTCGCATGTATTTGGGCATCATCTGGTCCTCCCGGTTCTGCGCAGTGGATGAACTCCCATGATGCGTTACGCTATCTCCCATGATGTGCCAAATACACGTGTGTGGGTCTCACATGGGGTCTCATGCACGTGCACAGAGGGGCTCGGCCGCGCTCTGACCAATCAGAGCAGTTCATCAGAGCGGGAGTCAGAGCGGGAGCCAGACGAGCAGAGTTTGTGGCACTAAAGTGTGGATTTAAAGAAAACCGAAGGATTTAATAAAAAAAGTTCAGGATGACAAAGGACACTAAAATCCCCACAAAATCCGACCTTTATGAAAGCTGTAGGTTCTCTGTCAGCTGAGGTTGAGCTGTTTTAGTTTACATTGAGTTCTATGGGGAAAATTTCTGGGTAGCCCACGTGAATTTAGTCTTGTTCAGTCTGCAGTACCACAAGAATCCCCGTAGCACGAGTTCTTCAGCTCTAAGCTAGTAATACCCTATCCAGTTAATATAATAGATCCATGTTTGATGCCCACCTTTTTGAGAAAACTACCCACAATGCCGTGTGGTCGAGCCGGAAGCTTGGAACTCTTAATGCATGTATTGTCACTCCCGTATTCGTCCCGGAAACCGGATTCGTCCGGAAGTTCAGTTTGATCCAATGAGCATACGCAGCAGTAGATTACGTCACGGAATCTGGACGGAAGCGGAAGTAAATATAAAAAACTACCTATTCATGCCTAAACTTAACCAGCCATTCCCATAAAATAACCCCAACCCAGCCTTAACCATCTTAAATCAGAGGCCTAAACTTAACCAGTCACCACTTAAGGACATATTAAACTTTTTGACATGCGCAAACTGAACTTCCGGACGAATCCGGTTTCCGGGACGAATACGGGAGTGACATGTATGGCTGCCGTGGCTACTAGTCACATGACCGTAGGATCCCTCTATACGGAATCGGGACGAAACCGGAAGTAACAATCCTACTTTCAATTTTTTTAAGAATTAAAAAAATAAATGAATAAGTCCTTAAGTGGTGACTGGTTAAGTTTTAGGTGTCTGAGTAAGATGGTTAAGGTTAGGGTTAAGGGTGGGTTGGGGTTATTTTATGGGAATGGCTGGTTAAGTTTAGGCATGAATAGGTAGTTTGTTATTTTTGTGTGTGTCGTCTTCTCTGTCTGGTGCACACCGGGGTAGTCTTGCACAGTTTTTCCAATGTGGTTTTACTGCAAATGGCAAATAAATGAATCTGAATCTGAATATTTACTTCCGCTTCCGTCCCGATTCCGTATATGATCTAGTGCTGACCGATCTATGTCCTTGTAAACCAGTTATGTTACACACACATCAGTTGCCATCCAATTCACAAAGTACCAGTGAGGGGCAGGTGCTCTGTAAATTGGGTGGCAGCCGATTGCCACCCGACCCAGAAATGGATTAAGGGAAAGAAAATGGATGAATGAACGCACACTTTCACGCCTTTTCAGCAGAAACCAATGGTTTGAGTGACATGTGACCCCAGTGTGAGGTAAATATCCTAGAGTATTTCATGATAAAATAAGTAAAGAAATCCTTTAGTCATTGGAAATTTGTTATGTTGCAGTGTGAGAGCACACCAGATCCATGGAGCACGCACACACACACACGCAAATGAGTAAAAGTTACTTACGTTTACTCACTGGGACAGAAGGTGCCGGGATCAGGGCCATGTGAGCGTGGGGGACATGGGTCTCTGCTCCGTGTTGGTTGGGAGACAACAGACAAATCCATTGGAGACAACAAAAGTCCCGCGCTGCAGATAGGCGCTCCTACAGCACAGGAGGGGTACAACAGCGTAGTGACGTCACTCACCATGGCAGGTGAGGTCACAGCTTGACGCAACAGTAAGTCCACACACACACCCTCGGATTCTTGTAAAATCCTTTAACACGTTTTATTCCTTCATTTACAAAAGAATCCAGTGTTTTTCCTCTCACACATAGTACCAGTCTACAGACATGGGGGCCCCCCAGATGTGGGCCTCCAGATTTGCCCCCAACCCCCCTCCTCTAGGGAATCTTCAGACAGAAACACTGTATTTTACACGTTTTGTTCTCTCTTACAAACCCGGCATGAGGTAATGTGGTCCTGCCTTTCTGGAGAGCACTGGGACTGGATCAAGCTAGCGCCGGTCTAAGTCCTGGTTCAGTCTTGGTCCAGACCTACTTTAGTCCTGGTTTTGGCCTTGTTCTTTCTTGGCCCTGGTTTTCTCAAGTCCAGCCCAGCACGTGAGAAGCCTTAAAACACTTTGGCTATGGTCTTGGTAAATTTCTGTCCAGCTCGGTCCAGCGTGTGGAAAGTTTTAAACCAGTCAATAGTGAATTTGAAGAAGTTATAAAATTGTAAAACTCAAAATGACAAAAAGTAGAAAAGTTTGAGGTATTCTCTGTGTGAGGTCAGAGCGGCTACATGTGGGCAGAACTGAGGTCAGAGGTCTGGGCGGCTGTCCGCTCAAACACCACCAAAAATAATATTAATACTGAAATATCAGCCTCAACATGTGTCAACACTCCCCTCTACACTCCCCCCTCACCCTCTACACTATACTGACCTCCCTCACTCCCACATTCCTACACCCCACATTCACTCCCCCCTACATACATGAATTAATATAAAAGTCTTCAGTTCAGTTTGAGAAACAAAAAATGTACATGAAATTATATAAAAATAGGTTTCTCTGATGCTTTTAGTATTTAGTCCAGTCCTAGTCATGTCATGGTTGAGTCCTGGTTTAGACCTGGTCAAGTTCTGGATTAGGCCTATTTTATACCTGGTTTTGTCCTGGTTTAGACCTGGTTCAGGCCTCGTTCTGACCTGGTTCAGTCCAGGTCCAGTCTGGTATAAAAGTGGTCTACTGAGGTACTGGTGGTGACCTGAAGTCTCACAGTCTCACACAAATGAACCAAGTACAAAACTTAAAAAAAAAACAATAAAAAATAAAATACAAAAATTAAGTCTTTAAGAATGTATAGCAGCTTCTGAGAGCAGCAGAAAGCACCTACAGAACGCACACGCGGCTCGGCGCAGGAACAGACACTTCCACCGAAGCCTCTGGTCTTGTTCGCTCCAATGCAGTTTCTGCTCCAGAGACTGACAGTTTCACTGTGATCAAATGCAACGTAACTTCAAACATTAAGATTTGGCAAATACATAGTCTTCAAATTGGTGAAAAATGATGTTTATCTTTAAATAATGTCATTGAGCCACTGCATTTTCCGGCTGAGGTGTTTCTAAAATGTAGTTTTAAATATGTTAAATCCTCTGAGAAAAGTTGTGTCCGGTGAGTTTCTGGTAAAAAGTTCATAATCTCATAAACTGGACTCTTTGGGCGGGAGGTTGGTCACCGTGGAGACTAGCAGGGGGGTGTGGTCTGAGCAGGAAGTGACACGGATCTGCCCAATGCGCTCCTCCACACAGCCAGCAGAGAGACGTGCTTCTGCATCATGGTCCCAGCACTCCTCCACGGTCTCACACAGCAAGGACAGGCCCTGAGGAAATAAAATGGATTTATGGAGTAAGAGATGAACCACAGACTCACACAACTCATTGCTAACCCCCTAGCTCAATGCTAAACATGTCTAAAAGGTCATTCCTTATATGGCTCATATCTGGATTTTTGAAGAGAATATTACAAAATAAATACCAGGATTACAGAGCCAAACTTCACCATTAGCACTTCCCTATTGGGCTTCATTGAGCTAGTGGGTTAGCATTTAGCTAGCGGGTCAGTCCACTAATATACGGACTATGGGCTCCACAGACTGTAGTTTGGGCCTCTCTAGCCGTAATTAGTATTATTGTAATTATCTTTTCATTATATTTTAGTGACCGCATGACATCGTGGTGACATCGCAATGACAGCATGATGACATCACTGTCTTACCGTGTGCTTGAGCCACTGCTCTTTGAAGACTGGTCGGAGTTTCTTATGAACCACCACTTCCTGCAAATCCTCCAGAGACGGATGCTGCCCCACCTCATCCTCAAAAGGAAGAAGATACTCATCCACTGGACCTGGACCCAGACCAGACGGGGTTAGACCAGAGTGAGAGACTAGACAGAGGGAGCAGAGTTAGAGCAGAGTTAGAGCAGAGTTAGAGCAGAGTTAGAGCAGAGTTAGAGCAGAGTTGGAGCAGAGTTGGAGCAGAGTTGGAGCAGAGTTGGAGCAGAGTTGGAGCAGAGTTGGAGCAGAGTTGGAGCAGAGTTGGAGCAGAGTTGGAGCAGAGTTGGAGCAGAGTTGGAGCAGAGTTGGAGCAGAGGTGGAGCAGAGGTGGAGCAGAGGTGGAGCAGAGTTGGAGCAGATTTGGAGCAGAGTTGGAGCAGAGTTGGAGCAGAGTTGGAGCAGAGTTGGAGCAGAGTTGGAGCAGAAGTGGAGCAGAGGTGGAGCAGAGGTGGAGCAGAGGTGGAGCAGAGGTGGAGCAGAGGTGGAGCAGAGGTGGAGCAGAGGTGGAGCAGAGGTGGAGCAGAGGTAGAGCAGAGGTAGAGCAGAGTTAGATAAATAAATAAATAAATAAATAAAATAATCTGCTCTAAGTAGGGACAGTACATATTATTGAACATATAAAAATATGTAAATATGTCAGATTTTAGCCGTAGGATAATTTCCATCTGTTGTCCCAACACAGGCTGATGTGAAACTTCACATTTAACATCAAAATCACAAAAACAATACCAATACCGGAAACAAGACAACTACAGGACAAAAAAACGTAACAAACAAAATACTGGACAGGACAGAGGACAAGGAGGACAGAGGACGGCAAGGGTAAGGCAGAAAGTGCGTGAGTGCGAAGGCAGTTTACTTCCACAAACCCAGCATAAGTCAATTAATTAATTGCTAAGTTGATAAAAATCTAAAATTAATGTTATTCATGTATACATACAGTGCCTTGCGAAAGTATCTTGAACCTTTCGCCACATTTCAGGCTTCAAACATAGATATAAAATTTTTTTTTTTTTGTCAAGAATCAACAACAAGTGGGACACAATCGTGAAGTGGAACAAAATTTATTGGATAATTTAAACTTTTTTAATAAATAAAAAACTGAAAAGTGGGGCGTGCAATATTATTCGGCCCCCTTGCGCTAATACTTTGTAGCGCCACCTTTTGCTGCAATTACAGCTGCAAGTCGCTTGGGGTATGTCTCTATCAGTTTTGCACATCGAGAGACTGGAATTCGGGCCCATTCTTCCTTGCAAAACAGCTCGAGCTCAGTGAGGTTGGATGGAGAGCGTTTGTGAACAGCAGTCTTCAGCTCTTTCCACAGATTCTCGATTGGATTCAGGTCTGGACTTTGACTTGGCCATTCCAACACCTGGATACGTCTATTTGTGAACCATTCCATTGTAGATTTGGCTTTATGTTTTGGATCATTGTCCTGTTGGAAGATAAATCTCCGTCCCAGTCTCAGGTCTTTTGCAAACTCCAACAGGTTTTCTTCCAGAATGGTTCTGTATTTGGCTCCATCCATCTTCCCATCAATTTTAGCCATCTTCCCTGTCCCTGCTGAAGAAAAGCAGGCCCAAACCATGATGCTGCCACCACCATGTTTGACAGTGGGGATGCTGTGTTCAGGGTGATGAGCTGTGTTGCTTTTACGGCAAACATATCGTTTTGCATTGTGGCCAAAAAGTTTGATTTTTGTTTCATCTGACCAGTGCACCTTCTTCCACATGTTTGGTGTGTCTCCCAGGTGGCTTGTGACAAACTTTAAACGAGACTTTTTATGGATATCTTTGAGAAATGGCTTTCTTCTTGCCACTCTTCCATAAAGGCCAGATTTGTGCAGTGCACGACTGATTGTTGTCCTATGGACAGACTCTCCCACCTCAGCTGTAGTTATCTGCAGTTCATCCAGAGTGATCATGGGCCTCTTGGCTGCATCTCTGATCAGTCTTCTCCTTGTTTGAGATGAAAGTTTGGAGGGACGGCCAGGTCTTGGTAGATTTGCAGTGGTCTGATACTCCTTCCATTTCAATATAATTGCTTGCACAGTGCTCCTTGAGATGTTTAAAGCTTGGGAAATCTTTTTGTATCCAAATCCGGCTTTAAACTTCTCCACAACAGTATCTCGGACCTGCCTGGTGTGTTCCTTTGTCTTCATGGTTCTCTCTGCGCTTTAAACAGAACCCTGAGACTATCAAAGAGCAGGTGCATTTATACGGAGACTTGATTACACACAGGTGCATTCTATTTATCATCATCAGTCATTTAGGACAACATTGGATCATTCAAAGATCCTCACTGAACTTCTGGAGTGAGTTTGCTGCACTGAAAGTAAAGGGGCCGAATAATATTGCACGCCCCACTTTAAACATTTTTAACAAATAAAAAACTGAAAATTATCCAATAAATTTCGTTCCACTTCACGATTGTGTCCCACTTGTTGATTCATGACAAAAAAATTCAAATTTTATATCTTTATGTTTGAAGCCTGAAATGTGGCGAAATGTTGAAAAGTTCAAGGGGGCCGAAAACTTTCGCAAGTCACTGTATATATGTATATATATTAATATATATATATAAAAATAAAAAAAACTTAATGTGCTGCGGTGCATTGCACAAAGCCCTAAGGTGCATGTTGACAAGTTTGGGTTGATCTGAGCCACTCTTTTAAGTGACTTTTAAATGATTTGAAGCTTGGGGCTTCCCTCACAGTAGTTGGTAGTTTGTTCCACTGGACACTGCCTTTATACAGTAGGACAGGACATTCTGACCAAAGGAGGTTTTCCTCATAGGCACCTCACAGTCGCCTTTGCTCATGGACAGAGTTGTTCTCGAAGCTCTTGTTATGTATTTAATGTACAGTGGGGCAAAAAAGTATTTAGTCAGCCACCGATTGTGCATGTTCTCCCACTTAAAATAATGACAGAGGTCTGTAATTTTCATCATAGGTACACTTCAACTGTGAGAGACAGAATGTGAAAAAAAATCCAGGAATTCACATTGTAGGATTTTTAAAGAATTTATTTGTAAATTATGGTGGAAAATAAGTATTTGGTCAATAACAAAAATTCAACTCAATACTTTGTAATATAACCTTTGTTGGCAATAACAGAGGTCAAACGATTACTATAGGTCTTTACCAGGTTTGCGCACACAGTAGCTGGTATTTTGGCCCATTCCTCCATGCAGATCAGTGATGTTTTGGGGCGGTCGCCGAGCAACACAGACTTTCAACTCCCTCCACAGATTTTCAATGGGGTTGAGGTCTGGAGACTGGCTAGGCCACTCCAGGACTTTCAAATGCTTCTTACGGAGCCACTCCTTCGTTGCCCGGGCGGTGTGTTTGGGATCATTGTCATGCTGGAAGACCCAGCCACGTTTCATCTTCAAAGCTCTCACTGATGGAAGGAGGTTTTCGCTCAAAAGATCACGATACATGGCCCCATTCATTCTTTCCTTAACACGGATCAGTCGTCTTGTCCCCTTAGCAGAAAAACAGCCCCAAAGCATGACGTTTCCACCCCCATGCTTCACAGTAGGTATGGTGTTCTTGGGACGCAACTCAGCATCTTCATTTGGTAAACTCAACGACGAGTTGAGTTTACCAAACAGTTCTACTTTGGTTTCATCTGACCACATGACATTCTCCCAATCCTCTGCTGTATCATCCATGTGCTCTCTGGCAAACTTCAGATGGGCCTGGACATGCACTGGCTTCAGCAGGGGGACACGTCTGGCACTGCAGGATTTGATTCCCTGTCGTCGTAGTGCGTTACTGATGGTAACCTTTGTTACTTTGGTCCCAGCTCTCTGCAGATCATTCACCAGGTCCCCCCGTGTGGTTCTGGAATTTTTGACCACCGTTCTCATGATCATTTTGACCCCACGGGATGAGATCTTGCGTGGAGCCCCAGATCGAGGGAGATTATCAGTGGTCTTGTATGTCTTCCATCTTCTGATAATTGCTCCCACAGTTGATTTGTTCACACCAAGCTGCTTGCCTATTGTAGATTCACTCTTCCCAGTCTGGTGCAGGTCTAAGATTCTTTTCCTGATGTCCTTCGACAGCTCTTTGGTCTTGGCCATAGTGGAGTTTGGAGTCTGACTGTTTGAGGCTGTGGACAGGTGTCTTTTATACAGATAACGAGTTCAAACAGGTGCCATTAATACAGGTAAGGAGTGGAGGACAGAAGAGCTTCTTAAAGAAGAAGTTACAGGTCTGTGAGAGCCAGAGATCTTCCTGGTTTGAAGTGACCAAATAATTATTTTCCACCATAATTTACAAATACATTCTTTAAAAATCCTACAATTTGAATTCCTGGATTTTGTTTTCACATTCTGTCTCTCACAGTTGAAGTGTTCCTATGATGAAAATTACAGACCTCTGTGATTATTTTAAGTGGGAGAACTTGCACAATCGGTAGCTGACTAAATACTTTTTTTGCCCCACTGTAGCTTGTTAAAGGTGGTGGAGCCAACCCATGTAAACTTTTATAAATCAGACAACAGTTTTTAAAATGTATGAAATTTTCAAAGCTCGATAGGTTATGTTTGGAGAGGATTTTACAACGATGGTACCTAAATGGTTTTTTTATCAAGGATTTTCAGTGCCTTTTTATAAAGTCTTTCAATTGGTTTCAAAGTGGTTCCACCTGTCAGAGACCAACTGATTAAACAATAGCCGACATGTGCATTTATCTGAAGACATGAGCGAGTCAAGCAATCCTGAATACGAGTTAGGGCTGATGTAAGAATTTGGGCCGCTTCCTCAGATGATTTTTCCCCCGTACAGATGACTGCATCATCGGCGTATAGTTGAATGTCCACATCCTTACAAACATCAGGTAAATCATTTATAAATAGTGAAAATAAAATAGGCCCCAAGATGGACCCTTGGGGGAAAGAAGTCATCTTTTTTGGATTGTACACAAGTACAATCCAAAAAAGATGACTTCTTTCCATTAACTACAGTTGCTTGTTTTTGGCTTGATAAGTATGAAGACATCCATTTTAAAGCTTGGTCAGAGAAATAGAAAGTTTTGAGCTTTGACAGTAGTATGTTATGATCCTGGATCTATTATATTAACTGGATAGGGTATTACTAGCTTGGAGCTGAAGAACCCATGTGCTCGAGGGATTCTCGCAGTACTGCAGACTGAAAAAGACTAAATTCACGTGGGCTACCCAGAAATTTTCCCCACTGAACTCAATGTACACAGCGCGACCTCAGCTGACAGAGAACCTACAGCTTTCATAAAGGTCGGATTATGTGGGGATTTTAGTGTCCCTTGTCATCCTGAACTTTTCTTCTTAAATCCTTCGGTTTTCTTTAAATCCACACTTTAGTGCCACAAACTCTGCTCGTCTGGCTCTCGCTCTAACTCCTGCTCTGATGAACTGCTCTGATTGGTCAGAGCGCACTCAAGCCCCTCTGTGCACGTGCGTGAGACCCCATGTGAGACCCACACATGGTATTTGGCACAACGCATCATGGGAGTTCATCCACTGCGCAGAACCGGGAGGACCAGACAATGCCCAAATACAGGCGAGTTTCCGGCGACTTCCGCTAATCTTTCAGCCCCCGTGCCGGCACAAAGTGCCACTGAGCACAACCATTCATTTAAATACGGCGCCATCTTGGATCGCCGGGGCTTGGTTATTATTCACTACATCAAACGCTACTACTTTTGACTTTTTCCAGAAACATTGCTATGGCAGATTCGGTCGAGTGATAAGCACAAAAGCCGAATTGCATTGGGTGCAGGAGTTTGGCGAGTTTGTAGATGTTCAATTAACTGTTTTGCAACCCATTTCTCAAGAACTTTTGAAAACACTGGCAGTATGCTGATTGGTCTGTAATTGTTTATATTAGTTTTATCGCCCGACTTAAAAATAGGGGTAACTGTCGCCATCTTCCATTGTGCCACAATGGAGTGCTTAATTGACAAATTTATTATATGCACAAATGGATGTGCTAGAGCCATTTTGTGCATTTTAAGAAATCCAACATCCAAATTGTGGTGGTCTTTAGCTTTGGAGTCTCATTGTACTTATTATATTTACAATTCAGCCTCGGATACCAATTTTATTTTAAATGTTTGACCGTTTGTTTCAGTGATGTGAGATAATTCCGGTGTTTTGAATCATGCGGCTATGTGCTCAGAAGAGCGTAGAAACGATACGTTCAGCTCCTCAGCCAGTATTGCAGGATCCTTCACAAGCTGGTCGTTGATTTTCAATTCCAGGTCTTTTACATATTTCTTTGTCTGCCTCATTAAGAGTTTATTGATATTCTGCCATATTTGCTTTCCATTACCATTTGCATTTTCCATAATTGTGACAAACATTTTTGCTTTGACTCTTCGCAGCTCAGCCGTTACTCTATTTCTCATGGATACATTTTTTTACCTGTCTGTCAACCCAGACTTAATTGAACTTTTCAGAAGCTGATCTCTTGTTTTCATTCATTTCAGACAATTTGAATTCAGTCATGGCAAGGAATTGGATTGTTGTTGTTGTTTTTATTTATTGTTTTTGTAAACGCTCTCTTTAATTTTGTTGAGAAATATTTCAGAGCATGTTTCAGTATCATCACATGCAATTAGATTTTCCCAAGTGAGATCCTTCCTAAATGTTTTTGATGTTTAGGTATACCATTGAATTGTGATTTCCCAACAGGAATGGTAAATGACTGGTTAAAGCGTTGTTTAGTTAATTTTCTTGTACAAAAAATTGCATTATAGTCTGAAAGCCCAGTTAATAGATTATACGTTTTAGTAATCCTTTCAAGTTTATCTCAATTAATTGAGTGAATTGAAATTGGTCTGTTATCATTTTAAGGGTTTTCCTGTCCTTTCTATCATCACAGTTAATGTCACCTAATATAATTATTTCCTTCTTATGATTACACGTGCTAAGAAGATTCTTGAGTTGCTCACAAAAAACAGACTTAGAAGGTTTGCGATAGAAACAGATTTCAGTCAGTGACATTTCAGAAGAGACATTTTTACTCCTGCACATGCTAACGTGATCCAGCGCAGACTTAGCGCAGACTTAGCGCAGACTTAGCGCAGACTTAGCGCAGACTTAGCGCAGACTTAGCGCAGACTTAGCGCAGACTTAGCGCAGACTTAGCGCAGAGAGAGACGGCCGAGATAGAGCCAGAGAGAGAGACCAGTAATCTCAGCAGACATGTTTGTTGTACCGTCAGCAGCCGTGCAGCGTGACACCAGCTCCCACAGCACCAGTCCCAGGGCGTACATGTCAATTCGAAGGAATGCGTCTCTCTGGAAATTTATGGCTCCCTCCAACACCTCAGGAGCCATGTACCGCCGGGTTCCCACCTGAAACAGGGGAAGAAAGAGAGCGTGACACAGGGGAATAGTCTCTGGTCCCTGGCCTCCCGTCTCTGGTCCCTGGCCTCCCGTCTCCTCGCGTCTCTGGTCCCTGGCCTCGCGTCTCCAGTCTGGCGTCTCCCATCCATACCTGTCCATGGGTCTCTCCTGGGGGAATCCCGGCCTCGAACAGGACAGCGAGACCGAAGTCACCGATAACAGCGCTCAGGTCAGTGCGTAGCATCACGTTCTTACTCTTGAAGTCTCTGTGGAAGAAAACCAGGAATGAAACCGGTCTGAACCAGTTTTGAACCTGGTCTAAAGCAAGACTAAGGGTGTATTCAGACCTGAAAAGTCCTTTGCTCCGCTTGCTTGATCCGAATCAAAAGTGGACCAAACTTTTTTCTTTTGCTCCGGTTCGTATTCAGACTGTCCTTTTTGCAAGTTAACTTTTTTATATAAACATATTGACACGTGTGACGATCGGCGCTCCTATTGGACAGTGAGAGCTCACGGAGGATAGACGCGGAACCGGCAGAAAACATTGAGGGCTCGTATGTGCAGCATGTCTGCTCTGCCTATGTTTGCTCTTTTTAGAGCAAAACCACCTTCAACATCAACAGGAGCTCATATGACACAGGCGAAACACGTTGTTTTAAATATTGGAACAGCGTCGGAGAATGCGTGAGGAGAAAGCTGAAGGAGAGACTATCTGTGCGCTCCGTGTCCTGTCCTGTCCCACACATGGATCTATGATAATAACGGCCCTGTTCAGCATTGTGGATAAACCATGGATCTACAATAACCACGGGACAAACAGACGCTGAGGATCAGGTATGAACCAAATAACACAATTCACTACATGATGCGGAATATTGCTCTTTGAGACGTGAGTCAAACAGTGTCAGTCTTTTTATAATGCAAATGGTTTGAAGATGCTGCCATTAACATCAATGTATACTGTGAACAGCTGTAACTCCATAAGCCTGTTGCACAGCGTGTCCTCACTGCTCCAGGTCTGCCCACGGCTCAGTGTTGTTGTGTAGCTTTAGCAGCATAGTTAGCATCATAGATAGCAGCATAGTTAGCCGCTGCGTGGCTAATTCCTCAGTTTCTGTCTACGGCTTGTTAAGCCCAAAAATGCGCACGTATCTTGGAGTTGTGTCGGATCGACACCGGATGTATTCAGACCTGATTCGACTTGGACCAAAATTCGTTTGGAAGCGGACCGAGACCACCTAAAAAAGTGGGTCTCGGTCCGGTTCTTTGGTCCGGACCAGGATTCGTTTGTGTCCAAACAAAACCTGGTCCGTTTAAAGTGGAGCAAATGTGCAGGTCTGAATACACCCTAAAGCAGGTCTAAAGCAGGTCTAAAGCAGGTCAGGTCTAAAGGAGGTCTAAAGCAGGACTAAAGCAAGACCAAAGCAGATCTATCCCAGAACCTTGTACCTGTGGGCGATGGAAGGCTTGGGCCCGTCCTTGCTGCCCCAGGGCATATCTTCATGGAGGAAGGCCAGACCGCAAGACATGGACTCAGCGATGAGACAAAGTTCAGACCAGCTGACAATATTCCCCTTGAGGAAGTCACAGAGAGAGCCCTGAGGAGAGATACAGCTGTTAGCTTCAGTCTTAGTCACAGCTCTATCAGCTTCTACTCCTCACTGACCCGCTGGTGGAACTCAGTGATGAGCCACAGTTCGGCCTCCAGGAGGCGCCCTCTGCGCTCCGCTCCCACGAAACGCAGGATGTTTTCATGTCTGAGGCCAGGAGTGAGGAAGACCATGTGTTCATTCTCCCACGAAGCTTTATTCTGAAGAAGAGACAGTAGACCACAGCAAGTCTAAAGCAAGTCTACAGCAGGTCTAAAGCAAGTCTACAGCAGGTCTAAAGCAAGTCTACAGCAGGTCTACAGAAGGTCAAGAGCAGGAGGACCACTGACCTGGATGGGGAAGATCTTCACAGCCACTAACTCGTGGATCATCTGAGCTCTCCACACGCAGCCGAAGCGCCCCCTGGCTTTGACCTCGAGCAACTGCAGCGGCTTGAGTCCAAGGGGAGAGGAGGGGGGAGATCCAGGGTCCTAGGGGCGAGAAACAGAGTATGCTCATGTAATAGCATACTCTCTCATGTAACTGAGTACTATACAAAAGTAGTTCAGCTCCTGGACTGAACCAAAATTGATGATCTATGTTTAGCAGCCATGGAGCTCACAGTAACTCGCCACTAATGAAGCAAATTTTTAGAGTAGTAGTAGTAGTAATAGTACCTCTGTGATGTCCACTTGTCCATACAGGGGCTTGCGGCGCCAGTACATCCACATCACGGTGAACACAGTGAGGAAGAGCAGGACCCCCGGGACCAAGAGGTAAACCAGGACTCTGCGAGGAGGCGGGGTTTTGAGGACTGACACACACACACACACACACACACACACACACACACACACACACACACACACACACACACACACACACACACACACACACACACACACACACACACACACACACACACACACACACACACACACACACACACACACACACACACACACACACACACACACACACACACACACACACACACACACAAAAAATTCTGCTAGTGCATATACTCACAATGTTAATCAAGTATTAAACCAGGACAAGACCAGGAAAAGGCCAGGTCCGGAGCAGGACTCACGGGGGCCATTGGGGTCTGGAAGGTGGGTGAATCTCTCGTTGCACATATTTCCTTCACAACAGCAGAAGAAAACCTGTGGAGATTCCTCAGTTGCCACACACTCCTGTCTGTAACAAAAACTGGTGTGAGACCAGAGATAGAGACCAGAGAGAGAGACCAGAAAGAAATAGCAGAGAGAGAGAGACCAGGAAGATTGAGCAGAGAGAGAGAGAGAGCAACAAGATACCAGAGCGAGAGAGCACCTCTCACCTGTCGTAGCAGTTGTAGTCGTCCAGCCAACAGCCTTTCTTCAGCAGCTCGATGCTCCCGCTCTCGTTCCTCCATGATGCGTAACAGTGTGAGCGCTTGTCAGCCTCAGTCTCACACTGCTCCACACCACTGCGGTTTGTCCGCTCCAGCTCAGAGTTCATGTTGTAGAAGAGGCAGGTCTGTGTCTGCGTCTGTAGCTGTGTCTCCGTCTGTAGCTGAATCTGTGTCTGCAGCTGTGTCTGTGTCTGCACACGGCTCACACCTGTGGACACACATGTGGTCAGAAGAGACTAGTTTTCTTTTGGGCAGAAAAATTCCAACAATTAGAGGCTCCTGAAGCATCTGCTGGTCCTGGGCCTCACCCCCACAAGCCTCAACCAAAGACTTGCTCTTGGAGTGAGTGTGGATCCGCAGTCTGTTTTCTGTGTGAGGTTGTTCTGGATTATGCTCAAGCGTTCTCAGGGTTAGTGACCTCTGACCTGTGTCTGCTCTGTTACAAAGCCTGTGTGCGCCTTATTTACATGTTTCTCTTATTCTAAGGACTCAGTCTCAGACCTGGTTCCTCCCCCCACTCTGGTCCCAGTCCCAGTCTTCCCTATACACATGTAAATATCTCCAGCAGCTGGAGTCTGGACCATGTCTGAACCTCCACCAGGCACTGTGAGATGAGAATGTGGACTTGAGGCTCCTGTTTACGTCTGTTTTACAAATGTTCACTTTCTGTTATTGAGTTATTCTTTCCTTTTGTTCAAATTAAGAATACTATTATCACTTATAGTTAAAATAGTGGGGTTCAGTTTCTGCATGGATCAGTCTGCTTGGATGTTGTGCACAAACACAAACACGTAAGAAACATAACCCTAATGCAACCAGGTCTGGAGCAGGTCTGGTCCTACACAGCCCATTGTTCTGAAGGCCCTGTTGCTAAATTGTGAGTGAAAGGGGGGTAGGGGGGGTGTACAAAGGCTGTATTTGGCTTACCAGCTTACTAGGAAAAGTACTCCAGTAAAAATACTTCAAGTACCCCTATCCCAGTCTCAAACACAGAATCATCAGTCTAACTCACCACATGGGTTTTACTACTATAGTTACCATGGCAACGGTCTCCAGGGCCTTTTATATATAGCCTCATTTACACACTGTAGTAACGCACACACACTTTAGTAACACACACACACAACGGATTGAGAAGCGAACCAAGGACACCTCGTCACCTCAACATGACTCACAGCAGTGCTGTTCATCTGAGCCAAAATGTCTGTTCATCTGAGATATAATGCCTTGTGCTTTTGATAATGTTAATAATGAACACTTGACATAATATCCAAGCACCAATACGATATGATGTTTCCTCAAAAAGGTTTACGGCATTGACGTTTACGGTCCTAAAGCTAACAGATGGAGCTAACATCCAAACAATCTGTGGCTGCATCCGAATTCATAAATACCTCCCTTCTTATCAGCTGTGACCTTTGTGGCTCACCTGTGATCTTTGTTAAATGCACCTGACTGCAGCAGGTGCAGTAGGGTACCTGTGCAGTCAGGAGCTGGTACTGTCGGTGTTGGTGGTGGATCTTGGTGCTGAATTAATGTTCCAGAAATGTTGCATTATTTCTGAATCATTATTGATTACAGGGTATTTGCACAAGGCCTTAATGAATCGGCTTTAGTCCTTCACCCTCAGTGACTCTCTCAACTCCCAGCTTGTGCAACAGCCCCACTCCTTCCCTCATCCTCACACAGACATTCTAAACTCTGTCTCAATCCGACACAAACCACACTCTTTACCAGATGAACATGAATGAGAAGAATGATGTTTGTAATAAAGGTCATGTCCAGAACAGGTGGTGATCTTTGACCTTACTACTGCCACCATCACTTTTTTTGGTCTTCTTTGATTCACCACAACAACAGCCACCACGACAACATCACATAATGAAAAAAAACATTTACAATTACATTCAACTGGATCTTAGAGCCACTCTCTCTAAAACTGGCCTTTTAGTCATATTTTTAGGCCTCGGATCACATGCAGTGGCTTTAGATGAAGGTACAACATCGATAATAGTGATGATAGTGGCGGTAGTGGTACGTGAAAGTAGTGGTAGTAGTGGTAGTGATCGTAGAGATGGTGACAGTAGTGATAAAAGTGGTAGTATGGTGTTCGCAGAGGCCGAGTTCACCTGAGCACAGGGCGGCCGTCAGCAGGAGGGTGATCCCAGGACAGAGCCTCATCTCCCCGCGCTGCCTCCCCCTCTCTGCGGGCTTTGTGTACAGCTTTGCCCGCGACGGATGCAGCGCGCTTCAGCCCTGGAGCACCATACGGGAGGAGAGCATGCACAGGGCGGCTGAGGCTTTCGGTCCGGGGTGCAGGCTTCGGTTGTAACCGGACTTCAGGCTCTGTTACCGGGATGCAACCTCTGTTCCCATCCGGGCTCCAGGCTCTGAACCCGGGGTGCAGGCGTCGCTGGTAGCCGGGCTCCAAGCTCTGTTCCCCGGGTGAAACCTCTGTCCGCAGCAGGCTCCAAGCTCAGTTCTCGGGATGGAGGTTTCGCTCGTAGCCGGGCACCAGGCTCAGTTCTCGGGGTGAAGCGTCTGAGTGCAGGGGGCTGCTGGGGACACGCTGGAGCTCTGTGTAAAGCCAAGTGTATTACGCACGCACCACGCTTCCGTTTCACAGTAAAAGCCCGAGTGCACGTTCAGAAGGAGATTCAGATGAAGCCTCATTCACACTGGGGAGGGGACCGCGGTAAAGTGGGCCGCATCTTTCACCTCCGAAGTAAAACGGCCCGCATCGAGAGAAAAACAGTGCGCGTTTTGTTGACTGCTTACGGTAATAGCGGAACAGCCTTTCGGAGTCACCTTTTCTCCTCGAACAGAAAGCGCGCTGAGGAGACTCGTTTTTGTGAATAAACCAATATTTGGAAAGCATTTAATTTGGTAAAATTTTCAGCAGCTGTCCATTTTTACAGTAAAGACTTGTGTGGCTTATTCCACTGGGTTCATGACCTCGATATAGCTGCCTTCAACGCTGTGCCTACGACCACACACCTTTACTGTGGAAATGTTGGGTAAAATTGAGACAAAGTACACTTTAGTGCAAAATACACAAAACTGTAAAAACATTCCCGCTTTTGATCTACTGTAACTATTTACTGTAAAAAGGTGTGTGACTCTTTCCAATGGATTTATGTCCTCATTATTATGTTCTACCACTGTGCCAAAGACCAGAAACTTTTACTGTGGACATTTGGAGAAATATGGAGTTAAAGTAGCCATTTTGGTTCAAAGTAGCCAAAAAAATGGTCAAAACATGTCATTTTTTATCTACTGTAACCTTTTACTGTAAAAAGGTGTGCAACTAATTTCACTGGATTCATGACCTCATGATTGCCCTCTACCGCTGTACCAAAGACAAGAAATATTTACTGTAGAAATATTGAGAAATATTGATTTAAAGTAGCCATTTTGGTCCAAAATACCTCCAAAATAGTCAAAACATGTCACTTTTGATCTACTGTAACTTTTTACTGTAAAAAGGTGTGCGACTAATTTCACTGGATTCATGACCTCATGATTGCCCTCTACCACTGTACCAAAGACCAGAAACTTTTACTGTAGAAATATTGAGAAATATTTATTTCAAGTAGCCATTTTGGTCCAAAATAGCCTAAAAATGGTCAAAACATGTCACTTTTGATCTACTGTAACTTTTTACTGTAAAAAGGTGTGCGACTAATTTCACTGGATTCATGACGTCATGATTGCCCTCTAACACTGTACCAAAGACCAGAAACTTTTACTGTAGAAATATTGAGAAATATTGATTTAAAGTAGCCATTTTGGAAATGCCTCAAAAATAGTCAACCGGAGCACCCAGACGAAACCTATGCAGACACGGGGAACATGCAAACTCCACTCAGTAAGGCACTGTTCCGACTGGGATTCGAACCCAGGACCTTCTTGCTGAGAAGCGAGAGTGCTATCCACTCAGCCACCGTGCCGCCAAAGTGGAGAGGTCCTTCCTCACGTGGAGGAGTTCAAGTATCTCGGGGTCTTGTTCACGAGTGACGGAAGGATGGAGCGTGAGATTGACAGGTGGATTGGTGCAGCGTGCGCAGTGATGCGGCCACTTTCGATTTACCGGTCAATTCTTGTTCCCTCCATCACCTCTGGTCATGAGCTTTGGATATTGTCGAAAGAACGAGATTGTAGATACAAGCGGTGGGAAAGACTGGTTGGGCACTCCCTTAAGGTGTTTTCACCCCGGACTCAACTTAGACTGGAAAAGCGTCAGTTTTGCACTGAAAATGAATAGTGAAGCGCGTCAGGTGACGCTGAGAGGCCCGGCGTCACTTGAAGCGCTTCAAAAGACGCGAGCATTATGCGCGTCACTTGAAGCTTTTGACACGCGTAATGCTTGCGTCTGTTTTGTCGTAAAAAAGTCCCTTAACGCCGAAGTTGAGAAAAGCTTTTGGAGCTTGACGCCGGGCTTCAACCAATCTGGAGACGAGGAGAAGCAGCAGCAGCAGCAGCAGGGCTGTCATGTAGCTGCTACTGATTTTTCATTGTCATTATTGTTATTTGTAATATTATTTGTATAAATAGTAACGTTCTTAAAAAGTAAGTAACACAATCACATCATCATGTACATATGCTGTGAAGTTAAAGTAATTTATTTAGTATAAGAACAAGCTAAAGCTGGCTCAGACACAGCAGACTGAAAGACAGGCGCTCCTCCGCGGGAATCAGTGCGAGCTCCAGGCGGGAGCGAGAGAAGCTCCTCCCACCCGGCGTCAGGAGCTTCAAGCACCAAGGGGCGTTCACACCGGACCCAGCGTCAAATATTGCGCGTCAAAAGCGTTTTGAAGCTATTGGTCTGAAAGCACCTTTAGAGATAGGTTGAGGAGCTCAGTCACACGGAAGGAGCTCGGAGCAGAGCCTCCACTTGTCGACTTGTCGAACCTCCGCTTGTCGACAAAAGGGGCCGTAGCCCCTTTTGTGTATTTTTTACCAAGGGGGGTACTTTGACTAATTATTTCTCAAAATTTCCACAATAAAAGTTACAATAGACCAAAAGTTTTTGACCATTTTTAGGCTATTTTGGACCAAAATGGCTACTTTAACTCCATATTTCTCCAAATTTCTACAGTAAAAGTTTCTGGTCTTTGGTACAGTGGTAGAGGGCAATAATAAGGTCATGAGTCAAGTGAAATTAGTCGCACACCTTATTCCAGTAAATAGTTACAATACTTGAAAATTGCACTAGCGGACCAAATTGTGTACTTTATATATAATAACAATAGAGTGGCTATCCTCCTGAGGACTCACAATCTGCAGGAGGAATCGTAGGGGGCTGGTGCTATGTGTGCCGGGTGGCATCTCTATAAGGTTTTAATCACAAAAACGTGTCTCCCAGACCCCAGCGCGCTTTCTGTTCGATAAAAATGGGTGACTCCGAAAGGATGTTCCGCTGTTACCGTAAGTTCTCAAAGAAACGCGCACCGTATTTTCCCCGATGCGGGCCGCTTGTTTATAGAGCTGAAAGATGCGGGCCACTTTACCGCGGTGGGAGGGGACACAGGGACAAGAGCTTCATTCACACCGAGGACACAGGGACATAACCACTGGGCCTTAAATCTGCCTTGCTGCTGCAACCGAGTGTTTGGCCGAGATGTGTGCAGCGTGAACTCTGCGATGAACAGGTGTAAGATGACAAACAAGTGTCATTGTGAAACATGTCACATGTATTTTTTTCCTCGTTTGCTCCCGCCGGCGGGGGCTAGCGAGCTTAAGGGGTCAATGTCCCGGGGGTCATAGATAATTCATTCGCGGGCCTGATTTGGCCCGCGGGCCTTGACTCTGACACATGTGGTGTACAACATGTTATTTGATTTGTGACTGCACATTTTTATTTGTATATTGTGTAGTTTTGAGTATGTTTATGTGGAGTTTATCGCATTTTTTATTGTTATTTTCCAGTCTCAATGTTTATTTACTATGCTGTGTAGATCACGTGACAGGTACTGATTACGTTTAAATGACACGTGGTTCCCTGTAGTCTACACATAACCTACGTGGTGAATATTTGCAGTCTATGGGTGGAATGCGTTGCTAAATCCTCTGTTCATTAAAAGATTTTCATTTTATTGTCAAGAGTACCTCCTTTATAAAGTGTTTTGGTCACTAAAATTGACCAACCGAAGCACTCATCTCTCTTCAGGTCGAAAGCAGGCTGGCAGATCAGTCTAGAGCAGGGCTAAAGCAGGACTTAAGGCAGGTATAAAGCAAGAATAAAGTAGGTCTAAAGCAGTGCCACCCAAATGTAGAAAGAAAAAAAAACATAATAATGGTTGCACTTACTAATGCATGTTTTTTCTCTTTTCTCTCTCAAAATGGTCGAATTCTTTTCATATTATTCAGCCTTGTGTGGGGGACCTGCAACTCTCATTGGGGGACTACAGAAATTTAAGATATATTTAAGATGATATAAATCCACTGAGGTCAAAGGTCATCATGCTTCAATTGTCGATGGGAATGATGAGGATGAAGTGAGGGAGGTTTAATCATCCTATCAGATTCACAGGAGCCACATCCACCTCAACATGGAACTAGTCTGAAGTGATATAAAACCCTTAAATCTGTTTCTGTAACGAGTAAATAATGTGGAAATGAAACATTGTGCTGTTTGCTATATTATAATAGAAGAGGTGTTCAGGTGCCTGGAGATGTCTCCCCCTGCTGGTAGCAACTGGACACAACAACAGAGAGGTTCAAATAGGAAAGACCTGCACCCTAGGACCTCATTTTTATTATTCTCACAGGGAGTTAATTCGTTTTTCTGTTCCATAATATCTCAAATAAAATAAAAAAAAGCAATGACTTCATCCATAAGAACAAAAACATTAAGGGGATGATTATCAAAGCAACAGAGCGAAAAAACTGACATGTCAGAAATGGATATAAAATTAACATGAACAAAACTTAATGCCTTTCATGCAATTATCGTCCACCCCTAAATTAATGACAAAGAATCCTATGGTATGACAGTTTGAGACCTTAAATATCTGGGTATTAACATACCTGAGGACCTATAAAGATTGTTTGAAGTTAACTATGCTCTTTTAAATAAATTAGAGAGAGACCAAAAGTCAACTTCAAAACTATGTAATTGGATGCAGAGTAGGATGGGGTGTACTATCACCTACAGAACTGCTTCAGGGCAGCAGTTTCAAGCTACAGCTACAGATAAAGCTGCATTGAGTCAAACATAAAAAATACAAATATTCCTTGGGTTAAATGCATTCTCCGGATACGGGAGAATATAAATTGGGTAAAGATATAGCAGTTTTAAAATGCTTTGCATAAGACTCAGACTTTAAGCCAAACACACTTGATGCCCACTTTGGGTCTTGTCTCCCAAAGGGATGACAATAATCAATACATGATTGAAATATTCATTTTGAGACACTTTAGAAATATAATTTGGAAAGCAACAGTTTTACAGATACGGAATTACATTGACACAAACATCAGTATCTGATAATAATAAGGAACTGATAAAAATGGTTACAAATGAATATAAAAGGAGTATTAATAAAGTTATCTCATGTTTGTAAACAATATTGGCAGAGAATAAAGCCCTATTCAAAAACGTATGTCAAGGCCATATGGAAAAAAAAGGGTGACTAATTGTAAGAGAATTAATGAAGTCGGTTATGGAAATGACAATTGTAATGTACAGTGTCAATAAGATAGAGAGTTTGGGTGGAAATAATTCTGTATTTTATCACTCCGTATCAGAAGGCACTCTGATGAGAACCCCTCTGCTGGAGACGATGTAGTCATAAATGAGAAATCCACCTTCACATTTTTTGGAGTATGGATTGCTCATCATTTCATCAATCAATATTGGACAGGTATTCATAGAACACTGCAAGATATTTTCTTATTGTACATTTGCTTTTGACATGAAAATGTTTTGGAAAGTGTCTAAGTGGGTAACATGCTCCAATACAGAGACGCAATTTCCTGTAAATAATTGCTGATCTTGATTATCGTTTCTCTATGAAGAAACTTGGTATTTGTCTGTCCCTTCCTGTTCTTCAAAGCTATGTGTACTTATGGTTAGTGCTGTCAAACAGTTAAACTAATTTATTGCAATAAATCAAGTAAATGTCCCTAACGTTAACCTAAGTTAACTCCCAATTGATCACACATTTGTACCCGCTCTAAATGTCCCTTACTTTGCTTTGAAAAGGCATTGGATGAAGCAAAAAGTTTATATTCGTCCAATCCCCTCCAAAAAGAAAGTATTTGGAAAGTATTTGTCCAATATAGACGGCTCCATCTGCACTTTTGTTGTTGCCATTCACTGTGTATAGGGCAGGGGCCCACACTATATCAAACCAAGCTTTGCTTTTACGGCAACCATTGAGCTGTAATCATCCTTGGATTTATGTGCGAGTGTTAAGAGTTCAGAATCTCAAATGGTTCATGATGCAGGTGTGATTCATGATTCTTTATTCACATTTCATTGGCAGGAAGGAACACTTAAATGAGGTTCAGTTTTTGAAGTATTGTAGATAGTACCAAGTACACATACTGTACATCTGCCTCCTAATGTACAGTATGTGTATGTGTAATATTTCTCATATTATAAATGTCACTAACTGCTTAGAATCATATTATTTATCAGAAACACCCAAACCTCATTTATTACAGTCTACTTTGACCCTGTACTTGTGGGCTCTTCCTGTTCTTTTTCCTGGGGATGCGCTGTCAGAACGCCCCGAGCAGTAGTCGAGTTTGCAGACGTGCCGTGACCAGCTTCAGCCACGGCCAGTGCGTACACGTTGCAGAAGATGAAACAGTGTGTCTGACATAGAGACAAACACTGTGCAGGAGCAGCAGCTGCCATGCTTTTGTGCTTGACGCCGTTTAAATGGATTTGGGTTAACGACATTATTACCGCATTTCACTGACAGCATTACTTTTTGTATAAACTGAAAACTGCTCAATAAAGATTTTTTTCTAAAAACAGTATAAAGTAAATCATTATGTTCAGAGTTCATCCTCGTTCCCTTAGAAACAGATGCATGTGTCAGTCATGCTGGAGCAGTGCAGTGATTTGCCGCTTCAGATCTGGGGGCGTGACTCCAGCAGGACTCTCTCCTCCACTTGAGCGAAGCGTTTCAACATCTGGTCATAAACCTGGAAAACACCACATCCCTGTTTTAGATCTGGTTAAGAACTGGTCAGACTTGGTTCAGACCAAAAAGTTGATTTCTTGGATTAGGTTCCTGTACACCTCCCCCCTTGCCTCTGTCAAATCAAACAATACACATTGAAAGTTTTTCCCACTTTTTAGAGGTACAAGACAGGGCAGCCCGCTGTCGCCGTTGCTTTTTGTAATCGCCATAGAACCCCTCGCCATCTCTGTTAGATCTGACCCTCATATAACTGGAATCAGGCGATATGGTACTGAGCAGATTTCATTGTATGCTGACGATTTGCTTCTATACATTAGGCCTACCCTTTAAATTCCCGCACTGCTTGCGATTCTTGGCCGGTTTAGCCTCATATCAGGCTATAAATTAAATCTTGGCAAAAGTGAGCTCTTCCCCCTGAATTTAGCTGCACAGAACTACCCTGACCCACTACCTTTTAGAGTGGTTTTGGAAAGTTTCACATATTTATGAGTTATGGTTACGAGAAAACTTTCAGAACTTTTCTTGTTTTTTTTTTTTTTCAAAATTTGTTTATTGTTTTTTCCAAGATAATGTACAACATTTACATACCATAACAACAGTAAAAAGGATAATTATTCGTACATTTCTTCTGTAATAATAAAACAAGAGAAATATGAACCAAAAGAAAACAAAAAAAAATAAAAAGCCATCAATCGCCATTAGAGTGCCATGAAAATTAAAGATGAAATAACAGAACTGAAAGAGGGACCTCCGGGAAGGTAAAGGATTAAATCACATTTTTTTTTAAAAACCTATTATAAAAAATCCAGGAATTAGTCTGGGACAGAAGGGAAGTCTAAGTGTTGTACCAACTGGAACAGTGGTTGCTACGTCAGTTCAAATCTATCGACAGACCCACTCAGTGTCATACGGATTTTCTCCAGCTTGATGAAGAATAAAACGTCTCTAAGCCACTGTGTCCAAGACGGAGGCTGTGAGGACTTCCACTTCAGTAGTATCACCCTTCTTGCCAGCAGAGTCATAAACGCAAGAGAGTCTCTATTTGATTTGGACAGAGAGGGTGGTCCCACGAATACACCAAAAAGAGCGCTCAAAGGATTAGGGTTTACCTGATTGCCCACAACAATTGAAATATGAGAGAAGATTTCTGTCCAGTAATCATGAAGTCGTGGACAGAGCCAGAATGTGTGAATAAGGTTGCCTGGAGCCTGCTGACATCGATCACAAGTTGGGGACACGTTTTGATATATTTTGGACAAACGGTACTTCGTATAGTAAACACGGTGAACCAGTTTGCATTGTATAAGGCTATGCCTAGCACATATTGAGGACTTGTGTACACGCGCTAGAATTTCTGACCATAGCTCCGCAGAAAATGCCTCACCAAGATCCTCCTCCCAGAGAGCTTTTATTGATGAAAGAGAATTGGAACGAATAGCTGCAATCTGATTATAAACTAATGAAATGGAGCCTTTTAGCGAAGAAGGAGGCCTGAGAAAGATATCAATAGTGGAGTCTTCAGGTAAATTTGGAAACGAGGCGAAGTTACTATTAACAAAACTGCGAACTTGTAGGTATCTGAAAAAATGTTCCTTTGGGAGAGAATGTTTCTCCGACAGTTGCTGGAAACTTGCCAAAACACGATCAATAAATAAATCTTTAAAAGTGTGTAAGCCTAAATGTGACCAGTTTAAAAAAGCTTTGTCGACAAGAGGGTGAAAAGAAATGGTTACCGGCTAAAGGGGCATTATGGGAGTAAATCTGCAAGCCAAAGTGACGTCTAAATTGGGTCCAAATTTTAAGAGAAATTCTTACAACATGGTTTTTAGTATATTTTTTGGTTTCACTTTGTAAAGGTGAATATAACAGAGCTGAAAGAGACACTGGTTTTACAGAGTTTTTTTCTATGGTGAGCCAGGCTAAAGGGGAGACATCCCCCAGACGAAGCCAGTATTTTATGGTCCTTATATTACAGGCCCAGTAATAATGCCTAAAGTTTGGCAACGCCATCCCTCCCAATGGTTTCGGTCTCTGTAAATATTGCTTTGAGAGCCGAGAGATTTTCTTATCCCATAGAAAGTCTGAGACAATTGTATCCAATTGAGAGAAGAAAGAGCATGGCAGGAAAAGGGGGATGCACTGAAATAGGTATAAAACTCTAGGCAAAATATTCATTTTCACACAATTAATGCGAGCTACCAAAGATAATTTAAGTAGAGACCAGCGTTCAAAGTCTTTTAATTTTCAAAAGTAAGGGAGAAAAGTTTGCTTTGAAAAGGTCCCCTGGTTTGCGTGTAATGTTAATTCCCAGATGCAAGAAACAACTCGATGCTATTTTGAAGGGAAAACCACTCAGGTCAGGCGTATCAGCAGGTGAATTCAAGGGAAAAATCTCACTCTTATTTAAATTGAGTTTATAACCAGATAATTTACCAAAGTCAGATAGTAAGTGTAAAACTGCAGGTGTTGAAGTTATGACATCAGAGACATACAGAAGCAGGTCATCGGCATATAGAGAGACCTTTGCCTCTAAGTTAAATCTTCGTATGCCTTTAATATTTGGATCGGCCCGAATAGAAATAGCCAGGGGTTCAATAGCTAGAGCAAACAGAAGGGGACTAAGAGGGCAGCCCTGTCTGGTAGACCGCTTTAGCGAGAAGTAACCCGAGCGAGAGTTGTTGGTCCTAACAGCGACCAGTGGATTAGAGTACAGAAGTTTAACCCAGGATAGGAATGTGTCTCCGAGACCAAACCTTGTCATAGTGTGAAATAAATATGGCCATTCCACACGATCAAACGCCTTTTCAGCGTCTAGCGATATCAAGGCTTCCTGTGATTTATTCTGGGGGTTATTATGTATTATGTTAAAAAGTCTCCTCAAATTTGAAAAGGAATGTCTGTTTTGAATAAAACCGGTTTGATCAGGATTAATGATGACAGGTAAGACTTTATCAAGGCGTTTGGCTAGGATTTTTGATAGTAGTTTGAAATCGACATTTAACAAGCTTATGGGACGATATGAGGAACAAAGTAAAGGGTCCTTTCCTTTCTTCAGAAGGAGCGAAATTACAGCTTGATTGAGTGTTTCTGGCAGCGTACCATGAGAGAATGATTCAGTATACATATCCAATAACAACGGTGTAAGTTTATCCTTAAATTTCTTATAAAATTCTGATGGATATCCATCCGGGCCCGGGCACTTCCCACTCTGGAGGGACTGTATTGCTACACCAATTTCTTGGGATGTAATGGATGCCCCAAGGTTATTCGCTGAATCCTCACTAATGGTAGGAATTTGAAGGGGTGAAAAAAAACTATAAAAGTCCTCATCTGTAGGCTTAATCTCGGACGAGTATAAGGACTGATAAAAGGCTTCAAAAGTCTGATTAATTTTGGAGGGATCCGTAGTTTCCCCTTGACTAGTTTGAATCTTAGCTATTTGACGGGAGGCGGAGACCTGACGGATCTGATGAGCCAGCAGTTTACCGGCTTTATCACCATGTTCGAAAAATTGTGTATTAGCCTGAAGCATAAGTTCTGTTGTGTGCGAGGTCATGAGTACATCAAATTCAGATTGGAGAGCGAGACGTTCTTTATAAATGTTCGGTGAAGGCAAGGCTGCATATATGGTATCTAGCTGCAATATTCGCTGCCTGATACAGTTTAATTTTTCATCTCTTATTTTGTTCTCAAAATGTACAAAGGAGATTATTTCCCCTCTAATATAAGCCTTAAGGGACTCCCAGAGCAACGAAGCAGACATTCCTGGCATTCTGTTGGTACTCAAGAAAAAATCTATCTGATTTGAGACAAAGTTAATAAAATTATCATTTAGGAGTAGCCGAACATTGAGGCGCCAAAGGGGGCGCTGGTATAAGGCTCTCAGTTTTATATCCATCAAAAGAGGAGCATGGTCAGAGAGAACAATGGCATCATATCTACACAGAGATATCATTGATAGAAATCGATTATCGACTAAAAACAGGTCAATGCGCGTAAACGTGTGATGCACAGAAGAAAAGAATGAGTATTCTCGCTTGGAGGGATTCAAAAAGCGCCAAGAGTCAGATATAGAAAACACGTCCATAAAATTTTGAATTGTCTTCGCTGATCGTGAAGGTGCAACTTGTTTAGTGGAAGAACGATCTAGAGCGGGGTCTAGCCAGCAATTAAAGTCCCCTCCCAGTATTAAATGATAAGCAGACATATCGGGAAGCAGAGAGAAAAAACGCTTAAAAAAGGACTCATCATCACAGTTTGGTGCATAGACGTTGGCCAATGCAATATTCAAACCCAGGAGCTTGCCAGTTACAATAACGTATCTGCCATTAGGATCAGGGAGAACCCGCTCAAGAACAAAGGAAATAGACTTATGAAAGAGAATCGCTGTACCCCTAGCCTTACCAGAAAAAGATGAATGATACACTTGGCCCACCCAGTTTTTCTTTAACTTCAGGTGATCAAGGTTCTTAAGGTGGGTCTCTTGGAGGAAGACTATTTGAGCACCAAGCTGCTGTAGATGGTGGAGCACCTTACTGCGTTTCACTGGATTATTAAGTCCTTTGCAGTTAAAGCTAGCGAACCGGAGGTCCTTTCCTACTGAAGACAACATAATGGTAAAATCAAATTATTGCATTCAGGTTGTCCCGCAAACTTATATGAACATATTATGGACACATCAAATGTAATAATAGCAGTGTAGAGAAGTTGATGGTATGAAAACAAACAAAAAACACAAAAAATCGCAGAAGCATTCCCCCAAATGGAATGCGCGACCCCCAATCCCCCCAAATATCCCATAGCAAACCTTCAGAAGGCGAAGGAGGAAACTAAAACTATAACCCTCCATGTGGAATGTGACAATAAAAAAAAAACAAATTATAGAAAATACACCAAGTCTCAACAAAAAGCACCTTTTAAATAGGTAAAGTGGTCAAAACAATTTAAAATAGTGTAAGTAAGAAAATGGATACAAGGAATACCTGTATGCCTATAGCAGAATGGACAACAACAATAACCTATTTGTCAGGAAATACAAATAAACAAATAAAAAAGTGATAACTATCAGGCAACATTATTAGCAGGGTAGCAATAACATTAGGTTAAAGCCTAGAATTAATGCTAAAAAAGAACAAAATATTTTAAATGGAAAAAAAAAACATACTGCAATAACGGGCTGTATTAATGCAACAGTCAACACAACAAAACAAAGGGGGCAACATATTACCAAATGTGCAAAACTGTAACGTTACTCTGACTGGTGGTTACTGCAGCTTCCAAATGTTTTTAAGTGAAAGACAGACACATCAGATAGAGTCAGGAGACACCATAGTCTTCACATGTTTGGTCACAAAGTCCGCTGCAAGTTCTGGGTCTTCAAAACGATGAGTCTGTCCACCGGGAAGGGTAACACGCAGCACAGCAGGATAGAACAGGCCAAACTTCACACCCGGGCATGAATGGAGCGATTTTTTCACCGTAGCAAAAGCGGATCTTTTCTTAGAAACGGCGGCAGTGAAATCCGGGAACACGGACACCCTTTTCCCCTGGTATAGGAGTGGAGCCGATGCACCAGCTCTACGCAAAATCTCGTTGCGTTGTTGGAAAAGGTTTACACGTGCAATAAACGGGCGAGGGGGCTCTCCATCCTTGGGCTTAGACCGGAGCGTGCGATGCGCTCGATCCAAAACGGGCTTGTCGTTCAGACCAAGCAAGTCTCGTAGTAAAGTGGCCACAAAATCAGTAGGTCGGGCTCCTTCAACTCCCTCTGGCACTCCAACAATACGTACGTTATTCTGCCTTGAGCGCCCCTCCAGGTCTTCGCATTTCTTCGACAGAGAGCCAACCTGCTCGGTCAGCAAAGCTACCGTAGCTTGTAAGCTAGTTAGCTGGCCACCATGATCTGTAGCAGTATCTTCCAAGCTATTAATGGTTTCACTCTGCGCACTCAGAGATGTTTCTAGTGGACGAAGGGCAGCGGCTATCTCCCGTTTAACTACCCCTGATACTATCTGCTCAAACTCAGTGACAATGTCCGAACGCATGCTCTGCATCATTACCTCCATACGACATAGCAGGCGCTCGTTAGCATCAGACCCGGGGTCAGACACATGCTCAGGCGAGGCTGCAGGATGGATGCGGCCTGTCTTCGCTGTTTCAGATTTATGGCGAGTTTCCATGCCTACGCTGCTCTTCCTCGGTGGGGCGGACATGGTTGGTTTCAATAAAGTTAGAAGACTGGCGGTTATGTTCAAATCCAAGTTAAAAGGTGTAAAAATACAATAAAAAGTCACATTCTGGCGGAGCTACTGCAGACACGTCCTCACATGCCAACGCTCAACAGCGCCCCCCCCCCTCAGAACTTTTCAAATCAAACTTTGACCCTCTCCTGGATAAAGTTAAACAAGATTTTGATAGATGGTCTCTATTGCACTTAACAGTTGCTGGAAGGATTAACACTGTCAAAATGAATGTGCTTCCTAAATTGTCTTTTCTTTTCCAATGTGTTCCTGTCTTTATATAAATAAAGATTACTTACTTACTTACTACTTCATTCCAGCCTCCTTTTTCGCCAAGATTAATGGAACTATTTCTGGCTGTATTTGGAATAACAAAACTCTAAGAATTCTTAAAACATACCTTCAGAGGCCTAAGAATGTGGGATGGCTTTGCTGAATTTCATGTTCTATTATTGGGCATCTAACATTCGTGTTCTAAGGTACTGGTTGCAGGTGGAAACCCTTAACGATGCTCCAGCCTGGCTGTGCTCGGAAGCCTTTTCCTGTGTCACATCTTCTTTAGCTGCTTTTGTTCATGCTCCAAAGCAACTGCCTGATTCAGAGTTCTCTAATAACACAATTTTTAAGATGACATTGAAAATTTGGTTTCAGTTTAGACGTTTTTTCAAATGTAACCGCTTTTCTTTAAAAGCCCCCATTGGGAATAATCCATACTTTAAGCCTTCTTTGGTTGATGGTGCGTTTCTAATTTGGTTTTCCCTTGGAATTAAAGCTGCACTAACTGACTTTATTTTTGCATTCATGACAAAAATGCTATCCATGTCCATGCAGTGCATTGGGATATACGTCCTTTTGAAGAATAAGTAGCGCAGGTTTGTGCTGGTGTGACATTTTATTTTTGATCGAGTTTTGATGAAACAAGGAAGAGAATGTGTTTCGGGTCTCAGATTGTGACCAATCACAGCGCAACACTAGCCCCCACTTTTGTGAGAAATCTACAGGTCCGTTAGCACAGACAGCTGAGTTAGCACAACAAGACGAGGAGCTAACCTGAAGCTTCCTCGTCTTTGTCACCGGTTACTGCTTACACAGCGAAACAGCCATCCAAAAGAAAGTCCCGTTCCTCCGTGCTTCCCGGTTCTATCGCTCTATGGTCACGCCCTCCACGTGCAAATCCATATCCATGTATTATCCATATTGAGAGACACTAGCTCCGTCAACAACAGTGGGGTGTGTGTGGGGGGCGATAGCTTCGTGGGTGCGGGGAGGGGAGCAGAAAGAGCGAGGCCAGCGAGTCCGCGGCTTCAAAATCCCAAAGTCAGTTAGTGCAGCTTTAAGTAATTCAATGACCTTTTCATCGATGGAATCTTTGCCTCCTTTGTGCAGCTCTCAGCTAAATTCAGTCTCCCAAAGAATCATCTCTTTCGCTATTTACAAATGCTGAGTTACGTGAAGGAAAAAAATGCAGTTCCCATCAAAACCTCCACATCACGACTTTGACGATCTTCTGTTACCCCCTCAATCATCTAAGTGTATTACATCATGTCTGTACGACCGAATATGTTCCTTTGGGAAAGCTTCAATCTCCCCCATAAGAGCAGCATGGGAGCAAGAGCATGGGGCCGGACCTGGGTGAGACCTGCGTGAGACCAGTGTCCTGTCACCTGATTGGCTGTTGGATCCGGCGTCGCCATGAGTTTTGGTTCTGCTCCGTTCTTCACTGCATCGAAGAACGAAACACCGGACTGTTTCAACAAACCTGAGATCAAAGACCAGAGTGAGACCAGAATGAGACCAGAGTGAGACCAGAATGAGACCAGAGTGAGACCAGAATGAGACCAGAGTGAGACCAGAATGAGACCAGAGTGAGACCAGAATGAGACCAGAGTGAGACCAGAATGAGACCAGAATGAGACCAGAATGAGACCAGAATGAGACCAGCGGGAGACCAGAGCAACATGAGACAAGAGAGCGAGACCAGAGAGCGAGACCAGAGAGCGAGACCAGAGAGCGAGACCAGAGAGCGAGACCAGAGAGCGAGACCAGAGAGCGAGACCAGAGAGCGAGACCAGAGTTCTTGTTCACATAAGAGGCCTGTGAGTGCCTCTGGGCCTCTTTAGGCTTGTTACCATGAAGAGCTCTGTAGGCTGATCCGAGACATGCCGAGTTGGAGCTGTCGATGGTGAAGACAGGAGCGTTAAACACGTCTGATAAGACCTGAAACACGAGTTCAGAGGTCAGATCTGAGACCAGGGAGAGGGAGAGACCAGAGAAAGGTACCAGAAAGAGAGAAAGACCAGAGAGAAAGACCAGAGAGAAAGACCAAGGAGAGACCAAAGAGAAAGACCAGAGGTCAGACCTGCAGGATGTGGCGGTTTGAAGATGCTCCTCCTGTTGCCAGAACTCTAGTCCCTGGAGCTGAAACCACAGTTTACAGACTTAACAGACCACCAGCTGTGACCACACGATTTAAAGCTGGAATACACAAACAAATCAGACACATCTCTTGTGTCATCTTTTGTGTCAGAAAGAGATTTGTGAGTCAATATTTGACTTTCTTTTGGCTAAGAGCGGAAAGACTGAGGGTGGTCACTTTTCTCTCTGAAAAAGTGGATCAAAGATGTGACAGAGGTCAGAAATACATGGTATGAAAACTCGTGATAGAAGGCGATTGTGTGCGTGTGTTACAGATGTGGTATCCCAGTCGTTCTGAGTGTAGTCTTCGTGACAGGAACTGTCCCTCCAGCAGAGCGCGCACCTCAGTGTGAGGAGGGAAGGACGCCACCTGCAGAACACCAGCAAAACTGCACTCAGCGTCAGGGTCAGGGTTATGCAGGGGGTATACTGCGGGGGCCCTCGTGGTGTCACTTGATGTCACATGATCAATGCAAGGATCACCGCAAGGAACCCTTGCGCTACCACCTGTGTACCCTCTGATTTTTCTAACTACTCAGCCGGCAGCGCAGAGAGGGTCTACTGTGATTGGCTCGTGTGAGATTATGTTTTAGATGGAAGCATAGAACAGCTGCGGTAGAAAAAGGACGAGGAACTTGGATGCGTAGATTGGTACCCTTCGAAGCACCGAAGCAAAGGATAAGTAGTTTCGGGCTCATGGCTCACAAGCCTGATATACGAGTAGGCTGTGTACTAGAGTTTTTGCACTGAACATTTACAGTATATACCATACAGTAGTTTATTTTGCACTGTTCCTGTGTCTTTGTTTGGATTTGCACATGTGTCTGCACCTTGTTGCATTCATCCTGCACTTATAAATAGTTCACTTTTGGTCTCAGATATTTATAACTTATTGTTTTGATTGTTAGTGCATGAATACACTTTAATAATAACCTTCTGTTTCCAACAAAAACTGTCTTTTTAAAATGACACAAACTTGTGCCTAGAATACAGATTTAATGAGATTCAGAGATTTTTTTTCAGCTTGGTTCGCCATTGTTTTTGTTTTGAAGTGGAGAAAGTAGCTAGAGGAGCTTTAGGGTCCCAAGCAATTCCTGCGAGACAGCCATCATGTGGTTGGGGTGTGGGATAACAACATTCTCTTCAAAACTATGCACGGGGAGTACGCTCTGTAGCGCACTGTGGCTACGAAATCAACCAGTGGTCCACCGCAAACGCCAACGCACACAGTGAGGCCCGAGTATACGCCTGCCTTTAGCCTGACGCCTAACCTCAGTCTCAACACAATCAAACACATTAGATAAATCACACCTCGTTATCGTCAGCATCAAAGCGCCGCACGCCGCATGCTGCCGGGAGGATCTCCATCACGTCAAAGTAAAGTCCTGGGTCAAAACAAAACATGTGACTTATGAGTACGTCTCAGTCTGTGGTCTCTCTCGGGTCGCAGTCTGGTGCTCAAAGCAGTAAGATTTAGGGTTAGGACTATTCAATCTTGGACCTGGTTTGGTCTTAGTTTGGTCTTGCTTCAGGTCTGGTTTGGTCTGTGTCTTACCAATGTTCCCGTTGTTCCCGAGGGGACTGGAGCTCAGAGCTGAGGAGAATTTATCCCAGGAGCCTCCAGTCTGATCCCGGATCCGCTCTCGCACCAGCGACCCGTTCTTAAAGCTACAACAATAAAACTGGTTATAGACTTTGTCTCTGGTCTCTGGTCTGTAGTCTCTGGACTAACCACAGCAGGGCCATGTAGTGCTCTGGCTGGACTGGGTTGATGAAGACATGTCCCTCTAGTGCCGGCTGGGGGTACTGCAGCCACAGGAACACTGTATCACTGGTGCCTAAACTGACCTGCCCACAACATATCAGTGAGCACTTCTGAGATAATCAATCCCAAAGCTGAACCATTACTCACAGCGACATCTCCAGGCTGAAGTCTCATCCCAGCCAGAGACGCTGAAACATAGACAAGACCAGGGTGAGACCTGTTTTATCCATGCTTTAGTCCAGGTTTAGTCAGAGCCATTACCAGGATTGTCTCCGGTGAAAGCCACGACGCTGCAGGTTTCTGAGAATCCAAACCGCTTCACAAAGTACAAGCAGACGGAGCCCTGGACACATAGGGTAGAGCCAACCCCCAGAGGAGCTAACACCCAGAGGGGCTAACACCCAGAGGGGCTAACACCCAGAGGGGCTAACACCCAGAGGGGCTAACACCCAGAGGAGCTAACACCCAGAGGAGCTAACACCCAGAGGAGCTAACACCCAGAGGAGCTAACACCCAGAGGGGCTAACACCCAGAGGAGCTAACACCCAGAGGAGCTAACACCCAGAGGGGCTAACACCCAGAGGAGCTAACACCCAGAGGAGCTAACCCTCAGAGGAGCTAACACCCAGAGGTGCTAAAAAAGGAGCATGAAAATTAGATGTCTCTCCAATAAGTGAGATAGAAATGCACAAATTATTGTTTAAAAGGATATATTCTGGAGCTAAAAGCAGCTGCAGGTTGAGGTTCTTACCAGGACTGATGAGGAGTCCACAGGGTCAGCCAGGAGAGGGCGCAGTCCTGGTGCACAGGCATCTAGACAGACGTCAGACCAGGCCTTAGAAGACAAGTCCAAGAGGTTCATCCCAGACCCTAAAATCAGACCAAAGTTTAGAGACCAGAGAGAGAGACCAGAGAGAGAAACCAGAGAGAGAGACCAGAGAGAGAGACCAGAGAGAGAGACCAGAGAGAGAGACCAGAGAGAGAGACCAGAGAGAGAGACCAGAGAGAGACCAGAGAGAGACCAGAATGAGCTGAGGTTTTCCTACCATCGCTGAAGTCAATTGCAGCATATTTTCCCAGGAACAGAGAGGCTGCGAAACTGCTGACAAGCGAAATCCTCTGTGACACACACAGAAACAGTCCATCTGAACAAGGGTTACAGACAAAACAGTCATAATCACAATTGCTCCTAACACTGCCCTCAGTCTTGGACCCTCTCCTTAATGGGACCCTCACCTCAGTCTGGTAGAACTCTTCTGGTCGAGTGTGGAACACTTTGGAGATCTGGTTTCCTGTAAAGCGCTTTGGACAAACAGGAAAAGAACATGAGACAGTAGTAGTAGTAGTAGTAGTAGTAGTAGTAGTAGCAGTAGCAGTGTTACAGCAGTACCTCATAGGCCTTGGAGCCAGTGATCTCAGACAGTCGTAGAGCGCCCCCTGCTGCTCGCTCCAGTGCATCACACTGAGTCCTGGAGCTAGAGTCCATCCACACAGGGGACTGAGGTACGGAGAAGCTGTCCTGAGGCATGTAGACTGTTATATATACTCTTATGTTTGCACTGATACAGACTGTGGAGTACCGGGGCTCTACAGTCCTCAGTCCTAGATCTACAGCCTCAGTCCTGGATCTACAGCCTCAGTCCTGGATCTACAGCCTCAGTCCTGGATCTACAGCCTCAGTCCTGGATCTACAGCCTCAGTCCTGGATCTAATGCCTCAGTCCTGGATCTACAGCCTGAGTCCTGGATCTAATGCCTCAGTCCTGGATCTACAGCCTCAGTCCTGGATCTACAGCTTCAGTCCTGGATTTATAGCCTCAGTCAGACCTGTAGGATGTGGCTTAGCTGCTGCTCTGGATCCATGGTTGTCAGTTTGTGACCGGCTCCTTTCCTCCAGAACACACTGCCGTGCTGCTGTGGGTTGCATAAACTGTTTCATAGACTGTTTTCTATACTATTATACTGTAATAGACTATAACTGTGACACAGTGACTGTGATACAGACTCTAGAGTGCCACAAGGGTCAGTCCTGGGACCAAGATCATTCATGATGACACAGACATGAGTTAATAATAATACAAATCATAATAGGAGATACAGAGAAATGGGCTCTCAGATGCTGTACCAGGAAAGACCCCTACAATGTGAGACCATCGCTCTCTGATTTCACATGCAGACATATTGAAGAGTACCTGTCCACTCCCAGAGAGCGCCTTCACCCTGGAGAATTGGAATCCTCTAGTCTTCATGTTGTCCAACAGCAGGTCCAGAGCCTGGAGAGGTGAAGTGGTCAAACAAAGTCTGTAGCTGATTTATCCTCCTGAGACCCGAGCATTTGTCTGGTGTGCATTTTATATATTTTTTTGCTATTTAGGATAAGTAGGACCCAATAAGTATAATACCTAAATTGTGATTTTGTACAGGAAGTAGTTTTTGAGAAAAAACATGTCCTCGTATGAGGACAGTGGGTCTCTCATAACCTAAAGAGAAAATGTATGATCTTTTAGGCCGGAAGGTCCTAATTAGTTGAAATTCAAAATTTCAGCTTGATCCAATTAGTACTTCTCTCAAAAATCAATGTCCTCACATGAGGACAGTGGGTCGACCTTACTATACAATACAAATAGACTCCATTGGTCTAAAATAGTATATAACAGTTTATTTGAAAAATGTAAACATCAAAGTTAGACATAAAATCCAAACAGCTCTATCTTCAAAGCCTAAAAATGTCATGGTGTGGACATTTTGACCTGGTTGAGTTTGAATCCTGCCTGTCCTGTTGATTGTTGCCCCGCCCTAATGTGATTCACCTGTGTGTCCCTGTGTGTCCCTGTGTGTGTGTATATACCCTGTGCCCTTCCTCACTTGTTGTCCGTCCATTGTCTCCACAATGTTTGTCCTGTCTTCAGTTCTGTTTTTACATTACCTTGGATTTATTTTATTAAATTACTTTGATTTTCAGTCCTGCAATTTGGGTTCCCTTTTTCTTCATTCATCCACATGACAAAAAATTGGCTATACATAAATAAAACCGCAAAATACTGTGTAAACTGTCTATTTCAAGCCTTCAATATGGCTGAATTGAATTGATAAATACAATACTAGAACAAATAATGGCAAATATTATTAACAGTCCTAAAACAGTAAAATTCTGCTGAACAGCTTATGAACCGGGGCTTTTTTCAAACTAGCTCCCTCTCTTTTTCTAGAAAGCAATCTGTCTGCCTGTTTGGAAGAGCCCTATTGGCAAGTGTGAAATGCTGCAAAGCAGTTGCATTCACTTTGCAAGCACAGGTACACATTGCATGTCATGCATCGGACACAGGATTTTCCAATGCAGTCTTGTGCTCTGCAACGCATGGGGTTTTTCAAGGCTACCATCTCCGGGTTAGAGTTAGGATTACAATATCCCCAGTCGAGGTCAGCAGCTCTCCACCCGCACCATACACGGTGTTGGCAAAGCACTGCTTCCCCCTCCTGAGGCGCCGGAGGGTTTGCCATAACCTTTTTGAGGGCGACCGATAGTCATGCTCCATGGACTCTCCGAACTCCTCCCAGTGTCGGGTTTTTGCCTCTGCAACAGCCCGGGCCGCGGCACGCTTGGCCTGCCGGTACTGGACAGCTGCCTCCGGAGTCCCACAAACCATCATTGCTCGATAGGACTCCTTCTTCAGCCTGACGGCATCCCTTACTGCCGGTGTCCACCACCGGGTTCGGGGATTGCCGCCGGGACCAGCACCAGAGACCTTGCGACCACAGCTACGAGCCGCTTTATTGGTGATAGAGGAAGAGAACATGGTCCACTCGGACTCAATGTCCCCCTCCTCTGGGTCCTGGGAGAAGCTCTCCCGGAAGTGTGAGTTGAAAGTCCGTCTGACAGGGGGCTCAGCGAGACGTTCCCAGCAGACCCTCACTATACGCTTGGGTCTGCCAGGTCTGACCGGCTTCTTCCCCTGCCAGCGGATCCAACTCACGACCAGGTGATGATCGGTTGACAGCTCCTCCCCTCTCTTTACCCAAGTGTCCGAGACACGCGGTCGAAGGTCAGATGATACGACAACAAAGTCGATCATCAACCTCCGGCCTAGGGTGTCCTGGTGCCACGTGCACTGGTGGACACCCTTGTGCTCGAACATGGTGTTCGTGATGGACAGACCGTGACTGGCACAGAAGTCCAACAACTGAACACCGCTCGGGTTCAGATCAGGGGGGCCGTTCTTCCCGATCACCCCTCTCCAAGTGTCACTGGCATTTCCCACATGGGCGTTGAAGTCCCCCAGGAGAATAACGGAGTCCCCGGGAGGTGCACCGTCCAGTACCCCTCCCAAGGACTCCAAGAAGGCAGGAACTCGGCACTGCCGTTAGGCCCGTAGGCCGTCACAACAATGGGAGACTTGTCCCACCCGGAGGCGGAGGGACGCGACCCTCTCATTCACCGGGGAGAACTCCAACACATGGCGGCTGAGATGGGGGGCAATGAGTATGGCCACCCCAGCTCGCCGCCTCTCCCCGTGGGAAACACCAGAAGATGACTGACAGGTATGAGATGATGATACAATCATCCCCATCTGAGAAGTCCTCTATCTCAGAGTTGTCTGCAATTGCCAACAGCAATTGTTCTGCTCTTGACAATGAAAGTGTGCCTGTAATGATAATGTTAAAAACCAACATCAAAATCTACAGTATATCAGTGACACTTCATAGCTTGGCTATCATGTGCTAGCTATAGCCTAGCTATATTGTTTATGATTTAGAATTTAGCAACACTAAACAATACTTAGCATATACCACTTAGTACTTAAATATACTATTTACAACTGTAAACCACATAACTAAGCAAATGTGTGATTCAAAATAACTATTTACAACTGTAACTTCATCTAAATCTTCCACACGGTTAGCTAAACAGATAGCGGTACATAGTCCTAGCGTCCTCAAACGAGTGCTTCACTTTTACTGACATCCTAGCCTGCTACTACAATCAAAATTTGTCAAATTTCAAACTCCATATGAAGCTAGAGACATTATTGTGCATAAAAAAATTGATTTCATTCATAAAATGTTGATAGAATTTTTACCTGGGGCATTTTTCTTCTGTAAACTCTTGTAGAAGTCTTTTGCTGATATTGCCACCATTTTTTTCCTACTGCCTTAAGTGTAATTCTATCATATCACCACAAGATGGCGCGGGCAGTGTCCCTAAATGTGGCCATCAGGTCAAGGATGTAAAAAATTTAGTATCATTGTGCCAAGAGGCAAAAATGTAATGTCCTCGTATGAGGTCGCAGGGTCTCAGGAGGTTAAGGCCTGAACACGTACCTGGACCCACATGAGCGTGGGTGAGGTCACGGTCAGTCTGTCCTCCTGGATGTGGACCCCGCCCTGAGTCCTGAGGCACAAACCACGCACAACAGAGACTAGAACATGACTCTGAGAAGCTGAGTTTCTGGTATTTTGGCTCACCTGAACTCTGGGAGGTCTGAGTCAAATTGGACTTTGTCTTCATAGAGAATCCGGAGCTCTGAGTCCAATGCCAAAACTTTCAACTGAGACAAGAAACCAGGAGTGAAGCAGCTCGAAAGCCGGTCTAAAGCAGGACTGAACAAAGTCTAAAGCAGGACTGAACCAGGTCTAAAGCAGGACTGAACCAGGTCTAAAGCAGGACTGAACAAAGTCTAAAGCAGGACTGAACCAGGTCTAAAGCAGGACTGAACCAGGTCTAAAGCAGGACTGAACCAGGTCTAAAGCAGGTTTAAAGTAGGACTTTCATGTATTGGTCTTTAGCGGATTGTTAGTAAAACCACATTTTAACCCAGATCTACGTAGTTTTGAAGCGTCTAAAGTTAATATTTCATTTGTGCAAAGCTCAGAGTCCAGATCTCTGCACATGACTGAAGAAGCACCTGGATGACAGTAAACATTAGCTTAGCACTAGCATAGCCAAACCAGCCCAAACTCTTCTAAAGTCCATAAGAAGGGGAGCAGGGAGAATGGAGAAGTTTTGTATTGAAGAGGCGTTCACTGTAGTGTCCGTGCTTTCCTGAGACACTGTGAGACTATAATAATAACACTACAAAGGTGTGATCAGAAATGTATGCGCAGTGTCTCAGTGTGAACATGTCTCAACAGGGGAACACGAACCTGCTGCGTGCTGAAGTCAAAGCCCAAAAACACGTCCTGATCTCGGGCTGCAGTCATGGCTCTGAGCGGCTCTGAACGTGTCCAGAGAGAAAGAGACAGCACAGACCACAGGGAGAGAGAGAATCCATAGAGAGGGTCCAGAGACCAGAGAGAGAGAGCGAGAGAGAGAGAGAAAGCGCAGAGATACCAGGGACACAGACCAGAGAGAGAGGTTCCACTTTTGTATATGTCATTTCCAGAAGAGGCTTTCAGGATTTAGTATTTACAGTCTATGGTTAAATCTCACGTGACTGCCCCCTCGTGGCGTATAACATATATGCAGTATAAACGATATACCATATAGTAGATCAATGATTGTAACAGTGGTAGTGTTGTGGTAGTTGTTAGCCCCTATGTAGAGGTGATTATTTTGGCATAATTACCTTCGATTATCAACATAGTTTTTGTGAGCTATTGACCGCAGAAGTCCGAATCTGGGAATATCAAGCTCACTTTACCGAACTCAGATTCACCCTCTCCCTCCCCTCACCCTCTCTTTTATGAGGGCATTGGTTAAAGCTTTAGTTCTCGGTATAAACACAGCAATCAACCTCCCCTACCTTCTTCCTCTCCTGAGGTTTTTGCTTGCTCATGTTTCCCAATTTTCCCAACTGTTTTACTTTGAATTAAGACGAAAAAAACCAAGCAAAAAAACCCACCAGATTAAATATGTTTATTGAGACAGAAGCAGAGACTGGTTTTGAGTCTGGGTCCAGGTCCAGATCAGACAGGATTTTGGTGCAGACGTAGGATTTCAATAAATAATAATATAAAGAGTCTGAGGTTTGTGCTTAAAGACAAAACATGCAGAGAACTAACACCGTGTCCTGGTTCAGACCGGATCCAGGCCAAATCCCGACCAGGTCTAGACCTGATCCAGTCCTGGTCCAGTTGTGGTCCAGACTGGGTCCAGAGTTGGTGGTCTAGACCTGATCCAGTCTTGGTCCAGACTAGGTCTAAAGGGAAGAGGGTTTTGTGACTGGTTTTGTAATCCGCTTCCTCAAACTCCCATGATGCAGTGCACCTCAGTCCTGAAACAGAAGACAGTTCAATTAAAAAAGAGACTACCAAGACAAGCCACACACCCTTTGCTGACATAAGTGTGACATCACAGTCTAGAGTTTGAGAACAGAGCGTTGAGACAGAAAGGGCAGGTATGTGGCTCATGGGCACAGGGTCAAACCTGCACCAGGCATGCTTAGTGCAGTGCAGAAGCCATGCAGTCGTATCAGCCAATCAGCTGTCGGCTTTACCTGTGACATCATCACGTCTCAGTCACATGGTCCGGACTGAACCCGGTCTGGACCAGGACTAAACCCGGTCTGGACCGGGTCTGGACCAGGTCTGAACCCAGTCTCAGTGTGGACCACAACACGAGTTAGGTCTATGTCCGGGTGCAAACGACGAGTCTCCGAGAGGAGGTCCGCCACAGCCTGTGGGCGGAGCCAAGTCAGTTTGCATGTTTTCCTGTGCCTGTGTTTGCATGTTCTCCCTGTGTCAGTGTTTGCATGTTCTTCCTGTGTCTATGTCTGTACCTGGTCTTGGTCGACGTCAGCCGAAATCACGATCCTCTTTTCGATCCGCGTCTGGGCCACGCCCCCTTTGACCATCTATGGAAAGACCCAGATCCCCCGGAGTCAGAGTCAGAGTAATAACCCCCCGACTCCTCCCTAAGAGTTAGTGTTTGTTGAAGATATTTCTTCAAATAAATGTTTTCTTTATTCACACGTTGAAGTTAGAAACTTATCTTTTGACGCTGAGCATACGTAGGTCTCCATCTCCCAGTTCTCAATAAAATGTGTTGCTACCTTTAACATCTATATTGGGGTCTCTCCCTGGTCTCTCCCTGGTCTCTCCCTGGTCTCTCCCTGGTCTCTCCCTGGTCTAGTCTCTGAGCTGAAATACGGACAGAGCAGTTAAGAGTGTAAACGTTATATTAACAGGACCTTGGTGATGTGTGTTGTTGCCGTGGAGACCGCTGTTTCAGACGTGAAGGTTTGAGAACTTAAGACTAGAGCTGAATCAAGTCCAGAGCCAGACTTCCTCTGGGACTGAAAGAAAGAGACATGACTTAGACATAAGGAATCAGTAAGTCTAAAGCAGGACTAAAGCAAGTCTAAAGTAGGACTAAAGCAGGACTAAAACAGGTACGAAGAAAGTTTAAAGCAGGTATAATTTAGGTCTGAAGCAGGTCTAAAGCAGGAATAAAGGAGGTCTAAAGTAGTATTAAAGGAGGTCTGAAGCAGTTCGCAGGTCTGAAGCAGGTCTAAAGCAGGAATAAAGGAGGTCTAAAGTAGTATTAAAGGAGGTCTGAAGCAGTTCGCAGGTCTGAAGCAGGTCTAAAGCAGGAATAAAGGAGGTCTAAATCAGGACTCACCTCTGCAGGTTCGTAGGTCAGAGTTTGTCTCACCACCGGGATCTGAAAAATATTCACAGATGTTACAGAAACCGCCACAAGGGGAAACGGGGTCAGAGTCTGTGCAACCCTTTTTGTATTTTGTACTTTACAAACTACACAGACTGGATGTGTCCCTTGAGTGTAGTCCATTCCTCTTTACAAAACAGCTATTTGTCAGATTAGAGAACAGCAGTCTCACAGATGAAGGGTTGGACTCTGACTGGGCCATGACAGCATGATGCTGCCCCTCCCTAGTTTATATATTTGTATACAATAATAATAATATGTTTGTTTGAAGCATGGGCATGAAGCACGTTGGCACAGTGGTTAGCACTTGTGCTTCACAGCAAGAAGGTCCTGGGTTTGATTCCACCTCCAGGCCTTTCTTAGGAGAGTTTGCATGTTCTCTTTGTGTCTGCGCAGGTTTCCTTGACCACTAAATGAGTGAGTGTGGGACAGATGGTGTTCATGAATACACACTGTCCCAACAAAAATAAATACAGATACAACAAATGATCATGTTTACAATCCAATCACAAAAAAGAATGAGGTAACGGGTCACATAGACGGGGCTTAAAAGGAGGCGGGAAAAGGAAGAGGAGGGGCTTAGGGGGATAGCCTCTACCTCCAACTCTGCATCCTGATTGGCTCTTTCCTCTTCATTGTCATAGAAATGTTCAGATATCCGTAGCGTGGACCTCTTGTTATCCTCCATAGCATCGTTGCTAGCTTCGTAAGTATAATTTCTGTCCTTATTACCAGTGTTAGCATAACTAGCATCATTAGCCTCGTTAGTGTTAGCGTCCAGGGTGTCGTCCGCAGCAACCTGCATCAGCACACTGATGACATCATCGCTGATATCGTCGCTGACATCATCGCTGTCGCTCAGCTCCTCTTCACTCACTTCCTGTGTCAATGTTAGCCTGTTAGCATGCAGCAGAGGGGGCGGGGTCTGTACCTGAGCGTCACATGACTCCGGGGCCAGAAACACATGCTCCAGCGTCTCCGAGGTCTGAGAGACACAAACAGGATTTATGTGTGTCTGTGTGGGTGTGTGTGAGTATGTGTGTACCTTGTACAGGTTCAGTTCTCTCAGAAGATTTTTCTCAGTTGATCTGAGAGATGGCACTTCAGTCTGCAACAAAACAGCTTTTTAAGTTAGGAGGAATGGGCCAGAATCCCACACAGCCTCACCCTTCAGGGCTGACTCACCAGAGGATCCAGAGGTTGGATCATTGGGGGCGTGTCTTCAGAGCTGTTCTGCAAACACAAGAGTTAGAGTCTGAGAGTCGTTCCTCAAGAACTCTGGTCTCTCTCTGTTCCCTCTCTCTCTCGTATCTCTCCTGTAGCTGTATATCTACAGTACCTACAGTACCTGCAGTACCTGCAGTACCAGGGACCAGTGTACAACTGCGCTGGTATTAAAATGATCTCTGACCTTGAGTTGTGGATGGGGTGCTCCTCTCTGGTCCTGGCCCTGGTCTGTACCCTGGTCCTGGTCTGTACCCGGCCTCAAAGGGGTGATCATGGGGGAGTCCTCTCGGATCCTCACAGGAGATGAAGCCAGACGTCGGTCCCACTCTGAGAGACCTGAGCTCGGACTGTCCTCCTCCAGGAACGACCTTCGCAGAGCGGACACAGTCCTGAGAGCAGGCCTGGAGGAGGCCTGGGTCTGAGTCTGGGATCTCATCTGGACCTGGGACTGGACCTGGGACCTCATCTGGACCTGGGCCTGCAGCTCTGTGGGGCTCAGAGCCTCCTGTGAGAGAAGACAGTAAAATAAGTAGAATTTTAGATAAAAAAAGAAAAAAAGTCCAAAATGTGGATTTACCTGAGTCTTCAAGTCCTCATCAGACTGCATCAGAGAGACAAAACACAAGCCGGTCTGAACCAGGTCTAAAATAAGACTAATTAGGCAGGCTAAAGTAGGTCTTGGGAAGGTCTAAAGCAGGACTAAAGGAGGTCTACAGCAGGTCTAAACCACGTCTGAAGCGGGACTAAAACACGTTTAAATTGTACCTCTGTGTTGGATAATTCTCCGTCTGCAGTGTCGCTGAGCTCGGTCTGAAACACAAAGTCATGATTCTGATTTGTTTTGATTCTTTTATTTATTTCAAACATGCACAAGACAAAAAATTTTTCACAGGAATTATGATAACAGAAAACAAGAAAATCTGTGCATGCCGGTTTGAAAAGGGATTGTTCATAGCAAAAAGCTTATATTAATCCAATCCCCTCCCATCCATTCAGACACATTCTACAATACAATGAAAAAAAAATCAGGACCCCTACAATACCCTCCAACAAAACAGTCCATGACACACACACACACACACACACACACGACACACTGACCCCCTCATTCACACAGACAAGACCCAAAACACTCACTCACCCCTCCCCTCTTTCGCCTCTCTCACTCTAGGCCGAAAGCATCACTCTCCTTCCTCCACATATTTCTTGTTGAGTGTTTCCACAGTTTAAAAAAATTGTATTAAATCCTCATCTAAATAATTCCAAATGTTCGCTCCTCGCTCTGAATGTAGTCGCAAATTTAGGTTGCTATAACTTCTTTTTCCCTCTCAGTCTGTATTTGTGATGCGCATCTCTGTCATGGAACACGTTTTGTAACTTAGGAGGCAGAGATTTGTCACAGTTTTAGTAGTTTTAAAGTTGACCAAGTCCAGCTGTTCATAGAGTTATTTTAGCTCTATGAACAGTGGGTTGGAATAATGGCTGTAGTGGACATTTGATACAATTCTAATTGCTTTTTTTTTTTACAAAGTAGCAAAAGGCTTTGGGAAAAAAACAGTGGGATCTGTAACATTTTTCCCAGACTTCAACACAGTAATTTGAATAGGGCAATACAAAAGAATGATACAGTGAAACTTAGAAACTTTTGACCTCAGGTACCTTACAGTATGTGGGGTTTCCAAGAAATATTTTCATCTATTATAACTCCTATTCTGGTGAACTTTTTTCTATTTGAGTATCACCGACAACAATCCTGACCGGTATGTTTCTTTTACGATTGCTTTTTCAGATTGAGTGACAATTTATTCATTTGTCATTAAATCACATTTTCAATTTGTGAATCTCCACAGTTACCGTATTGATGGACCTGATAAATAATGTGCGTTCTAGTATTGACCCTGATTTGTGTTGATCGAGTTGTACAATCTGTTGTTTCTCTCTCAAATAGTTCTCTAACAATTTCTCTGTTAAATGCCTTATGCCATAGTTTTCCATTTCATATATCAAAATATTATGGTCACTGGTATCGAATGCTTTTTGGAGATTGATGAACATTTCAAATAAAAATCTACTTTGTTCCATACCATTCATAATGTCCTCCACCGAGTCGATTAGAGAAAGGGAAGTAGATCTGTTTTCCTATCAGACAGCGAATCACGCCTGGAGTCTAATGTCAAATTTTTTTTTTTACTGTGGCAGAAGGAAACAGGGTTATAATAATTGAAGTGGTGTTTAGCTCCTTATTTGAATATTGGAATAACTTTTGCCATTTTCATTTTTGAGGAAAGGCACAGTGTTGAAATGACAAATTGAAGGTGAAAGCAAAAGGTTCAACAATTTCCACTGCTACATTTCGAACTGTAGTTTTTAAACCTTATTTCACTCTTTAGTTCTGTGCCTATAAACATTTTTTCTTTTTGCAAGAGTTAGCCAGTCCCCAGTTATCCAGGGTGTGTTTGTTTATTTTTATAAGTTGTATTGTAATGTTTTTTGGAATGGTTAATTCCACAGTAATGGATTCAAACAGTCCGTCCACAGCAAGAGACATTATCTACAATATTCCAATTGTATGTTTTTATCAATGTATAAAGCCACTCCTCTCTTACGTTATCTGTTAGTGCAAAACATTTCCAACATGTTGCCTTTGTCCTCATTGATCCACGTTTCCGATATTGCCACAATATTAAAAGGTGATTTAAATTGTTTCAAGTATTGTTGGATACATTCAAAATTTAATATAAACTCCTATTAAAATGCAAAAGTGAAATGTTTGTATCTTGAGTAAATACTTTGTCATTGTCATGTGTCACTCATTTATGGAAGCCCGTTTCCGCCATGTAAAAAAAAAAAAAATAGCCTACAGAAAGTCATAATTTTGAGTTTTAAACTAAATATTACGAGTTTAAAACTCGAAATTATCCTATGACTTTCAAAACGTCATTTTGAGTTTTGAACCTTGTAATTTTGAGTTTTAAACTGCGCATGTACAGTTGTTGCTGCCTGGAATGGTCTCTGGACATCCTTCGCCTGCAAGTTGGCAGGTTATTATGAAGATATTGTTGCTTTGAGGCACAGACTGTAAATATTCAGTCAGTTTCTAACTTCATGTGTGGGATTTCATATTTACGATGGCCAATGCACATAATACATCATACATCCATGTTTACATTTGTGGAGCTATCATTTGTAAAGGTAACGCTAGCTAACAGTGCAGTATGTTTATATTCATTTTATGTAGGTGGTACACTTCATTTTAGAATAATAACAAATTAACAGTTTGTCCCCAGTCTGTAAGTGTGAACCGTGAGCTGTTTTACTTGCGGTTATTTTGTTCATCCACTTGGTGCGACTGTGTTATAATCCACAGGAAGGTGGGAACATACGTGGGGTGGGAACGTTTGTACAGGTATCCAGTTACAAGTCGGAAGAAGTTTGTTTACCCACACTACCTAGAGTTTGAACGATTATTACATATTTACAAAAAATCCTAGTGATTTATCTTATGAAAGCTAATACCATCGGTATTAATAGTATCCATTTTATTGTTTATGTATTGTGCTTTTGTTGCGGCAGAAACTGCACATGCGCAGTTTAAAACTTTTAAAATTACGACTTTGAAAGTCATAATTTTGACTTTTAAACTCGGAATTTTGAGTTTTAAAGTCATAGTTTTGAGTTTAAAACTCATGTCATTCATATAATATAAACATTCAATTGAGGTATTTTGAAATATGTTGCCATCTGGGTCAATTTAATTCATTTTACTTTGTGTTTAGTGATTGGTCAGACAAATTTATACTATAAGTTGTCATCCTCAGATTCAGTGAAATCTTATGTCTGAGACAAGAATAACAGCTCAGTTTGTCTTAAACAAGACAAATTAATAAAAAGACAAAGTAATATTTAAAATAAAATAAAGCCGCAAGCTGCAATGGAGGGCCTGACCCTCCAAATACTATAAACTTAAAAATGTATTACGCATAATTACTGGCGTCATGCAGTAGTGCAAAAGTCCAAAGAGGAACAGGAAGTAAATCTCTCTATTGAGAACCATGTACATTTTCACCGATTCAAAGTCAACTGCTCATATCAAGTTTAGTTGAGAACCAATGGAGTTTTCACTTTGCTCAAATATGTTTGTCTAATGGGTGTCATTTTTTAGGAAAATGCATGGCCTGCAATCTTCACGACATTCAGAGAATCAATGCAGTCTATTTGCAAGGAATACATACGGATGTACTAACCGAGGCAACGGGGATATTTGTCAAATACATTTTTAAATGCCAAAGGTTGTCTCAAAACAAGGTGTTCTCATAAAAACTAAAAAGGAGGCTGAGCAATCCAAGTTTCTAATTTTCATCTATAGCCACTATGTCAAAAGAGTGATTCTTCATTGTTATTTCCCCGACTGGGACTGTGGGGACCAGGGTTTAAAGTAGTATCCGAGCTCTGTGCCACAAGGTTCGACTGTGTTCGTTGCAGTCATAGAAATATAAAGAGTAGACGCTGGATCTACCGCTACTGTCTATTGGCGCTGACGAGCCGTGTGGCCGCCATCTTGGACCAGTCGCCCGCTCCTCTCAGTGTAATCTGTTTAGCAGGCGCAGTGAAGTGTCAGTGCTTTTAATCAATTATAACTCGCTGAATACTTAACTGATTTTCACACCTTTTTTTTTGTTTTTTACTGTAAACGTCACACATGTAGCTATGATAAAGGATACATGGTTTGGCGTACATTAATATTCACAGTTGGTTTAACAGTAATAGAATATTCTGATATGATATGTGGTGTATGACAGGTATTTAGCAAAACACACGATGTAGTGCATATACACTACTCACAAAACGTTAGGGACATTGGACTTTCAGAACCCTGTATATACACTAACATATGATAGAACCCTGTATATACACTAACATATGATAGAACCCTGTATATACACTAACATATGACAGAACCCTGTATATACACTAACATATGACAGAACCCTGTATATACACTAACATATGATAGAACCCTGTATATACACTAACATATGACAGAACCCTGTATATACACTAACATATGACAGAACCCTGTATATACACTAACATGATAGAACCCTGTATATACACTAACATATGACAGAACCCTGTATATACACTAACATATGACAGAACCCTGTATATACACTAACATATGACAGAACCCTGTATATACACTAGCATATGATAGAACCCTGTATATACACTAACATATGATAGAACCCTGTATATACACTAACATATGATAGAACCCTGTATATACACTAACATATGATAGAACCCTGTATATACACTAACATATGATAGAACCCTGTATATACACTAACATATGATAGAACCCTGTATATACACTAGCATATGATAGAACCCTGTATATACACTAACATATGACAGAACCCTGTATATACACTAACATATGACAGAACCCTGTATATACACTAACATATGATAGAACCCTGTATATACACTAACATATGACAGAACCCTGTATATACACTAGCATATGATAGAACCCTGTATATACACTAACATATGACAGAACCCTGTATATACACTAACATATGATAGAACCCTGTATATACACTAACATATGACAGAACCCTGTATATACACTAACATATGACAGAACCCTGTATATACACTAACATATGACAGAACCCTGTATATACACTAACATATGACAGAACCTTGTATATACACTAACATATGACAGAACCCTGTATATACACTAACATATGACAGAACCCTGTATATACACTAACATATGATAGAACCCTGTATATACACTAACAAATGACAGAACCCTGTATATACACTAACATATGATAGAACCCTGTATATACACTAACATATGATAGAACCCTGTATATACACTAACATATGACAGAACCCTGTATATACACTAACATATGATAGAACCCTATAAACTAAGCATTTAGTGGTAGTAAAAGTACCACTCAGCCTTTTTAATGAGTTTAAAAATTAAGAAACAATATATGAATACATACATTTCCGATCTTCATATTTCCTATTGTTCCCATTTGCTTCTTCCTATTTTCTTCATACACATTTTTTTTAACCTGTCTTCAACAAAACTCGTATTTTGATAATAAACCAAAGCTGCTGAAATTGTGACTTAGCTTGTTTGCTATTTAATAGTCAGATGTTCTGTGTCTGATTTTGTTGGTGAGATAAATACAGTTCAGTCAAAATCTATTCACAAACTACAATCAATAATAATGTTCAATCTCACTTGTGAAAAGTAATCCCCAAGCCCTGTTTTGAATAGGGCGCATGTGAGCGCAGAATTTGGCAGAATTTGGATGCATCCGATTCCATCAGAAAGCTCCTTTCTTGTCCTTCATCTGCTAAGGGCAGCTACAGGTTTGGCTAACATACATATAACTAATTTTAAGATAATCTAAAATGCACTGAGGTGAAGGGTAAGAAGGTTTATTTTATAAACTGGATGCATCCGAGATTCGGCTGCAGCAAGCGAAACACGAGAGGAGTTTATGGAGCAGACACCCGTTTTGCTTTACTTTTTAAAACTCATTGGACTTATTTCCAAATGGTGGATTACATATAACAGGTCTGAACGGTCTGTGCAGTTTATGTTTAAGGTAAGGCCCATAACAAATGGGCCTTACCATAAATGTGCTTTTACGTTTTGTATGAGCATTTATCCCCACCGCTGTCAGACTGTACAACAAGTCACTTTGAACCACTGCATTAAGACTGGAAAACCTGCACTACTATTGACACTGTTTCTTGATTGCCACTTTCTAATTTGCCACTTTTTTGTACATAATATATCCTGCATTTAACATGTTTGCACATTTCTTACTTTTTGCACAATCTTGAGTGTTTCTATCCATGCCAGATGTAAATTTCTCCTGTGTGAGATTAATAAAGTTTATCTTATCTTATCTTATTGGGGTGAAGTCAGTGCCTCACCAATCACCAACCTCACCGCACGTCACTGGTGTTTCCTCATTCACAGTGGCGGGTGTTGGCGTTTACAGCACAGAGAGAGATGGAGAGTGAGGAGAACTCCAGCAGCAAAAATGCCCTTTTGCTGCTGATATTTCCATTTGGAAATATCAGCCCTATTTCACTCACTGAGGTTAAAGATAAAAATGTGCACTCCATACGCACGTTATGTTCCAGAACGAAACGAATAAGTAACGCAATAGTTACTTTTACTGGTAACTAGTTACTTTTATAGTGGAGTAACTTTTGGGAGAAGTAACTAATTACTTTTTCAAATTAACATGCCCAACACTGGCAATATCTGCTCTCACACATAATTCACCTTTGTGTCCTGTCTCTGAGTGGGCGGGCTCTGCACCTCCTCAGGTTCTGCCCCCGTGTCCTCAAGCTCCGTCTCAGGCGCCACCCTTTCTTCATCAGGCTCCACCCCTGTGCTCTCAGACTCCGCCTCCTTCCTGGTCTCTGAAAACACAAGTACACTTTTCTGAGTTTGAACCAAAAAAACATGGTCTAGAGCTAACTCAGGCTAAAGCTAACAAAAGCCTAAAGCTAACTGAGGCTAAAGCTACGCAGACTAAAGCTAGCATAGGTTAATGCTAACTTAGGCTAAACCAGGTACGAACAGTCTAAGTTAGGACTTTATAATTATTGAAAAAGATTTTAAAAAACAAACACCTATCTCCGCCCTCTGCTCCATGGTTACTATGGTGACGGGGTCTTCTATTGTCACTGCAGCAATGAGGTCACTGCCGGCGATGGACCTCGAGGCGGCATACAGGTCCCGCCCCATATCTGTCAATCAAACAGCCAATCAGAGAGAAGCAACAAGAATCTGAGCCAATCACAGCGCATCACCAACAGCCTCAGCCAATCAGAGCGCAGCAAAAAGCTCTGGACACGTCAACTTAACTAAGACAGGTAGAATAGTCAATTGGGAGGCAGGTTACAGACAGCCAATCAGATGAAGCGTCTGTGTTAAGTGGTAACGTCACAGGTCACTTCAGGGTCAGGGCTGAAGCCAACTCTACTAAAGATATCTTAAGCTAAAGCTACCTTAAGTTAAACTTAACTCAGGCTAACACTAAGTCAGGCTGAAGCTACAGTATCCTAAGAGGATAATGCTAACTCGGCTAATCCTTACTTAGGCTACGGCTAACATAGACTAAGATTATGCTTAATTGGCGGTTTCCACTCCAGCCAGGGGCCGTGTCAGGGGGCGGGAGCATTGGTACACAGAGAACATGGCTCAGATGAACAGGACCTTTTGGCTCAGAAGAACAGGACATTTTGTCTCAGATGAACAGGACAATTTGTCTCAGATGAACATGGCATTTTGGCTCAGATGAACACAACATTTTGGCTCAGATGAACACGACATTTTGTCTCAGATGAACAGGACAATTTGGCTCAGATGAACAGGACATTTTGGCTCAGATGAACAGGACATTTTGGCTCTATCAGTTTGTTGAAGTTGAACCTGAAGTGAGAAATGATGTCACATTTAACAGCTTGAGAGCACAGTCCATCAGCCAATGAGAGCGTAGCAGCTGCTGGGGCGGGACTACCTGAGCGAGACACAGCATTGGCCCTGAGCGACAAAGTACTGACTGGAGAACCAATCAGAGACGAGCAGGGCCTGGAAGCTGCAAATATTGTTATTAAAAAAGTATAGCTACACTACTACTTCTACTACTACTACCATCTCGACAACTTTTTTCCCATCCTCCTTCAGAGTTATCGAGTGAGAAAAAAGCTGTTCCTCACAATAAACAGTAGAATCATTTTGTTGCCAGAGAATCTGGCATCGCTCTTGTGCAGGTGAATTTACACAGGTGCGAGCTCATGGATGCTCTACTGCTGCTGCTATTACTACCACTACAGCTTCCAATCTGCAGATGTTTCTCTTGTATTCCTCCTATCGTCTGACAGCTCTTCACTTTTCCCCGCATTCATGGGGACATGTTAACTTGTTCTGTTGTCATGGTGACCCTTCTGGTCAGTTGCATACCTCCGTCCAGGCTGCGACTGAGCATGCTCCGTCGACTGATGCATCGTGGGAAATGAGGTCCTGGTCTGTGGATCTGGGCACTGGCTCGACGGCTCTGGACCTGAGTCCGGCCCTGGTACCGGAACTTGGAGCCGAGGGCAAAGCGCCTGGGGTTGTCTTCTGCGCTAAGGCACCTGTGCAGACATAAGAGACTGTTTACTTTAGATGAACCCGATCCCTCCTGAGGAAAAGCACATATGGACAAACTTTGTATTTGAAGAGGGACTAGTTTAAAACCCCAGAATAGACCTCTGTCTGTTTTAAAGCTGGGGGACGTAATTTAGTCTTATAAATAATAAAGCAAGTATTATTTCCTCTCTCCATCTAAGACTCCTCAGGGATCTGTTCTTGGACCCATGTTGTTTTTATTTGTTGCTCCAGACACCTGCATCCATTTCTCCGCAGACCCAGAACCAGGCCCGGACAACACACACACTTTCTTACCTGAAGAAGGAGTGATGCTCCACACACACTTTCCACAGTCGTTTTGCCGCTCTGTGGTTCAAGAGTTTGAAGCCAATGATCGACTCAAACTGCTCCATCTGCAACACATGGGTCCTGGTTAAGGTTTCTCTCTGGTCGGTCTCTGGTCTCTCTCTGGTTCTAGTCTGGTTCTCGTCTGGTCATGGTCTGGTCATGGTCTGGTCATGGTCTGGTCCTGGTCTTGTCTTGGCCTGGTTCTGGTATAGCCTCTCTGGTCTCTGGCCTGGTTGCTTGTCTCTGGCCTGACCTGCCCAGAATGGCTCGGCCTGGTCTGGTCTCTGGCCTGGTCTGGTTTGATTTGGTTTGCCCGGGTCTCTGGTCTCACCTCTCCTGGTCGGACCTTGATGTAGAAGTTGTTCCTCTTGTAGGAGATCTTAAGGATCTTGGTCCAGCTGAAGCGGTTGATCCGGAGTCGGTCTCTGTAAACCAGGAGACCACTACTGCACACACCCAGAGTGATGGCCACGCCCCCCGAGTCCTGACCAATCAGAGAGTATGAAACAGACCTGCCCAATCAGCTTCACTCAGCTGTGTTCATGACATAAACAAACTTCTCTCACCTCAGTTTTAGTGGATAAACATTCAACTCTGCTACCGACCATCTGTGAGGGGTGAGGAAGGTGAGGAAGAGGGGTGAGGAGGAAGGAAGAGGAGGAGTTAGGAGGAAGGGAGAGGAGAGGTGAGGAAGAGTTAGGAGGAAGGGAGAGGAGAGGTGAGGAAGAGTTAGGAGGAAGGGAGAGGAGAGGTGAGGAAGTTAGGAGGGGGGTGAGGAGGAAGGGTGAGGCAAAGGAGTGAGTCACACAGTGAAAATCAACAAACAGCTGTGAACGAAATCATCACCAGGGAGCGGGACCATACATGAATGATAACTGGGCCGACCAGTAGGACTCACCGTAGCCTGGTGAAGGTCCACTCCAAACATCGACAGTTTTTTCACGTTTTGGAGAAAATGACCCTCAGCTTCAGACGGAGACATCCCTCTGAAATAGCCAATTAGAGAGAGAGAGCTGAGAACCAATCAGGGAGCTGAGAGAGAGCCGAGAGAGAGCCGAGAGTGGGCTGAGAGCCCATCAAATTAGAGGGGTGATGAGACATTAAAGCTGAGGGATGTAACTTTAGCCTCATAAACAGTAATTTGTAAAGATGGAGCAAATGAGACACAACATGTCTCATTAGAAAACATGTTAGAGCCCTGTGAGTCACTATTTGACTATTTGGGCAGAGAGCTTAGCTAGGTGAAGGTGATCCTTTCTTTTTCACTTTTCTCGTTGTGGTTTGAATAGAACTGGCCCCAGCTTTAAAATTACCTAACCCATAGTGATCCCCATTTCAAGCAAAAAGGTCATGGTGGCCTGATTTGAAGGGCACTAGCATGCGGAAACCTCTGAAAACAGGGGCATAATTTTTCATAGGGCATAATGTCTTCAGATAAAATAAGTCTCTGAATATCAATAAAATCAAAGTTGTAGTAATATATTCAGTAATATTATTAACAAGATTAACATCCAAGATGTTAATTTGAAAATTCAGGGCGGCAGTGGTGGGTGGCTTTGACACTAATGAGTTTAAGCTAGCAGCTTTTCCTGTAAAGCTCTCCTCCTCGAGTGCAGCTCCACGGTGTCTCTGTGTCCCGAGACACCCCAGCACTTGTTTGCATTCTACTGCATGGCAGTGTGTGGAGAAAGAAGTTCGAGTAAATCTCATCTCCTGCGTTTGCCTGCGTCTAGTCGCCATACCCACCGCTTCTGCCACACTGCGAAAACGCCTCTGCCGCGCCGTTGTAGACAATGAACATATGTGTAACAGACAGACTGACACCTAGCAGTAACAGACAGACTGGTAAGTGGGGCGGCATTCATAGAGAGGCACATGGGCGATCGGTGTTTTTGATTTAAAGGCAACAAGGTGGAAAGTGGGCTGAAGTTAGGGCCACGGGGCGGGCATTAAATGCGGCAGGGCCATAGACTGTATATATTAACGGACAGAGTCACGCCTATCTCCGCCGTTCTAACTAATGGGCTCTACTGGAGCTATCCAAAATGGCCACGAGTGCTCCCGCCCACAAGAAAATTGTGAAAAAACGCATCTGTGCATGCGTCAGCCGGCGCAGCTCCATTCATTTGAACGAGAAACTTCAAAAATTAAAGCGAGTAAACTAGAGTGGTCCAAAAAAATCAGCATTGACACACATGTGGAACGGAGCTTTGGGCAAAGAGCCGACTTTTGGTCCATCCTGTAAAGATGCTATATGTTAGCATTGGCTAATTCTTCTTCTGGGTCCACCCCCATCGGCCCGGGGTGGTATTGCAAATATGTCAGCGCACTTCATTTTGGCCACTTTTGAGCTGGGACCCGCCCCCACTGGGCAGGGCGCTGCACCCTAGCTAGGCTGGCGGCGCCCTGTAATGGGGAACATTGCCCCGGCTTTAAAGTCACATATTCCAGCTTTAAAGTTACAAACCCCAGCTTTTATCCTGAGATCTTAAATGATTGCAGTTATATGTAAAGACCACAGAATAGTAATTCCAAAACTGGGGCATCAGAGCCAGTGAATCTGGAATCTTTCATATATGTAGTAGTATGGAGCTATTATTGTTTCAATAATATTTGTGTGTGCGTAAAAAGATTTGTGCGTGCGTAACCAGATTTGTGTGTGCGTACCCAGATTTGTGTGTGCGTAACCAGATTTGTGCGTGCGTAACCAGATTTGTGCGTGCGTAACCAGATTTGTGTGTGCGTAACCAGATTTGTGCGTGCGTAACCAGATTTGTGTGTGTGTAAAAGAAATATTTGTGCGTGTGTAAATAGATTTGTATGTATGTATCAAGATTTGTGTGTGCGTAAAAAGATTTGTGTGTGCGTAGAAAGATTTGTGTGTGTGTAAAGAAAAAAAAAAGTACGTTTTACACACAAGTTTTTTTTTTACACACAAATCTTTTGACGCAGTCCTGCCTTCGCAGATTCGCAAGTGTAACTTGGACTGTGTGCGTGCGTAAACAGATTTGTGTGTGTGTAATTTGACATTTGTATCTGTAGCAGAACAATCTGTGTGTAAATAACCGCGTTGTACAAAGAGAAGAACGAAAAAAGCCTAAGTGCTACGCACAGGCTCTGTTTTACACCTGAATCTCCTTTTGACACACCTCTGCCGCCAAGCGTGTGTCAAAAAGATTTGTAAGTGTAATGTGGTTGTTCTAGCAGTACACCAGCAGATGGTGCTGTTGTAGCTGGTTATTTACCTACACGCAAGCAAACCAAAACCTACTGCCTTGACAAGACACACTACCGTAGCTGTTTATGATATTTTTTTCCTATTTTCAAAATCCTGTCATTCACACCACTGTATGATACATGGATCTATTATAAAAACTGGATAGGGTGTTACTAGCTTGGAGCTGAAGGATTCTCACGTACTGCAGACTAAATTCACGTTGGCTACACAGAAATTTTCCCCATAGAACTCAAAGTAAACTAAAACAGCTGACAGATAACCTACAGCTTTCATAAAGGTCGGATTTTGTGGGAATTTTAGTGTTCCTTGTCATCCTGAACTTTTCTTCTTCTTAAATCCTTCGGTTTTCTCTATCTACACTTGTTGGTTTGCTTGCGTGTAGGTAATAACCAGCTACAACAGCAACTGCTAGAACAACCACATTACACTTACAAATCTTTTTGACACACGCTTGGCGGCAGAGGTGTGTCAAAAAGAGATTCGTGTGTAAAACAGAGCCTGTGCATAGCACTTAGGCTTTTTCCCGTTCTTCTCTTTGTACAACGCGGTTATTTACACACAGATTGTTCTGCTACAGATACAAATGTCAAATTACACACACACAAATCTGTTTACGCACGCACACAGTCCAAGTTACACTTGCGAATCTGCGAAGGCAGGACTGCGTCAAAAGATTCGTGTGTAAAAAAAAAACTTGTGTGTAAAACATACTTTTTTTTTCTTTACACACACACAAATCTTTCTACGCACACACAAATCTTTTTACGCACACACAAATCTTGATACGTACATACAAATCTATTTACACACGCACAAATATTTCTTTTACACACACACAAATCTGGTTACGCACACACAAATCTGGTTACGCACGCACAAATCTGGTTACGCACACACAAATCTGGTTACGCACGCACAAATCTGGTTACGCACACACAAATCTGGTTACGCACGCACAAATCTGGTTACGCACACACAAATCTTTTTACGCACACACAAATATTATTGAAACAATAATAGCTCCATATAGTAGAGTATTTGTTTACAATACTGTGGTGCAGTGGGAGAAGTATCTGCAGTCAGAGCTCTGTCCTGCAGTAATGCAGCCGCTGATGCAGCTCTAGTCTCACCTTAGTCTCTGGTGCAGTCCCATGATTTTTTCTTCCATTTCTTTTGTTTGATTTGGAGAAAAACTGAGATCTGCCAAATAATTCCACCCACCTGCAACATACACACTCACACAAATTATCCACACACACACACACACACACACACACACACACACACACACACACACACACACACACACACGCACACACGCACACACACACACACACACACACACACACGTTTTTGTTACCTGGTGGGTCCCTTTGACAGGGCCGTTCAGAATGGGACCCATAGACATAATCTTTTTTTACCAAGACTTTAAGTAATACAAAACAGTCAATAGAAACCAAACAACTATTTTAAAGGAATTTTATTTTAGATTTTGTTTTCGAATTGCAGTGATTCTATTTTTGACATAGAATTTAATGCCACTCCATGTCCGATGTCTAAGGTCATCTGGTGAGGCATTAATGCAGGCCAGGCAGTGAGACTTCCCAGGGACCTTTCCAGTCTGTATGAAAGGTGTCATGGTCTTCTCCACAGCCTTCACCTCAGATGCAGACCATGGCTTTCTTACACGTTCTAGGGAGAGAAATAAAAATATATTAGCAATATACACTCCCAGGGTGAGGACCAAGCAGCCTGGCTGTAATCCCCCACCTGGTACACTTACCAGAAGGGGCACTGCCACTACCATGGGGTGCATCTGGATGAATGGTTGAAGGTTCTCCGCTTGAAGTTTCTTTTAGCCCGTCCGTTTGTGAGAGGATCTCTACTGCTCTCCCTGTCGCACAGAAAATAAAAATACAAGTGGCCTTTAGGGGAAAAAAATCATACATATTTTAATAATATCAAGAATTACCTTCAGGCTCAATTTGTATCTGGTCGAGGCTCTTTCCTTCGAATTCCGTCACTCTTCCCTGCTCCATGGCCATCAACACTTTGCTGATTTTGGCCAGCTCCAGTGTCCCCTCTGGTAGTCTGTAATATTGCCTGTGGATGCGAATGTCATGGCCGAGGAAGTTGGCAAGTATGTCCATCTCATTCTCTTTCATATTGAGAACTGTAGACATAGTAGCTATGTGCTTTCTAAGTTTGGTTGAGGATAGCATCTCTGGATGCACCGCACCACATTCTTTGGCTACCTGGCGTAGGGAGTCTGATCCCCTGATGTGGGTGTCTGCGCCCGGGCGGGAAAAGAAGTATGGGTTATGGTCAGAGATGGAACAGGCCCTTCTGTTCTCCACCAGCACCTCCATCGAAGCAATCATTTCAGGAGTCAAAAGAACCGGCACTTTCCGACTTCTTTTCCCTTTAATTTCAATGCGTTGAAAATGCTGACACAGCTTTTTCTCAAGTTGGGACAGTCCCAGAGCAATGTCAGAATGGATCCCAGTCTTACTTCTTAAGGTAAAGGCTGTCAGTGGCATCTTTGAAACCTCACCTTCCCTTCTTCGATTGAAAATGATGACCTCACAAAGAGTCAAAACTGCCAGTTTAGACCAATGCTTAGACGTTGGCTCACTTATTAGGGTTTGCACATATTCAGGTCGACATACCTCAATATGTGCATGCATGGCTCTAACGTCCTCAGTCAGAGGGAGCAGGTCCGGAGTGTTCCACTTGGCTTGCCGGAGGGTCTGTAGGGCAGCAGAAGAAACACAGACGTCCCACCTCTTCTCAAAAAGCAGCCGGCTTCGTTGGAGGTTTTTAATAAATAGTTCATCAACACAATGCTCCATTTTTGAGTCACATTCAAGAATATCTGCTAGCTTTCTGAGGCTATGGCCGAGTTTGAGGGCCAAGGATGGAGTCTTGTATTGATTTGTTTCCTCATCATATCCAGCCACAGACCTGACTGCATCAATCACATGGTTAAAGTTGGAAGGAATAAAGAAATCCTTAATTGTTTTCAGTTTCCCTGCGGTTTTTGCTTCGTTAATTAACCTACCGACTTCTCTCATTTTCTGCCTAATGTAATCATGCTTTGTCTTATCATGCCCGTGTTTTAAGTACAGGTGCTCTCCGAGTCTCAGAATCCCCTTTTCTGCTTTGACAACACCCGTGACCTCATCCTGATGCATTGCCGAAATTAAAGACCACAGCTTTTTGCTGATGCCCTCCGGTACAGGCTGGGCTAGGGAGCAGAGGGACTGGACCCTACTTCTACCTGGTTTAGCCTGGGCATCTTTCTGTGAAAGCCGGCACCTGGCCACATGCCTCCACAGCGACTTTCGCTTAAGCAATGCCCCACAGTCTATACAGTGCAAAAACTCACTGGATTTAACTGGGGAATTTGGCTGTTTAGCTGGGACTAAAGTTCCAATGCCGGCCTTTAAAACCTCAAAATTGTGCTCACGGTTTCCACTATTCCTGATCAAATCAAACTGAAGTTTACGTGCTTTAGATTTCACAGGTAGAGCCAATGCTCTGGCTACGTCACTTTCATTTCCATGTTTTCTAGTCAAATGACGGGACATTTTGTGGCAGGACATTGAACAGTAGAGGCAGAAGTGTCTCTTGCTGTATACTCGCCCCCCATTTTTCTTCTTTTGCAGCTGCATGATAACAATCTTATTTGCCTTTGGTTCGTCACTTTCCGAGTCTTGAAGAAAAGTGTTTTTGATTTTTCTTTTTCCATACTTTTTTACAGGTTTCTTCTTGACAGTTAAATCGTCAGAATCTGAGTCGACTTCATCAATTAGGGACTCTTGACTAAGCTGCACAAACAACAAATAATTTGTAATCATTCTATATAACAATTTGAAGTCATGACTTGTAGTCAGCACTTACCAGTGGTTTGTAAGCGTGCGCTTCAGTGTGCTCCTCCATGATTTCTTGCAGCCTAATGAACCACACACTTGCACCTTTTTCTAGCCTGACACCTGATTTCCTCTGTTGTGCTGCTCCATGATTGGCTCCAGCCTGCTGGACTGAAATTGCCCCAGTGTGCCCCTCCTTGATATCCCGCAACCCACCACCAGGGTTCCGACACATAACACACTTTTTTCAGGAAAGTAAACCTCCAGGGGTCCTTTCCATATTTTTACAGAGACTGCATAAGGACCGTTAGAAAAGCATTACCCATTGATTATTAAGCTTGGACCAGTGGGGTCCGGTGTTCGGGCCCCACCACGTAAAACCAGTCCCCATGACGTGAGTGGAATCTCAGGTTATGGAACCCACCAGGAGTTGAAAACAAGTGCACACACACACACACACACACACACACACACACACACACACACACACCGTGCTCCGATTGGTTGAAGTCCCCCAGCTCTGATTGGACGGTGTAGGCGCCCAACACTGTGGCGGTGTGGGCAGAGCATGGCAGGCGCCCCTTGATGATGTCATCACGCAGCTGGAGACACAGCAGGTACCTGAGGGGAGGGGTCATATGCACACTCATGGGGGCGTTCAGACCACGACGCTTGAACTAAATTTCAGAAGCAAAATGAAGTGCTGCCCTGTTTTTGCATACAGCGGAAGTGGCGGGCTTGCTTTGATGCTAACGAGGTTAAGCTTCTTGTGTAAAGTTCTTCTCCAAAAATACAGCTCTGCCCCGTCTCTGTGTCCAGAGACCTTCTAGACTTTATATAACAGCAGTATGTGTTCACGGAGGTGCGCCATAAGTTTATTTATCATATCCCGACTTAGTCCCGACTTAGTCCCGACTTAGTCCCGACTTAGTCCCGACTTAGTCCCGACTTAGTCCCGACTTAGTCCCGACTTAGTCCCGACTTAGTCCCGACTTAGTCCCGACTTAGCTACTGTTTACGAGTTTCTTCAGTCTGCTCGCTCAGACCACTGATAACCCCCGTGACCACTTTGCGGCTCTCTGGTTGGTTGCTGCTAGGGATGTAAAAAACTATGAATTTTCATGACCGACCAGTGAGCCTCATTAACCGGTTGAAACCGGTTAACCGTCTAGTCTAAAATATTCCACGTTTATTGAAATAACAGCCATTTCGAGACACGCACTTTTCATAAGTGCAGCTATGCGTTCTACTAGCCTGGTCGTACCACACCATAGACCAAATGACATTTCTTACTAAGGTCTGGAGGTGCTCCATTGAGCTCCGTTTACAGATAGGAGGGGTTAACTCCTTTTGCAGAATAAAAGGATTGGATCCGAGTTTACTGTGACGTATGTAGTGCGCCTGAGTCTGTTGTTAGCATTTAGCATTTAGCCTAGCCATCTCCTTTGCCGCTAACGAAGCCCGTGGGGAGTAGCGCCACAATTTTTTCCAGCGATTACATTTGCTAAACATTACCCTTGCTCCGGCTTCAATTTCTTGTTAGAACCAGACCGGAGTACTTTACTATCGCATTTTCCGCCATTACCAAACTACAACCTGCCCGTTCGACGCAAACTCTTAACATCACCCACAACTAACTACAACACCTGCCTTCCACGCTCTCTGAATGGTCGGTCGAAATTCAACCGATTGTATTCGCTAACACAGGGACTAGACCCAGATGTTACATGCAGTGAAATGATGATTGAACGGAGTGTAGATGGCTAAGGCCAGGCTAGCGTTCTACTAGATCAGAGCCGAGACAGCGGAGCGATACCCGCAACAGCTTCGGCAGCTTTGTGCACAAAGAACTGTTTTTTTTAATCTTCCCATTCTTCTGTGCTGGGTTAAAGCTTTTTAGCAGCAAACGACGGCTCGTTCACATGGTAAGAGCAGCGAGTGACGAGCCGTGTCTCGCAGGTCTTCTCTAAAGTTTAAATACAAGTGATGTGTGTGGAGCTGATCTAATGCCAAGGACCTTACGCACAAACATGTTTCAATGTGTTTTGATTGGAGCCACGTATTTGCGAGGATCCTTTGGGCTGCATGACACAGAGGAGCGCGACAGACCGGTATGTGTGTGTGTGTGTATATGTAAGTGTGTGTATGTATGCTCCAATGGAGTTCTAACCCACACAAATGTGCAACTTTGGCAGACTAGTAACGGAGGGGAGAGACGGACGAGAGTATAGATGACGCATGTGGATGTTATGTATGATTGGAACGGTGGAAAAGGTGCGCAAGTGTGGATGTCACACTGGTTAAACGGTCACCGATTTACATCCCTACTTGCTGCACGAGTCCGGCAGATAAAGTTCAGCAATGTTCCATCTCTTGCCTGCGTCGAGTTACCACAACGCCGCCTCTGCCGCACAGTGTGTGCGTGCAATGACGCACATGCAATTCCACGCTCAAAAGGATGACACCATTGACTTTGCATTGAAAGTCACCGCAACGCATGATCCGGTCTGAAAGCCCCATCACTTCTCTCACACAGGTTAGGATTAGGTTGTCTCCGTTTGGCTCTTACCGGGTCAGGTCTTCACACAGCTGCTCGGGTTCTGGAGGATAGAACTTGACACTGAAGAAGAACGACCAGGGAACTCCTGAAACATGAGACAGCGCTACCTGTAGGCCACGTCACAGCAGTGGGTCCATTCTGGGTCTGGGTCTTACCTCGTACTTGTTTCTTCATCTCTTTGACCGGATCGAGCCAGTTCTGTCACAACAAGAAGAAATTCAGGAGGACAGTCCCACAGGAGTCTGGTACCATATTGTTGTCCTGGTCTGGTCTCACAGTGTGGTACCTTGTTGTTGTCCTGGTCTGGTCTCACAGTGTGGTACCTTGTTGTTGTCCTGGTCTGGTCTCACAGTGTGGTACCTTGTTGTTGTCCTGGTCTGGTCTCACAGTGTGGTACCTTGTTGTTGTCCTGGTCTGGTCTCACAGTGTGGTACCTTGTTGTTGTCCTGGTCTCTGAAGAACAGACCAAAATAATCCCTCTCCAGCAGATTTATGTGTTCACAGACTTTTTCAAACAGCAGCGATCCACGACAGCGTTTCTGAGGAGAGAGAGAGGTCAGGTCTGGTTTGGTCCTGGTTTGATCTGGTCCTGGTTTGATCTGGTCCTGGTTTGATCTGATCCTGGTCCGCAGCACCATTCCTCACCTCCAGGACACAGCTGAACTCTGATCCGTCTAATAAAGCGACACGACACTGCATGGTCCTGAACCCGAGCACTCTGATTGGAGGAGAGCGTGTCATGTGACTGAAAGAAGACTGCTGACTGGACGAGTCATCGGCCAATGAGCTGCCAGCACACACCTCCCCCTGCAACAGCCGGACACGTTAGCTCAAGAAAATACCGGACACGTTAGCTCAGTGATTCCCAAACTTTTTTAGCTGGGCCCGTAAAAAGACATACACATTCCAGTTTATTTCACACACTGTAATTAATATAAACCTCAGCCCTGCAGATTGTAATGTGCCAAAATGTGTCCATCTTATGCTAGCAGTGTCATTTAGCTTACTGTATTTTCGTTCATTCATTCATTCATTCATTCGTCCCCCGCCCCGCCTGCAATTGCTCTGCGCCCCCCACTTTGGGAACCACTGGGTTTGCCTTATGAGAAGTTAGCTCTATGACACGTTAGCTACTGTATATGACATGTTAGCTCTATGAGGGTAGCTCTAAACATGTATCCTGTGTGAACAGGCCATTACCTTTGAAGGTGTGGGGTGGGCGGCGGCTTCAACCAAAGACTCTGCCTCCTCTGCCTCTGTTGCCATGGTGACGGGCTGTTGAGAGATAAACACCAGGGTTAGAATCTGTATCCACTTCACTCTCTCCTCCCTTCCTTCTCCATCTTTTTTCTTCATCTTCTTACTTATTTCTTGCCTCCTCTCTCCTCCACCCTCTCCTCTCCTCACTCATCTCCTCTAAAGTAGCTGACTCTTCAGGTCATAACTCACTGCACGTATAGGACATACGCAGCGCATGCGCGCCTTACACACAGAGCGGCTTATTACAGCGGCAGTCCAGCACTCCAGCACTCGGTCTCAGGACTCGGTCTCAAGATTCAGTCTCAGTATTCGATCTCGACAGAACAGGTCTAATGTTTTGAACATCTCCCTCTCCCATCAGACCTCCCGAACTGCTCTAACTCTGACGCATGCGCATGAGTCCTCCTCAGCCAGCGGTGTGCATGCGCGTGCGTGAATATGTGCCGGTGTGCGCGCGCCCCTCCCTGTCCCGCTGCAGACAGTGTACATACATATAAACTATACATACTATACCATGTATACTGTCATACAAGCACATGCACACTGACGCGGGAACAACATGCGCCCTCCAGCGTGCACAACGCGTGCACGTACCTGCAGTGCGTGTGCAGCTGCTCCGTCCTCGTGCTCCTCTGCTGCTGCAGCGCTCGTGATGTCACCGCGCCAAACAGTGACCTCACCACGCACACACACTGTCCCGTCCGCAACTGGACTCATGTGACTTTAGAGCCACCCATTGTGGTCTCCCATCACAGTAGTAACCACGTCCTGTCCTGCTCAGCTTCAGAGCTCCCCAATCAGCTGGTAAGCATCAGAGGTGTCCCATACAGTCTATGGTCCCATCACAGTACTAAACAGAATTCTGGCCCACACCTCATTTGATCATTGAGCCACTTTGTGCCTTATCTTGGAGTGTGCAGAGTTCTGTCCAATTGGAAAACACAATGTGACACACAATGTGAAAATGTGTCATAAGTGTAAATGTGACGTCATTTGTGTAAACGTGATGTCATTTGTGTAAATGTGACGTCATTTGTGTAATGTGTGAAAGTGTGTTCAATAGTGTTCTATATGAGAGTGTTCTAAAGTGTTTTAGTGTTCTATGTTAGAATGTTATATGAGAGTGTTCTAAATGAGTGTGATACTCACTCAGGTTATGTCCACGTTCGCATTGAACAAAGAAAAGAGATTAAAACACATCCAGCTATGTAAATGTTTGTTGTGAGACTAAAGTTATATACCCCAGCTGAGTTAAACAATAAACTGCTAAAAAACATCACAAAACACTTACATAAGGAGTTGAGATAGTCTGGTGTCTCTGATCTCTGGTCTTGCTCTGGTCTCTCACAGGTCTCCGATATCTGGTCCCTGGTCTCTGGTATTTGGTCCTTGGTCTCAGGTCTCTGGTCCCTGGTCTCTTTCTGGTCTATCTCTGGTCTCTGGTCTGTGTTATTACAGATTAAACAGTGGATTACGACCAACCCCCAGATTACAGATGCCAATCAAACACAAAGGGGCGGGACTTAAATCCAGTGGTTTATGGGTCACAGATAATCCACGAACAACCAGAACTGAACCAGGTATAAACAAGGTCTAAAGCAGGTCTACCCATGACACAACCAGGTTTAAACCAGGTCTGAACCAGATCTAAACCAGGACTGAACCAGGATTTATAGATCCATGACAAGGATTTATAAACCAGGACAAAAGCAGGTCTGCACCAGGACTCAACCTGTTCTGAACCAGGTCCAAACCGTCCGAACCAGGACTTAACCAGGACTACCCCCGGACTGAACCAGGTCTATAGCGGGTCACAAAAACAGGACTGAATCAGGACTTGACCAATTGTGTTCTTTGGGTCTGCGCCATTTTCATTCACTCAAAATTGAATAACAACGAAAATTTAAAAAAGATCGAATATACATTTTAATACATAATGCTGCAAGAAAATTAATCACCAGAACCCTTAAATCGTTGCAACTTCCGGTCCGGCTCTTATTGTGGTGATTTTCGGTGTCGGTTTTCTTTGTGCGCTCTTGACTCTGGAGTTGGACAAAGATGGCGGACGCTGCTGACACAGATCCGGATCCAGCCTCGTTATGCGCGGACTTCTTAAGCTTCTCTGCCCGCGACACGGCCTCGGTAAGCGGTCACTGGGTGGGGACAGTCCCGGGGAGCTATGTTGTGCAGGGAGTGGGAGGCCTCTTTGTGTCAGGTCGATTTAGAGGCGCTTCAGGCGATTTCATGTGAGGGGAAGTACCCCTGATGCTAATGCTAATGCTAAAGCTGTCACAGTCAGCTGTTCAGAATCAGATCAACAAGTGTTTGGGACGAGCTCATAACAACAACAACGACAACAGCCACAACACACTGTCCTTCTTACGTATAAAAACGTGAGCAGGAAACTCCAGTCTGAGATTTGCACTGGTAAACAACTAAAGAACAGCAATAACAGTACAATAACAATAGCCTCAACAACAACAGAGCACTGTTACTTCTTATAATGGGTAAACGCTAATTATCAAAAATAACTCCAGTCCGAGGGATATCTAGGAAAGTAAACAACAACAACAGATTACTCATGATCAGCTATGAACGTCAACAACAACATTGGATAACTTTTGGAAATGGGGAAAAAGCAAATCCAGATCTAGGATGTTGTTTGGCAGTATGACTGTGCCTCACTTGACTGATAGACTTCTTTTGTGGTTTATAGATTTAGCGTGCTTATGTAGAACTTCAGTCTACGGTCAAGACTAACCTGACACTCCCTCCACAGAGCTAATGCTAACGCTAACCTGACTTTCCCTTCACAGAGCGAATGCTAATCTGTCTTTCTCCTTCACAAAGCTAATGCTAACCCTACTCACTCTTTACAGAGCTGGCTTGTGGCTCCAGACTTGGCCATCCCCCTTCATGCCCACCTGTCCCGGTTTGTGCCTCACCTGCTGAGGGCGGGGCAAGGGGCGGGGCTTCGGGAGCAGCAGAGGGAAGAGCTTGGCGTTCAGCTGCTCCTATTGGCACCTCTGGAGTGGCTACTGCTGGGGGAAGAGCCTAGCGCTGCGTTTGCCGCTCTCAAAGAAGCTAACAGAGTGTCAGCGCTGTGCGGACACGTGTTCAGAGTGGGAGAGCCGACCTACTCCTGCAGGTGTGTGCTGGTTTATTTATATATACATGTCATATATTTATATGTGCATACTGAAATATACTCTACTATATTACACTATTCTATATACTATATTGTATATAATACTATACTATACTGTACTATACTGTACTATACTGTACTATACTGCACTATACTGTACTATACTCTATGCTCCTCTTGCTCCAGGGAGTGTGCTGCGGACCCCACTTGTGTGCTCTGTATGAGCTGCTTCCTGAAGAGCGAACACAAGGAGCACCGCTACAGGGTAAGCTTGCCTCTCCACAGAGCTGACTCGTACAACCCCTCCTCCCTTACCCCCACCCTCATACTCTCTGGTTGTTCTCAGATGACTACTTCAGGAGGAGGAGGTTTCTGTGACTGTGGAGACTCTGAAGCCTGGAAGCAAGGAGCAGCCTGTTCTGAGCATAAACAGGACCAAGACCAAGACCAAGATCAGGTAGGACCAAGGCAGGACCAAGGCCAGGTAGGAATAGGACCAAGACCAGGTAGAACCAGGTAGAACCATGTGACACCTTGTAGAACCGTGTAGGACCAAGTAGCACCAGGACCAAGGCCAGGTAGCACCAGGACCAAGGCCATGTAGGACCAGGACCAAGGCCAGGTAGCACCAGGACCAAGGCCAGGTAGCACCAGGACCAAGGCCATGTAGGACCAGGACCAAGGCCATGTAGGACCAGGACCAAGGCCATGTAGGACCAGGACCAAGGCCATGTAGGACCAGGACCAAGGCCATGTAGGACCAGGACCAAGGCCATGTAGGACCAGGACCAAGGCCATGTAGGACCAGGACCAAGGCCATGTAGGACCAGGACCAAGGCCATGTAGGACCAGGACCAAGGCCATGTAGGACCAGGACCAAGGCCATGTAGGACCAGGACCAAGGCCATGTAGGACCAGGACCAAGGCCATGTAGGACCAGGACCAAGGCCATGTAGACAGAAGGCCATGTAGGACCAGGACCAAGGCCATGTAGGACCAGGACCAAGGCCATGTAGGACCAGGACCAAGGCCATGTAGGACCAGGACCAAGGCCATGTAGGACCAGGACCAAGGCCATGTAGGACCAGGACCAAGGCCATGTAGGACCAGGACCAAGGCCATGTAGGACCAGGACCAAGGCCATGTAGGACCAGGACCAAGGCCATGTAGGACCAGGACCAAGGACCTGATAGGACGCAGACCAAGACCAGGTAGGACCAAGGGCAAGACCAGGTAGGACCAAGGGCCAAGGACCTGATAGGACGCAGACCAAGACCAGGTAGGACCAAGGGCAAGACCAGGTAGGACCAAGGGCAAGACCAGGTAGGACCAAGGGCAAGACCAGGTAGGACCAAGGGCAAGACCAGGTAGGACCAAGGGCAAGACCAGGTAGGACCAAGGGCAAGACCAGGTAGGACCAAGGGCAAGACCAGGTAGGACCAACAGCAAGACCAGGTTGGACCAAGAGCAAGACCAGGTTGGACCAACAGCAATACCAGGTTGGACCAACAGCAAGACCAGGTTGGACCGAGAGCAAGACCAGGTTGGACCGAGAGCAAGACCAGGTTGGACCGAGAGCAAGACCAGGTTGGACCGAAGAGCAAGACCAGGTTGGACCGAGAGCAAGACCAGGTTGGACCGAGAGCAAGACCAGGTTGGACCGAGAGCAAGACCAGGTTGGACCGAGAGCAAGACCAGGTTGGACCGAGAGCAAGACCAGGTTGGACCGAGAGCAAGACCAGGTTGGACCGAGAGCAAGACCAGGTTGGACCGAGAGCAAGACCAGGTTGGACCGAGAGCAAGACCAGGTTGGACCGAGAGCAAGACCAGGTTGGACCGAGAGCAAGACCAGGTTGGACCGAGAGCAAGACCAGGTTGGACCGAGAGCAAGACCAGGTTGGACCGAGAGCAAGACCAGGTTGGACCGAGAGCAAGACCAGGTTGGACCGAGAGCAAGACCAGGTTGGACCGAGAGCAAGACCAGGTTGGACCGAGAGCAAGACCAGGTTGGACCGAGAGCAAGACCAGGTTGGACCGAGAGCAAGACCAGGTTGGACCGAGAGCAAGACCAGGTTGGACCGAGAGCAAGACCAGGTTGGACCGAGAGCAAGACCAGGTTGGACCGAGAGCAAGACCAGGTTGGACCGAGAGCAAGACCAGGTTGGACCGAGAGCAAGACCAGGTTGGACCGAGAGCAAGACCAGGTTGGACCGAGAGCAAGACCAGGTTGGACCGAGAGCAAGACCAGGTTGGACCGAGAGCAAGACCAGGTTGGACCGAGAGCAAGACCAGGTTGGACCGAGAGCAAGACCAGGTTGGACCGAGAGCAAGACCAGGTTGGACCGAGAGCAAGACCAGGTTGGACCGAGAGCAAGACCAGGTTGGACCGAGAGCAAGACCAGGTTGGACCGAGAGCAAGACCAGGTTGGACCGAGAGCAAGACCAGGTTGGACCGAGAGCAAGACCAGGTTGGACCGAGAGCAAGACCAGGTTGGACCGAGAGCAAGACCAGGTTGGACCGAGAGCAAGACCAGGTTGGACCGAGAGCAAGACCAGGTTGGACCGAGAGCAAGACCAGGTTGGACCGAGAGCAAGACCAGGTTGGACCGAGAGCAAGACCAGGTTGGACCGAGAGCAAGACCAGGTTGGACCGAGAGCAAGACCAGGTTGGACCGAGAGCAAGACCAGGTTGGACCGAGAGCAAGACCAGGTTGGACCGAGAGCAAGACCAGGTTGGACCGAGAGCAAGACCAGGTTGGACCGAGAGCAAGACCAGGTTGGACCGAGAGCAAGACCAGGTTGGACCGAGAGCAAGACCAGGTTGGACCGAGAGCAAGACCAGGTTGGACCGAGAGCAAGACCAGGTTGGACCGAGAGCAAGACCAGGTTGGACCGAGAGCAAGACCAGGTTGGACCGAGAGCAAGACCAGGTTGGACCGAGAGCAAGACCAGGTTGGACCGAGAGCAAGACCAGGTTGGACCGAGAGCAAGACCAGGTTGGACCGAGAGCAAGACCAGGTTGGACCGAGAGCAAGACCAGGTTGGACCGAGAGCAAGACCTGCCTGGACCGAGAGCAAGACCTGCCTGGACCGAGAGCAAGACCTGCCTGGACCAAGAGTAGGCAGGACCAAGAGCAGGCAGGACCAAGAGCAGGCAGGACCAAGAGCAGGCAGGACCAAGAGCAGGACCAAAAGCAGGACCAGGACCAGGTAGGTCCAAGACCAGGTGAAGGACATATGAACAGTTGAATATTCCTCTTTCTGTTTGTGCTCAGGACCCAGTCCAGTCTCTGGATCCAGACCTGGTCTTCAGGGCCTTTGGGGTCTTCAGGGCCATACTGAGATATGCTGTGGACATGTTGACTTGGGACAGAGAGGACAGTGTCCCTGCAGGCCTGGAGCCCCCGTAAGAGAGACTTGTCCTCAAACTCTGTCCTCTGTCCCTCAGACTCTGTCCCTCAGACTCTGTCCTCTGTCCCTGAGACTCTGTCCTCTGTCCCTCAGACTCTGTCCTCTGTCCCTCAGACTTCTTCCATCAGAATCTGTCCTCTGTCCTGTTGTAAAGTTCCTCTGCCCACTCCTGGCCGGTGTAGCAGGCCAGTTTAAACCCCCGCCAGAATATACCGGGGGTTAAAGTAGCCTAGGCCAGATTACACCCCTAGGCTATTTTAACTCCGGGGTGCAAACTGGCCAGGGGGTATAAAACGGACGAAACATAGTTTTCACGCCTTTTCTAAACGCATGAGCCTGGTCATATCTGTTAACCCATTGAGGCCGGGAACGCAGTCCCACGTTTCTACCTTTCAAGCCAGGAGAGCTGTTGCGCAGTTCTACCTTTTAAGGCCGGGAAAGCGGACACGTCTTTTTTTCTTTTTTTGACCTATTCTCTTCATTGATCAATTCTCTTGACCAATGAAATGCATCAAGATATTCCTGTGATGAGAATCATCTGCAGATCCCCAAATTCAGATTTTTTCTAAATATCATTTCTGTGAAATATGTGGCCGATTGCAGTTGTTTGCGTTACGTACCCGAACGGGATTAACATCCTTCGTTCTGACCCCGGGAGCAACTGTGGCCGCTTTTACACAGATCAGCGAATGCGCAGCCGTAACGTGGTCATGTACCGCGGACCATAGACGCGTGGACAGAATCATACACGCGCGATCAGGACCATCCCCAGCTTGTTGCACATGTGGGTCTTGCCCGTCTCTTCCCCGTCTCTTCCCCGTCTCTTCCCCGTCTCTTCCCCGTCTCTTCCCCGTCTCTTCCCCGTTTCTTCCACGTCTCTTCCCCGTCTCTTCCACGTCTCTTCCACGTCTCTTCCCCGTCTCTTCCCCGTGTCTCCCCAGTGTCTCCCCCGTCTCTCCCCCATGTCTCCCCCTTCTCTCCCCTATGTCTCCCCCATGTCTCGTCTATGTCTCCCCCAAGTCTCCTCACGAAGCACAGCCAAAACTCGCTGAATTAAAGCTCAGGTACCTACATTTTCGCTTGCATTGACAATGCATGTTATTTGTGCACAAAATTAAAATGTTGTGAACAAATCAAACAAAACAAACCACAACAGTCGTGGCTTTTTTTTATTTTGCTTACTTACTTGCTTATCTTGCTTACTAAGAGCCCAGTGAGTCATTATTTGACTTTTTTGGACTGAGAGTGGATTTTTCAATATTTTTCTTTCCATACAGTTAGTGCCAATTTATTGCCAAACTCTTTTTGACTTATTGTATTGAGAAACCTGTCTAAGTCTCACATTATTTTTGGTTGTTTTATTACCTTTACTGAGTGGAAGTTGTATATTTTTTGTATTATTCTACTGAAGGTTTTTAATAATACACTGCATTCCAGCTCTCAAATTCTTTTGAAATTATGTTTCTATCTGATCTGCTACAGAGGTCGAGATATCAATCATTTAGTAGACGTTGAATTTCACAAAAACTTTGAGGTTGGTTCTGAAGTCGGCCATAAATTTCTCCTTCACAAAGCTAACCAGGTGTGTTAATGTCCCTTGTCATCCTGAACTTTGTTTCTTCTTAAATCCTTCAGTTTTCTTTAAATCCACACTTTCCTGCCACAAACTCTGCTCGTTTCCTTCCCGCTCTGACTCCGCTCTACTGCTGCTCTGATCAGCAGCGCTGATTGGTCAGAGCGCGGCCGAGCTCGTGCACGAGAGCTTATTTGGCGCAACGCATCATGGGAGTTCATCAACTGCGCAGAACCGGGAGGACCAGACGATGCCCAAATATAGGCAAATTCTGCTAATATGTCAGCGCCCGTGCCGGCACATGCGCCACTGAGCACAAACCATTAATTTGAATACGGCGCCATCTTGGATCGCCGGGGCTTGGTCAGGCCTTAATGCGTTAGTTGCTTTGCAACGTCTGCACAGCGCCTCCATCTAAACAGGACCTAAGACTCTGAGTCTGCCTTCTGTTAAACGATACTGAATTGTTTGGTTCAAACTAAACCTGTACCTCCCCTCTTTCCTTGTACTCCCCTCTGTATCTCCGTACCCCCGCCACTCCTCTAGGGAGAAGAGTGACTCGTTCTACTGTATGTTGTTCAATGATGAGGTCCACACGTACGAGCAGGTGATCTACACTCTGCAGAAGGCCGTCAACTGTGACCAGAAGGAAGCGGTCAGCTTCGCCACAGCAGTGGACCGAGAGGTGAGTCCAGAGAGAGTGTCCAGAGAGAGTGTCCAGAGAGAGTGTCCAGAGAGAGTGTCCAGAGAGAGTGTCCAGAGAGAGTGTCCAGAGAGAGTGTCCAGAGAGAGTGTCCAGAGAGAGTGTCCAGAGAGTGTCCAGAGAGAGTGTCCAGAGAGAGAACTGAAAGGAATTCATGTAACATGTTACTTCTGACCTTAGGGCCGAACGTCGGTGCGTTTTGGTGATTTCCAGTTTTGTGAACAAGCAAAGTCTGTGATAGTGGTGAGTGTTACTCTACTCCAGTGTTTTTTTTTTTTTTGAGCAAATATAAAGTCCTTAAATATTTATTTAGTATTTGATTTGATTCAAAAGGACTACTTGTTAAATTGTGTTTGGAGACTATAATATATTTTAATAACGTTAGTAATTTTGTCTCAGTCATTGCAGCGTCAATCAAAATCATCACGTAACACAGCTCACATCATGCGCAGCGACAAAGCGTGTCCTGCTGTTGTTGTGGGGGGGTCGCGGGTTAGCGGGGCATTTATGATGGGGGTCGCGGGCTAAAAACTTTGGGAACCCCTGCTCTACTCTACTCTACTCTACCGTACTCTACTGTACTTTACTGTACTCTTCTCTCTTATGTTTCAGAGGAACACAGGGCGTCAGTCCAAACCTCTGAAAGTGCTCGTCATGCACTCCTCTGTTGTGGCTCATCAGGTTTTTGCTCTGAAGAGTTTGACCTGGTTAAGTCAGGTCATCTCCCACTCAGGTCAGAGACGCGCACACACACACACTATCTCCCACTCAGGTCAGACCATGGATCTTTTATAATAACTGGATAGGGTATTACTAGCTTAGAGCGGAAGGACCCATGTGCTCGCGGGATTCTCGCGGTACTGCAGACTAAACCAGACTATATTCACGTGGGCTACCCAGACATTTTCCCCATAGAACTCAATGTAAACTAAAACAGCTAGACCTCAGCTGACGGAGAACCTACAGCTTTCTCAAAGGTCGGATTTTGTGGGGATTTTATTGTCCCTTGTCCTGAACTTTTTTCTTCTTAAATCCTTCGGTTTTATTTAAATCCACACTTTACTGCCACAAACTCTGCTCGTTTCCTTCCCGCTCTGACTCCGCTCTTCCACTGCTTTGATGAGCAGCTCTGATTGGTCAGAGTGCGGCCGAGCCCCTCTGTGCATGAGAGCCACACATGCTTATTTGGTGCAACGCATCATGGGAGCTCGTCCACTGCACAGAACCGGGAGGACCAGTCGATGCCAAAATATTGGCAAGTTACGCTAATCTTTTGGCGCCCATGCCGGCACATGCGCCACTGAGCACAAACCATTGATTTGAATACATCTACGACCTGAGCCCCTCTGCCTGGAGAAGGTCCCCGTCCTGTGGAAGACCTCCTGTGTGATGCCGGTTCCTAAAATGGCGCACGCCAAGGAACTGGCTCACTAGAGACCAGTCGCACTGACCTCCCACCTGATGAAGACCCATAAGTGGCTCATCCTCACCCATCTCCGCTCTGTGGTCAGCCCCACCCTGGACCCGCTCCAGTTCGCCTACAGGCCCAACATCGGAGTAGAGTACGCGTCATCAACTTAATGCATCGGACGCTCTCCCACCTGGAGCCCGCCGGGGTCATGTTTTTTTTTTTACTTCTCCAGCGCTTTCAACACCATCAGACCGGGACTGCTGCGAGGGAAGATGGAGGACGCGGGAGTGGACAGTAACCTCACTGCATGGACCATCGACTGCCTCTCAGACCGACCACAGTATGTGCGGCTGCGCAGCTGTGAGTCTGAGGTGGTAGTCTGCAGCACTGGGGCCCCTCAGGGCACTGTCCTCTCACCGTTTATCTTCACAATCTACACTTCGGACTTCACATACGACACACACAGCTGCCACCTGCATAAGTTCTCCGACGACTCCGCCATTGTGGGCTGTGTGTCTGAGGGAAAAAACTGGAATATCGGTTATCACGGACTTTGTCAATTGGTGTGAGTGCAACCACTTGTGCTTGAACACCAGTAAGACCAAGATGATGGTCATCGACTTCAGGAGAAAACCACTTTCCCACACGCTGCTGAACATCCAGCGGGAGGACATTGAGCTGGTGGACAGCTTCAAGTACCTGGGTGTTTACATTAACAATAAACTGGACTGTTCCCATAACACCAACGCCCTGTATAAGAAGGGCCAAAGTCGCCTCTTCTTTCACAGGAGGCTGAGGTCCTTCGGAGTGAGCAGGCCTCTGCTCAGGACCTTTTATGACTCTGTGGTAGCGTCTGCCATACACTACGCTGCCGTGTGCTGGGCCCCGGGCAGCACAGAGCGGGACAGGAGTAGACTGAACCAACACACACGCACGTGCGCACACAAACACATCCCCCAAGTCTGACAGTGACAGAAGTGATCTGGGAAGTAAAGTGTTGCAGTCCATGTTTCTTGAGGAGGTTAATGAATATGAAATGGTGTCCATTGTAAGAAAATGTGAAAACAAAACCTCAACAGACAGCGATGGTCTCGACATGACGATTTTTTAAAGAACAATCGAACCATTCATTAGCAATTTATCTATACAAACTGGAGTTTTCCCAGAAAGAATGACAATTGCTAAAAGTTATTCCTCTATTCAAAAATGGTGATAAACACAATTTCAATAATTACAGACCGGTGTCACCTCTATCACAATTATTCAAAATTCATGAAAATGGTTTGTACAAAAGTTAACTCATTTTTTAGATAATATAAATTAATTAGTGAAAAACAATATGGATTCAGAACTCGGCGATCAACTGGATTGGCACTGACGGAGCTGGTTGAAAAAATTCTCGATGCAACTGAAAGAAAGGAATACTCTGTGGGGGTATTCATCGATCTGCGCAAAGCCTTTGACACCATTAATCATGAACTGTTACTGTTAAAACTGCAGAGGTATGGCATCCTACACATGGCTCAAAAGTTATATCACAAACCGACAGCAGTATGTACATATACATGATATTAATTCTAATTATAAAAAAGTTGTTTGTGGGGTCCCACAAGGATCTGTTCTTGGACCGCTGCTTTTTATTCTGTTTATTAATGATATTTGTGAATCATAAAACATCTTACAATTCTTGTTATTTGCCGATGACACAAGTATATTCCACTCCGCAAGAAATTTAAGTGACATACATATAACCATCGAAAAGGAAATGGTTAAAGTAAGAAATTGGTTTACAGACAATAAATTAAGCTGAAACTGGGAAAAAACAAAATATATGATTTTTGGAAACAGGGTAACAAAAGACATCTCTAAAATTGCGATCGATGGAGTAAGCATTGAAAGATTAACAGAGCTAACATTTTTAGAAGTCTTTCTGGACAAAAAATTAAACTGGAAATCTCATATCAACTGTTAAAAGTAAAATAAGTAAAAGTATTGGTATTTTATGCAAAGCTAAATATTTATTTAATTGTAAGTCTCTCCACATATTGTATTGCTCCTTGATATTGATATATCTGACATATTGTGTTGAAGTCTGGGGGAACATGTATACTACAAACACAAAACCTCTGTTTCTCTTACAAAAAAAGCTGTTAGAATCATAAACAAAAAGGGCTTCAGAGAGCACACAAATAAATTGTTTTTAAAATCCAGACAACTTAAGTTTAAAGATCTGGTTAATCTTCAAATGTTGTTAATTGTGTGGAAAGCCAAACACAAACTATTGCCTGAAGCCGTTCAAGAGAGGTTCAAATTTATATCACACTCAACCCACAGAAGAAAATATGATTTATAAACTGCATTTGCAAGAACCTCGATGAAACAGAAGTGTGTGTCTGTATTTGGTGTTGTATTATGGAACGCTCAGAGCGACTCACTGAAATGTGCATCTAATATCTTCCATTTAAATTTTTTTTACAAGGACAAAATGATGACTGATTATGAAGAAAACGAAAATATTTAAGTGTGCAGTAAGTTTGTTGTTATTGAATAGAAAGGTAAAATTCTAATTTGGTGACAGGTGATGTGGGGGTTGGGTGACGGATAATGTTGGGGGTGGAAATGTTAAGATGTCTTTGCAGCCAGCAAAACGAGGGACAGGGTTTATAAGACTTTTTTGTCTTCCTTCTGTTCCTATTTGTTTATGTTGCACAATTGTAAAGGGAATATACATGATGTAAGTGTGTAATATGGCATGGACAAATAAAAAAAAAAACACACCCAGATCAATAAAGTCTATCTTATCAGACACACACGACACACCATGTCCCACTCAGGTCAGACACACACGACACACCATGTCCCACTCAGGTCAGACACACACACACACACACACACATGACACACCATGTCCCACTCAGGTCAGACACACACACGACACACCATCTCCCACTCACACACACATAGACACACAGGTCACACACACACCATCTCACACACACATACACACACGTGTCACACACACATACACACACTGGTCACACACACGCAGGTGTCACACACACACACAGGTGTCACACACACACACGGGTGTCACACACAGACACGCGCCCCCACAGAGTTTGAAAACCGATAATTGGACATAAGGGTTGGGGGCATGTGTTTTTTTTTTGTTATCTTTATTTTCAGACAGTGAATTTCAGTTAAACAGGACAATTTTACATGTTTTCAAACTTACATTGTAATCCACAATCTTTTTCACATCTAATTAAAAAAGGTGTAACTATTTACAGGAAGGGAGAGATAAAATAAAATTAAAATAAATCAAAATACACATTTGGTAGGTAATGTAAAATAAAATAAAATTCAAAGCATATTCCACATCACAGAGTAAAAGGGAGATACAGTATATCAATAAATCGAATAATTATCGAATAAAGATTTGTTTACTTATACGAAATAGAAAACGTAATCGCTTGCATTTGATAAACCTGACCTACAACACTCCTCCACTCAGTGGGGGGCTCGGGGAGCAGCCATCGCCTTGTAATAGCCTTTTTAGCAGCAGAGATCATAATAGAAAATAGATTTTACATCTAGTCTGGTTGTCCAAATAATTCAGGAAGAGGGTGGTAAACTGCAATGGTATATTGATTTTCAGAATATTATTATGGTGTGAAGAATTGCTTTAACTTTGGGCATTCCCACAAATGTGCCCATGATCTGCAGCCCGAGCCCCACACTGCCTCCAACCTCCGCCGCTCCCTCCCCCAGTGTGCACCCTTTGCTTTGGAGTTATAAAGAAGCGCACCAAACATTTCCAATTAAATTCTCGCCAAGTATGTGAGTTTGTACATCTCTATTGGGACTCACACACATTAAGCCAATCAAAATTTGATTTGGTAAAAGATCATTTTTCTTTAATATATTCAGTGGAATGTGTTTTTCTGGACTGAAAGGCCTTGTACATTTTAGAAATTGCACCTTGAGTAGTTGTATTATTGTATGCTTTAAGGAATATAAGTAATATTGGGTCTTTCATATCTGTTTTTGAGCTAATGTGTTCAAAGTAATTCCTCAATTGCAAATATCTGAAGAAGTCAGAATTGGCAAGTTGAAATTCCGCTTGAGGCTATTAAAGTAGCAATATGTAATATTTCCATGTCAAATGGCCCCAATATTTCAAAAGGCATTATTAAATCATCCATCCATCCATCCATTTTCTTCCGCTTTATCCGTTGCCGGGTCGCGGGGGCAGCAGTCTAAGCAGAGACGCCCAGACTTCCCTATCCACACACAATTCCTCCAGCTCGTCCGGGGGGACCCCAAGGCGTTCCCAGGCCAGCTGAGAGACATAGTCCCTCCAGCGTGTCCTAGGTCTTCCCCGGGGCAGCGGCTCTACTCCGAGCTCCTCCCAGCCACTCTGCAGAGGAAGCTCATAGGTGAGGGAGGGAACAAAGATTGACCGGTAAATCGAAAGCTTTGCCTTTCGGCTCAGCTCCCTCTTTACCACAACGGTCCGATACAGCGACCGCATCACTGCGCACGCTGCACCGATACTCTCGTGAACAAGACCCCGAGATACTTGAACTCCTCCACTTGAGGAAGGACCTCTCCACCCACCTGTAGAGGGCAAAGAGGGAATTATTAAATCATGCTCTTTTCGAATACATCTTTAACTGATAACGGTAGTTCATCCGAGATATTTGAATATCAAAATTAGTTTTACGACCCGTTAAAGTTGTTATTGTTTTCATTACTACAGTGCCTTACGAAAGTATTCAGCCCCCTTGAACCTTTCAACATTTCGCCACATTTCAGGCTTCAGACATAAAGATATAAAATTTAAATTCTTTGTCATGAATCAACAACAAGTGGGACACAATCGTGAAGTGAAACGAAAATTATTGGATAATTTAAACTTTTAACAAATAAAAAACTGAAAAGTGGGGCGTGCAATATTATTCGGCCCCTTTACTTTCAGTGCAGCAAACTCACTCCAGAAGTTCAGTGAGGATCTTTGAATGATCCAATGTTGTCCTAAATGACTGATGATGATAAATAGAATGCACCTGTGTGTAATCAAGTCTCCGTATAAATGCACCTGCTCTTTGATATTCTCAGGGTTCTGTTTAAGGCGCAGAGAGAACCATGAAGACAAAGGAACACACCAGGCAGGTCCGAGATACTGTTGTGGTGAAGTTTAAAGCCGGATTTGGATACAAAAAGATTTCCCAAGCTTTAAACATCTCAAGGAGCCCTGTGCAAGCAATTATATTGAAATGGAAGGAGTATCAGACCACTGCAAATCTACCAAGACCTGGCCGTCCCTCCAAACTTTCATCTCAAACAAGGAGAAGACTGATCAGAGATGCAGCCAAGAGGCCCATGATCACTCTGGATGAACTGCAGATAACTACAGCTGAGGTGGGAGAGTCTGTCCATAGGACAACAATCAGTCGTGCACTGCACAAATCTGGCCTTTATGGAAGAGTGGCAAGAAGAAAGCCATTTCTCAAAGATATCCATAAAAAGTCTGCCACAAACCACCTGGGAGACACACCAAACATGTGGAAGAAGGTGCTCTGGTCAGATGAAACCAAAATCACCCTGAACACACCATCCCCACTGTCAAACATGGTGGTGGCAGCATCATGGTTTGGGCCTGCTTTTCTTCAGCAGGGACAGGGAAGATGGCTAAAATTGATGGGAAATACAGAACCTTTCTGGAAGAAAACCTGTCTGCAAAGACCTGAGACTGGGACGGAGATTTATCTTCCAACAGGACAATGATCCAAAACATAAAGCCAAATCTACAATGGAATGGTTCACAAATAGACGTATCCAGGTGTTAGAATGGCCAAGTCAAAGTCCAGACCTGAATCCAATCGAGAATCTGTGGAAAGAGCTGAAGACTGCTGTTCACAAACGCTCTCCATCCAACCTCACTGAGCTCAAGCTGTTTTGCAAGGAAGAATGGGAAAGAATTCCAGTCTCTCGATGTGCAAAACTGATAGAGATATACCCCAAGCGACGGTATGGTTAAATAACAGCGCCGGTGCCCCAGCGGATGGGGTTCGAATCTGGTTGAGACATTTTTTGGATTAAACAATATATGATTTATTCTATGACGGATTGTTCTAAATTGGTAAAAGGTAAAAACACGCCGTTATTTGCAGATTATAATAAGAATCATTTGAGACCACATGTACTCATTTAAAATAATGTTATTCTCTTTTTGATGTGGGACTTAAACTTGTTTGTTTAAAAAATAAGGAATAAAAAAATCGAAGAGTGATATCCTCTTGAGCAAACCCTGATGTTGATACGCTGAAGAAATATATTCCAACATCCATTCTTCCCACTCCTATTTTGGACATCAATTGCTTATTTATTTTGCATAAGCAATGTATAGTTACACTGCTTTTTATTTTGCTTTTCTCATCTCAAATGTTCAAATAAAAAAATAAAATAAACATTCATTCAACATTAGCACGGCTATCATGGCAATGTGAATGGAGACAGACAAATAACTGATAAAATAATTCCCTGTGTTTGCTGCTGGATTTGGTGTGTATCTGGCAACCTGAGTCAGGGAGAGTGGGAGAAGACTACAAAATATTGACTGTGACTGCAGTACCACTTTTGGCCTGATTTTTACATATTGGTCCTTTTTACAATCTTAAAATTTCCCATTTTCCGTTAAAGAATAAAAGGTTGTCACTCCTTTTTTGATCCAAAGTTTGAAAGTATTGTCGAATTTGTTTGGCCCAAACTCGGGGTCAAATGCTCCCCATCTGTATCTTATCATCCAAGTGGTAATGGGGGCATGTGTTATAACAGAGTCTCTGGTTTCAGACGGGCTTCGGAGGGTCCTCTGCACTGTGGCTCTGGAGTCCAGGTCTGGTTCTGGTGAGACCCTGGTGGACCAGCTCATGCTGAACGACTCAAAGATGTGGAAAGGTGTTTACTAATACTACAGTGTTGTGTACTTTTACTATACTACTAATACTACAGTACTGTGTACTAATACTACAGTACTGTGTACTTCAGGAGCCCGCAGTATTTACCACCAGCTCCTGATGAACAGTCTGCTCATGGATCCTCAGTACAAGAAGGTGTTTGCAGTTCACTTTGCCAAGGTACAACTATTACTACTTCTACTGCTACTACTACCACACATAGGCAAGGCAAGGCAATTTTATTGGACATTGGTCAACTCCCCCGATGGACCAATACCTATGTGTTGTGATCCATGTTGGCGTTTTCAACGGTTTTGTTCCTCTGAGATGACAACTGTTGTGATTTAGGGCCATATAAGAATACATTGAATTTTTTTGTAAAGCAAAGATGATACGCAAGGCAACTCAAAGTGCTGAACAAAATGTAAATAATCGCTGTACATTAAAAAGAGCAATGATAAAATCCCACAGTTGTATGCACAGCTAAACAGAACCATTTTTTAAAACCTGGATTTAAACAGATGAGGCCCATCTCACATTTTCAGGAAGACTGTTCCAGATATAAGCTGCATCAATGTGAAACACTGCCTCTCCATGTTTTGTTCTAACTCTGGGCACCAGCAGCTGCTCCTCGGTCCCAGTTGATTCATGAGACTGATGTGTCACATATGTACTTTGGTGCGAGGCCATAGTTAGACTTGTACACAAGAAAAGCTGCCACAGGAAGCCAGTGCAGAGACCTGAGAACTGGACTAATGTGATCATACTTCCTGGTTCTAGTCAGGACTTGAGCTGCAGCGTTTTAATACTGGAGATAAAAGCATGGATAAGAATCTCCAAGTCTGCTTTAGATATTATATTTTTGTGAGTCCAGTATTACCGCTACATTTCTGACCTGATTTGACACTTTTAGGGAGAGGTAGGTGAAAGATGACGCTCTCGCTGTTTCTAGGGACCAAAGACGATCATTTATTTTTTCCACTCACTGATCTGTTGGATACAGTGATACTCCTGCTGTCAGTGAGGCATACTACTGCCACTACTGCTACTACTAAAACTACTACTACTTTTGTAATAGTTACTTGTATTTGGTATTTTTTCAGAACTATGAGCGTCTTCAGAGTGACTACGTGAAAGATGATCATGACCGTGAGTTTTCCATCACTGACCTTTCAGTGCAGATCTTCACCGTGCCATCCCTGGTGAGTCCCCCTGATCCTGACCAAATCTGGTCGCTCTCTCTCTGCTCGCTCTCTCTCTGGTCACTCTCTCTCTGGTCGCTCTCTCTCTGCTCGCTCTCTCTCTGCTCGCTCTCTCTGCTCGCTCTCTCTCTGCTCGCTCTCTCTCTGCTCGCTCTCTCTCTGGTCGCTCTCTCTCTGGTCGCTCTCTCTCTGGTCGCTCTCTCTCTGGTCGCTCTCTCTCTGGTCGCTCTCTCTCTGGTCGCTCTCTCTCCGGTCTCTCTATTGTCTAAACCTTTTCTTTGGTTTCTCTCTTGTCTCTCTCTGGTCTCTTTATATTATTTTTCTCCCTGGACTAAACTTAGTCTTTGGTCTGTCTTAGGCCCGTATGCTGATGGTTGACCAGGACCTCATGGCTGTGATCATCAGGACCTTTCTGAACCTCCTCCGTCACAGAGACCTTCAGGGACGCTTCCAGTTTGACAGATACACGGCTCAACAGGCCTTTAAGTTTGGACGAGTTCAGAGTCTCATAGGGGACCTGAAGTAAGGACTCGGGTCTAAAAAATTGTAAATAACTCCTGTTGTAAATTTTTCCTGTGTGAGATCAATAAAGTCTATCTTATCTTAAATAAGGACCAAGGCAGGTCTAAGGCGAGTCTCCAGGGGGCGTCCAGTTTCAATGCAAAGTCTATGGTGACGTCCGTTCGTGCCTGTAAATGCATGTGCGGCACACTTTTGTCTCTGGATACAGAGATGCGGCAGAGAAGAACTTTACACAAGAAGTATCTAGCTTAACCCCGTTAGCATCAAAGCCCGCCTGCCAATTCCACCCCGTCCTCGACACTTCTGCCCTGCACCACCGCAGGGCAGTACTTAATTCACGCATCTGAAATTTAGGGAATGTGCATCCAGTGCGCGTGGAAGCTGCGTTCAAGCGGTGGTCTGAACGCCCCATAAGGCAGGTCTAAGGCGTGACTAAAACGAATCTTTCTCTCAGATATGTCCTGATGACTCGGCCTACAGTCTGGTCTGATGAGCTGCGTCTGAAGTTCATGGATGGATTCAGCTGTTTTCTGGAGCTGCTGCGGTGTATGCAGGTAACTCCTCCCCTTTACCACTAACCATGCCCCGTGGGAATGCACATTGTCACTGTCTCTTGATCTGAGTGTCTGAGAGACCAAAGACACTTGGTCTCTCTCTGGCTCTCTGGTGTCTCTCTGATGTCTGGTTTCTCTGGAGCAGTAACTCTATTGCTCCCTAGGGCATGGATGCAGTGGTGCGGCAGGTCGGGCAGCACATAGAGATGGAGCCCGAATGGGAGGCGGCCTTCACTCTGCAGATGAAGCTGACCCCGATCACCAGCATGATCCAGGACTGGATCAGGACTGATGTAAGGGACCATGATGTCAATCAGGACGCGTGGACCAGGACGCGTTACCCTCAGTGTTGTTGTTTGAATGCTGGTGTGTTTGTTTACTCAGGAGCAGGTTGTCATGGAAACATACCGCTGCTGTCTTATTGCGCTCACACACTCTCTCAGTGGATTGGCCGACGGCGAACAGCCAATCAGCCTGAGTCTGGCAGGTCACATGGTCGAAACGTTCAGATACCAGGTGTCACAGGAAAAAGTGTCCATTCACCTGCCGCTGTGTCGCCTGTTAGCAGGTAATGAGGTGTGGTAACTTATCTCTATCTGGCTTGTCTTGGTTTCCCCCGCACAATGATTCCATTCATTATGTTGACAACCACCTATGACAAAGAACAGGAGGTGCCTGGAAGCCCCTGGATGGCTATGTAATAATACAGGAATATAAGGGCAGATGCAACTGGGATAAATGGGGTAGAGGAGGGGAGAGAGGGAGGAGGTGAGTGGGCAGGGGGATGGAGAGGGCAAGGAGGCTAGTGGGGGGAGAGACGGGGAGGAGGGTGAGAGGGAAAGGAGGTGCTAAAATCTCTCTTGTCTCAGGTCTTCACGTTCTCTTGAGCCGGACTGAAGTCGCTTCTCGTTTTCCGGAACAACTTCCTCTGGTAAAAATTCACAGTATACGTACCTCGGTATACTTGTCTCAGTCCACACAGTATAAATACCTCAGTATACAAACCTTAGTATACATGTCTCTGTATACAAACCTTAGTATATATGTCTCAGTATACAAAACGTAGTATACATGTCTCAGTATACAAAACGTAGTATACATGTCTCAGTATGATATGTCGTCTATTTTAGGGGGAGCTCAGTCCTCCGCTCCTTATTGAGTTGCCGCTCCGCTGTCTGGTGCTCTGTGCACAGGTGCATGCTGGGATGTGGAGACGCAACGGCTTCTCCCTCATCAACCAGGTACTGAATCAGGTCTGGACTAGGTCTGGACAAGGACTAACTCAGGTCTTCTTGTTTCAGATTTACTATTACCACAACGTGAAGTGTCGTGTAGAAATGTTTGATAAAGACCTCATCATGCTCCAGGTGAGTCCAGCCCAACTCTCCACCTGCTGACTGTGTGTAGCTCTAGTGCTACAGATAAACAAAAGGCTGATGAGAATAGCTGGCTCGAGCTGTGTTCATTAGCCTGTAGCGCTGTGTGCATTAGCCTATAGCCATTTCTGCTTTAGCATTAGCTTTATTATTATGCTAAATGTAAGATTTGTGTATAGAGGATAGAGCTATATCGTTTATAGAGTTGTGCAATACAATATTCACTTATCCCATTCCTACTGTTCTTTATGACTTGATTAACTTGTAATACATTACTAAAATATCCCCACTGTGGGACAAATAATAAAATGTCTTATTCTTAAATAGCCTGTAGCCCTTTGTGCTAAAGCATTAATCTGTAGCTCTATGTGCATTAGCATATGCATTAGCCCTATGTGCATTAGCATTATCCATTTGTGCATTATCATTAGCATAAGCCCTGTGTGCAGGTGGGAGCCTCCATGATGAACCCAAACCACTTCCTGATGATCGTTCTGAGTCGATTTGAACTTTTCCACATTTTCAGCACAGACTCACGGAAGCGATTCAGAGACAGCAACAAGGTCAGTCTGTCCATGACCTCTGACTTTATGGAGCACGGTGTAAGATGGCACCACCTGCCCCAGACCTGTGAAGCTCAGCATGTCGAGGTGATATTCAGGCGCCTCACTGCTCACCAAAAATGACACAGATGGGTTTGTTTGCTCCAACGCTTTAAAAGGATGTATCATACAGTATACGTATTTCCATCAAAACCTGTATTGTTCCTAGTTGAACTTTGTGAGAAATTTCCTTTTACTATTTATGTATTTCTTTTTCTTCTTCTTTTTGAACCTTAATTTGAACCCCTGAACATGCAGAAAAACTCACCTAATTTTTCCAAAATTCAGTTTTGGGAAAAAATGTATGTTCTTTTATTTATTTTTTTGACCAAAACAAAAGTGCATTGCGTCTTTAGGGGCCGGTCCGATGGCTTTTCATTATTATTGTTTATATTATTGTTGTTTTTTAACTATGGCCCTGTTTGTCAGGACGTACTCCAGCAGAACAACACTCTGATCGAGGAGATGCTTCACCTCATCATCATGATCACAGGTCAAATATATTTATGTAGTGCACTTTGCAAAGTCAAAGGTCACTTCACACTTGACAGAAGCAACATAATAACGTTTTCATCATTTCAGCGAGGGGGCCCTACATGCATTCACGATCACTCTCCATGTTTCCCTGTCTTGTGTGCAAACTCTTCCTCCTCTGTCAAACCGCTCACATTCAACATTCTCCTTACAGCATCATCCCATCCAACCATGGATTACCTCTCAGTCTAACACCGCTCATGCAATCATCACTCTTTTTGTCAATCTCTCTTTATTCTTTCTCTGCATATGTCCATCCATACCATCTTAATATACATGCATCTGCTCTATCAGACAGGTGACAAACTGTTACCTGTTCTCTCCCTAACCGTTACCTTCATTCTTTCCATCCTAGTCATACTTCTCAAAAATTTCATTTAAAACGCATTACATTTATTTTTTTCCCTTTCTCTCACACTTCATGTATTCGCACCACACAACACTTACAACATTTACATTCCTACCTCTCACCACTCTATTCACTGCACCAAGATCCTTGCCACCCTCAGTCCTGTGTGCGGCATAGATTCCATCTGCACTCACATAGATAGATAGATACTTTATATTCCTGTAGGAGAAGATGTCCAGTAACAGCAAAAATAAAAAATAGAATTGATAATTCTAAAAAGTTAAAAATAGTAATAATCAGCAACAGCCCTTCAGGTCACAGTAGCAGAGGAGTAGTAACCTCTGAGTGGAGCAGGACGGGTCACGGGTCACAGTAGAAGAGGTGGTGTAGCCTCTGAGTGGAGCAGGACATACTCTTCTAAAGTCACTCATTAACATCTCTTCTGAGTCAGCCACCAATACTGTATCATCAGAAAATTGCCAACTTGCATTCCCTTTCACCAACCCGCACTCTCCTTCTAACATCCTTGCATTCACATCTCACACAACTCCATCCGTGTACAGCCTAGGGATGTAAAAAACTATGAATTTTCATGACCGACCACCGAGCCTCATTAACCGGTTGAAACCGGTTAACCGCATAGTTTAAAATAGTTCTTTGAAATAACAGCCATTTCGAGCCGCATACTTCTCATAAGAGCAGCTATACGTTCTACTGGATCAGAGCCGAGACAGCGGCGCCAAAACCCACAACGTCTTCGGCACCTTTGAGCACAGAGAACTGCTTTAATCTTCCCATTCTGCTGTGCTGCGGGTTGAAGCATTTTTAAGCAAAAGACGGCTCGTTCACATGGTCAGAGCAGCAAGTGACGAGCCGCGTCTCGCAGGTCTCCGCTAAAGTTTAAAAGTGATGTCTGTGGAGCTGATGCCAATTAGGACCAGCAGCACAAACATGTTTCAAGTGGATTGACTGGAGCCGTGTATTTGCGAGGATTCTTTTGGCTGAGTGACACAGAGGAGCGCGACAGACCGGTATGTGTGTGTGTACAATACATGTATGTGTGTGTGTGTGTGTATGTGTGTGTAAATATAAGTGTGCAACTAGCAGACGGTATACACTAGGCTTAACAGAGGGGAGAGATGATGCGTGTGGATGTTACGTATCGAAAGTGTGTGTGTGCTAGTGTGTCTGTGCGCGCGTGTGTGCGTGTGCTTGTGTGCGTGCATATGTGCCGCGTACGGCGAGAAAGTCAGCCCTTAGTTTACTGATACATTGGCGCACACAGCTAGAGACAGACCCGCTCGTCACACCGTGCAAATAGGGCTTAAAATAGCGTTATGAAAAGACCTCCCCTCTCCCCTTTTTCTCGTTTTTAACCGACAGCTTTGACCGGTTAACGCTGTGACGGTCAACCACCGGTTAAACGGTCACCGATTTACATCCCTAGTACAGCCACTGAAACATCACACAACCCTGACGTAATTCCACATTCACAGAGAACCTCTCACTGTCAGCTACTCTCACACACATTAATAACATTATAGTGACATTATAATAATGAGGATTCTCCTGTTTGCCTCAGGGGAGCGGTTCACCCCTGGAGTCGGGCAGGTGGAGCCCGAGGACGAGCTGAGGAGAGAGGTCATGCACCAGCTGTGTGTGCGACCCATGGCTCACAGTGAGCTGGTCAAGGCCCTCAACGACAACGTGAGTCAGAGGCCCCATGGAGAGGTCCTCAGGGACAGGGTCCAGGGTGAGATTCCCTGGGTGAGGGCCCCAAGGAGAGCGCACCAGGATCAGGGTCCCAGGTTGAGGCCTCAGGTTGAGATATCTTAATTAGAAATTTTAGGATCAATTTAGGATCTGTTGCTGTGTGAAATCAATATCCCCACTTTGTATAAATACCATGATATCTGCGTTTGCTGATCAGAGGAAGCCCCCTCTGTCCCTGTCTAACTTGTGTCTCTCTCTCAGGGAAACAAAGAGACTGGTTTGGAGCGGGTCATTGACAGCGTTGCCTCATTCAGGTCAGAGCTGAAGCTGCACATAATTTATCTGTAGTGGGTTATAGATATATAAATGAGTGTGTTCAATTGAAGTATCTGGACTTTAAAAGGTTATAACTTAAAAACTAAAATTACTTTCATAGATTGGAAAAAAGATTTCAAACAGACAGATTGAAGAGATAGTGTGGAAAAAATCAAAAGGAAAGATTGACATAAAAATGTTTAGCAACATTTTAAACGACCAAATTAGCCTCTGATTGGACCATTCTACTGTGACGCCAGTTACATAGAAAATAAAATGTCCTCAGTCTGAAAAAGCAGAAGATGAAATCCCACAAGATTTACATGGTTAACACAACAGAAGGGAATCACTTGATATAAAAAGGAATCGTAAAAAAAAAAAAAAAAAAATAATTAATTAAATGACCCCTGAAAAATGTATAACGGACGTGATGAGGACAGTCCTCTTTTCTCTAAAAATTAAACTTGAGAGAAAAAAAAATCTGGTCTGTTTTCACATTTAATTGCTTGACAATATGAAAGTATCACTTTGCATCTACTTTGTGTAAAAAAATAGAATCTCTGAATCAATCAGGCCCGGACTGGCCATCGGGAGCATCGGGAGATCTCCCGGTGGCCTGCGTGTCAAAGTGGCCTGGGCCTGCCCTATCATCACGGTCTTTTTTTGTTTTTGTTTTTTTTTTAAATTTAATTTCATCCTCACGGTCTTTGCAAACTCCTACCCTGGCTGGTGGCCTGGTCCAATGAGCAAGGCCCAGGCCAAAGCCAGTGTTGCGCGTGAGTTCAAAAGAACGCGTTCATTGAACACGCTCATTTTTTCGTAAACGTTGAACTGAACGCAACACATTTTTAATAAAGATCTTGAACGTGAATTAGTTCATATTATGTGTCATGAACGGCAGACAATTTGTTTTCCATTTAAAACTGAGTGAAATCTGTTTTCTCTATATATATATATATATAATTATATATATATTATATATATATATATATATATATATATATATATATATATATATATATATATATATATATATATATATATATATATATATATATATATATATATATATATATATATATATACCACGTATTGTGATTTCTAGCTTGTAGTGAAAAAAAATATTTATTTGAATATCTCGCAAAAAGTAAAATGAACTGAACTTTGAACTAGTTCAGAATTAAAATTGAGAACTTCGAACGTGAACTGTTCACTTTGAGCATGTATGAACTGAACTTGAACTAGTTCAGAAAAGCTGTGAACTGGCACAACACTGGCCAAAGCTTTACTGTCATTGGGCCAGAGCAAAATTAAACAAATGTGACGGCACACGTCGGCTACACAGCCAGGCCAGCCTAGCAGTGCACCCAGTGTAGCTTCCCCGGTTCAAATGAGTGGTCTCTCCAACTGATGGTTCATACATGTTTTTATTTTTCCTTTTATATGAGCTGTAACGATGTGATTTTACCTTACTACTTTTTTTTTACAATAATTGATTAGCTTGTTATAGTTATACACTAATGAACACTTAGTTCATTGTGTGTGTGTGTGTGTGTGTCTTTATTCTCACTAAACTCCATAAACGTTACGTTGCTAAGCAACGTACAACAATCCTTAAACGTCCGAGATTATATAAACAGTCAATATAAAAAAAAATAAAGAAAACAAAAGTTTTGACAGTCAATCTTAAAACTATTAAAAGAACATCAAAATACAATGACAAAAACCCAAATTTAGAACCTTGCTTGGCCTGAATGGATGAAAAGCTCCCGGCCTGAAATGTTGTCCCACTCCGGCCCTGGAATCAATTGTGGACATCTGAAAATACCTATCAAACTTCCACAAAGCTCATTCCGTCAAATCATCACGTCCGTTAGGTAAAATAAACAGGGCCGCTATAGGAAACTTGTCTAATGTATAAAACAGTTATGTTCTAGCAACTTCTAATGGACAGAGGAGGTGCCTGGAAACATGAAAAACATAAAATATCTTCTGATTATTAAAATCAAATTTTTAGCCTTTTGTCACACTTTTGTGCCCTTTAGTGTGAACAAGCCCAAATATATATATATTTACAGGAAGCCCGGTGTGAGCGGTCGTGGCCTCTACGAGCTGAAGCCAGAGTGGAGCAAACACTTTAACCTGTACTTCCACCACTACAGCCGAGCTGACCAATCAAAGGTGAGGATACTGCCACACCCAGCCAATCAGAGAACAGGGCAGTCGTTCCCAACTTCAGTGATTGAACTGAATTGTGTGTATGGTGTTTCAGGCAGAGGAGGCCCAGAGGAAGATCCGCACTCAGGCTTCTGGTCCTGGTCCCAGCTCGGGTCCCAGCTCGGGTCCCAGATCTGGTCCCAGCTCTGGTCCAAGCTCTGGTCCCAGCTCTGGTCCCAGCTCTGGTCCAAGCTCTGGTCCCAGCTCTGGTCCCAGCTCTGGTCCCAGCTCTGGTCCAAGCTCTGGTCCAAGCTCTGGTCCCAGCTCTGGTCCCAGCTCTGGTCCTGATCTGGGTCAGGCCTTGGTACCTCCACAGCCTCCACCCTTCTCTCCCCTCTTTGGCAGTCTGGTGAATCTACTTCAGTGTGATGTTCTCTTGAGTCTGGAGACCACAGTCTTGCAGTGGTCCTCTGAACCTGGGACATCAGGAACCTCAGGAGGATCTGGAGGATCTGGCACCAACGGGTCTACGGGTTGGACCGAGAGCATGCTGCAGAGAGTGAGTTCTGCCAAAGCTACTGATGCAGATAAAGACTACTGTGAATACTGCTTCCACACAACCCGACCTCTGTGGAATCTATGGAGAAGTGAAGAAGACAGACCAGCCCCCTTGTTCTAATTCAGCTCCATATTGTGTTTTGTTCAGGTATTACACCTCATTGCAATGGCTCTTATTGAAGAAAAACAACAACTGGAGTCAAATGGTGAAGAAGAACTGACATTCAACTACAGTCTCAAGATTCAGAGTAAGTCCTGCCACTACTATTACTGCGACAACTACTACCACTGCTGCTACTCGAGTATGACTAATGCATGTTTATGTGATGTCCTCTGTCCTCAGGACCTGGTTCTTGTGGATCTCTGCTTTCTCTGCTGGAGACACTTCATCACTCGCCGCATTTAGAACTTCACAAAGACATGATTGGCTGGATCCTCACGGTACTGACTTCAACTAGACCAGATCTCTCTCTCTGGTCTCAGGTCTCTCTCCCTGGCCTCTCTCTGATTTCTAATTGGTGGCTGAGTGGATAGCACTCTCGCCTCTCAGCAAGAAGGTTCTGGGTTCAAATCCCGGTTGGAACAGGGCCTTTCTGAGTGGAGTTTGCATTTTCTCCCCGTTTCTGCGTAGGTTTCCTCCGGGTACTCCGGTTTCCCCATCACTAAAAAGATGTGCGATAGTTCAGGGTGAATTGTGTTTGTGAGTGCGATTGTGGGACAACGAATGGAAATTAGCCCATGGCTACAATCCGGAGTGATGTGTTCATTAACATGTACTGTCACAACCAAATAAACAATAAATAAAATACTTCCTCCCTTTTTATCCCAGATGGTGTCTCACATTCGGACCCTGAGACTGCGCTCCGAAGAGGAGTCTGTGTGTGTAACCGCTGCAGTGACCACTGACCACGTAAGGTTCACACATGTTTAATGGAGTAAAGCCTAGTTTATACTCGCGCGGCGCGGAGCTTACGGAGGTGACGTGACGTCACTTGCGCAACGCGTTGGTCACCGCAAGGCCCTTACGTCGCCTGCCGCGCAGCATTGAAATGTTCTAACTACGTAAGGGTCGCCGCAAGGAATCTCCGCTGTGATTGGTCCGTGTGTGTGTATTGGAAGGTAGCATGAAGCGGCTGCAGCAGGGACATGGAGGAGGCACTATGGAGCAGAGAGCTTTGTGCTTCGAAGGAAAAGCAGTTTGGGCTCAGAGCCTGATATACAGGAGACTGTGGACTATCTAACATATATATAACTTATATCTAACATATATATAACTTATATCTAACATATATATAACTTATAAACTGTGCAGTCGTTTGTTTTGCACTGTTCCTGTCTTTGTTTGAATCGTAGCTGCGTTTGTTGCTTTCCTCCTGCACTTGTAAATCGTTCATGTTTGTCTCAGATATTTACCACTATTTTTGTTTTGCTGTTTGTGCTGAAAACTATTTAATAATAACTATGTTTCCAACAAGAACTGTGTCTTTATTCACAGCATCACAGTTGAAATGACTTATAAAATAATGAATCCATAAAACTATCACATAAACCTACAGTAGAAACACGTGTAATGAGCTCAAACAGAAGCTTGTCTGAAGAGGACAAAGTAGCAGCGTAAATGGGACCGCTCCTGTGTGATCGCCCTCATGTGGTCTGTTGTGGGATTACAACATTCTCCTCAAAACTCCGTAAGGGGAACGCGCCAGTATAACATCAATTGTGCTTACGTAGGTCCACCGCAACCGCTAACGTAAGCCATGCCGCGCAAGTATACACTAGGCTTAAGAGATGACTGAGAGATCAGCTCTTACTCCATATCCCTAACCCACACTGCCCTCCTCTGGTGGAAGAGTGTCATCACTGTCACGAAGTGAAAATATGTTTAATTTGAACTTTAAAAAAAAAGTTATAGTATTGAAGTGCAAGTGTGAAGGAGGTGGGTTTTTCCTGGTCTGAATATCCCTAGATTTGGATTGAAAGGGGATTGGCCAAATCATCCAATCCCCTCCAAAATGAAATTATTTGTGTACTCAATCTCTGCTTTTGTTGTTGCTTTTTACAGTGTATAGAACTATTTAAAAATGTAGAAATGTGTTTTCAGTCAGTTTGATTCTTTTTACAGTATACATGACTTTCACGTGCAGTGAAAATAACTATAGCTTCATCGTTTGGGAGATAGTTGTGATTACTACTGTGATCAGTAAGTAAGTTGTCAGCAGTGAGCGCGACTTCTGTTTTTTCCTCACACTTGCTGTACCTTACGTCAAGGGATGATTTGTGGCTGGTTTCAGATAGGCGGAGCCTAGAGTAGCATAAGCACCTTGACATGCTTATATAAATAATAAATATCTCCAGACGCTGAGAGAGCGCGAGGCAGCGGAACGGCGGAGGAAGGCGGAGATGGCACGGTTACGAAGAGAGAAGGTCATGGCTCAGATCAGCGCAATGCAGAAACACTTCATCAGAGAAAACAGAGAGCTGTTCTGTGAGAGTCGGGAGAGCGCCCCTTGTGGAGAGGAGCAGAAGTGCAGGTACTACATATATACACATGAGCCAGCGAGTGCCCTTTGTGGGGAGGAGCACAGATACTACAAATATACACACATGGGCCAGAGAGCTCCCCTCTGTAGAGAGGAGGACAAGTACAGGTATTACACACATGAACACACACATGGTCATATGTTCAGGTGTTCACTCCTCTCTGCAGCTCTGAGGATTCAGTCGGAGCCCCGGTCTGCGTGGGACCAGCACGAGCCGGTCTGGTCTCAGCGAGTCCTGTGACCTGCATCCTGTGTCAGGAGGAGCAGGAGGTGAGGCCTGTAGAGCTATCATCATGAACTACTCTAGTGTCTGTGTTGAGCTGTCATCAGGAGCTACACTTAGTTTAGTTTCTTTCTTATTTGGTATTTTGCACATAAACCTGCCCAGCCCGTATGGGCTTATAAGACCCAAAGGTGTAGGCAGACATCAGTAAAACATCAAACAAAGACTGTCTTGTTCAGTTGGAGCCAAGCACTTAACAAAAAATAAATGTAATTTTTTTTTTCTCTTATGTTAAAGGCTTTGAAGGTTCTTTTTAATTAGACAAGAAACTAAAGAGAGCTAGTACTGCTTAATTACCTGACATGTTTCGGTGGTAGACTTTCGCCTTCATCAGAGGTGACACGTGATGTTGTGACACTACAGTCTGACAGATCTCACAGATCCTTCAGACGGACATGTTGTGGTCTCTGGAGAAGTAAATTCCAAGTGTGAGCCAAGGTGAAAGCCCCCTTGTCTCTGTTGATGGTCAGTGCGCCTCGCTTCCTGATTAGGAGAGGAAAAATAACTACAAAAGAATACAACCATTTATTTCCCACAGCCAATATTACCCCTCGTATGTATGGCACACCAAAAATACTCAAAGAAAACACACCACTACACCCTATAGGAGACGGCACAGGATTAGTCACACACAACCTATCAAAAGCACTAGTTGAAATAATAAAACCTCTCATTGGCAACACTCCACCTCCACTGCAAAAACTCAGGCTCAGGCACTCAAAAACATAACAAATGAACAGGACGACACACTAGTATCACATGACGTCATATCATAATTTACTAAGACACCCGTTGACGTCACACATTGTACAGGGAAAGACTTAACCTCTTAAGCCCAGAGGCCTTTTTTCCCGAAAAAGCTATAATCTACATTTACTAAGGTTTCATATAGTATTTAGCCAGATATGTGGCCAAACTTGGTACCAAATTACCTGGTGGACCTTGGGGATTGCTGTGGAAGTGAAAAAAGATGATAAATTGTATTGGTTGCCAATAAAATTAGGTTGAAACAGACAATTCTAACTTCCGCCTAAAAAAAAAACACATATTTTCCCTCAAAAAAGCTTTTTCCCTGTCTGTGGTGTAGCAAATAAGAACTAAAATTGACAGTTCCCGATATTTTGGACCAGTCCAGCAAAAATTGTGCCAAATAAACAAACCACTGCAGAGTTGTACATGGAATTGGAAAAAAAGTCCAGGCGGAATCCAACTGTGCCAAAATTGTGCCAAATGGCACAAACATGTCTGTAGAGTCATCGAGATAAACTTTGGCACCCGGTTCCCTAGCAAGAAGCTCTACAACCTCCTCGCGTGTATAACGCTGTTTTGCCATTTTTAATTTCGTCAAAATTCCGAGTACCTGCCGTGCGTAAAGGGTTTGCGCACAGCCTCCTTCTGCCCCAACTATACGCATGTACACGCCTCCGCGGTACTTTGGCCAATCAGGGCATGTTATACCATTTTGGAAAGAACACACCTTCGGCTATCAAAAACCATTGAAAACGTATTGATGGACAGCACCTGTGGCCAATCACAGGAAGAGATACACAGAGGTACGTGACATGACGCACGGGTGCAGCCTATCACAAAGGGCCTCTTACAGAAGGAGGAAGTAACTGGTATCTGCCAGGTCGCTAGAAAGCCTCGCTATGAGGTTGAATACAAGAAAAAACGGACTTTTATTCCTATGGAAATGACTTGTGATGAAAAAACAGCAAAAGTAAGTCGACTTTTACTTCAACGCTGATGTTTTACGGCTTTGTTTTCTGGCATTCGTCTGCGGCTTGGTCAGCGAGTATTAGAGCTAGCGTTACCAGCCTTATAGCGTTGTGTTCAGCTCGGAGAGGGCTTTCTAATGGTGTGCTGACAGCATGGCTACTTATTGTTTTGAGGGCGCTTGTGACGCCAAAGCAAACATTTGTTTCGACATGTGCTTTATGACGATTTGTCAGATTGTGGTTTGTTGTTTGAACCTGGGTCTGTTGAACTGAAATTGAAGTGGATAATGTTGTAGCTGAGAGTTGTCCGAACACGAGGATGTGAAACATGTGATTGTCAGTTGATGTATATGTCAGCTACGGTCCGGACAAGCTGCAGCAAGGGGGGGCGGACCCCGAATGGGGCGCAATCGGGCTGAAGAGGACCGAACACTCAAAAAACGCACAAACCTCACAGCCACATAACACAACTTTTAACTTTCATCGCCAAATCCACTTACTTCCAACACTATGCACACATAAGGAGGGCTTTGCAATAATGACCATTTTTGTTTTATTTTACAGCACCACAACAATACAGACCAACACTATGGAAATGATACGTAGACGACATTTTAGAAAAAAGTAAAAACAGGACACACACAGGAACTCAGATCACAACTGGATACATACAATTCACACACGAGGAGGAGAGGGAGGGCTGTATACCATTTCTGGACTTTCTGGACCCTACACCTACGAAGTGTGCATTTGTTTGAAGTGCACGCAAGGGTTTGAGTGCGCAGGTTACAAGCGTGCAAAAAAGGCGGAATTGGGACAGTGCAGGTTACGTCATCGACTAGTCAAGATGGTCATTTTCAGACCTAAACTTTATAAAAATGTAAGGTAATTTCGTCCGACCCTGTGGGAAACAAAAGTAGTAGTTAATGAGTTGCTCCACACACGTTAAATGAATGTAAATTGGTTATTCGTAATTTGAGATAGCTGTAGAATTTTAAGTTAAATGTGGGTAACTAACTGTTATCTGGTAAGTTTTAATAATAATAAATAATAATAATAATACATCAAACTTATAAAGCGTTTTTTTGGACACTCAAAGACGCTTTACAAAACACATAAAATAAACAATTAAGGAAAGGCAAGCTGAAACAAGTGGGTTTTGAGAAGAGATTTTAAAGTTCGGTAGTGAGTCTCAGTTTCTGATGGGTTGAGGGAGTGAGTTCCAGAGAGACAGGGCAGCTTAGTTCTGATGGGAGTGAGGAGGTTGGAGTCAGTGGATCTGAGGCGGCAGGTGGGACAGTGATAATGGAGGAGGTCAGTGAGGTAAGAGGGGGCCAGGTTATGGTGGCACTTGTAGATGAGGAGGATCTTGTATTGGATGCGATATGGAACAGGGAGCCTGTGGAGTTGTTTGAGGACGGGGGTGATGTGGTCTCTGGAGTTCTGGATGTATTGTCATTTTTGGAGATGAGTGGAAGGAAGACCGAAGAGGAGGTTGTTGCAGTAGTTCAGTCTGGAGATGATGAAGGCATGAACCAGTATTTCAGCAGTGGATTGAGAGAGGGAGGGGAGGAGGCAAGGGATGTTGCAGAGGAGGAAAAAATGATATTTTGTAGATGAGGTTAATGTGGGGTCTAAATGAGAGGGTGGAGTCCATAATAACGCCGAGGTTGCGCACAGAGGGGGAGGGAGTGACTGTGTGGCTGTCAATGTTGAGGGAGATGTTTTGAGCAGGGGGAAGGAGTGACTTGGGTCCGGTATGAGGAGTTCAGTTTTATTGCTGTTAAGTTTCAGAAAGTTGTGGTTCATCCAGAATTTGACGTCAGAGATGCAGTGTGTAATGGTTGAGAGGATGACTGGAGAGATGGATTTGGTGGAGTCTCCTGAGTTAGGAGTGGGGAGACATGCACTCCACTCGAGCAATCTCCTAGGGGCCTTAGGGTCGTTAGACTTGCTCCCTCCCACATCAGATCCTAGTTTGTTAAGGAGTTAGCATCAGGATTAGAGTGTGACTAACCACACCCATAGGTTATAAATCTCCAACGTGCGGTCTGAGATTTCATTCCCTTGAAAAAGTTCTTCAGATGAAGGACGAGGGCAAGGGATGCGATCAGTCTGAGGGATCCGGCAATAATAGCTGATAAGAGACGCGTCACACCATCACATGTCACCTCTGATGAAGGCGGAAGTCTACCGCCGAAACATGTCAGGTAATCAAGCAGAACTAGCTTTCTTTACTTTCTTGTCTTATTATTATAAGAACCTTCACAAACAAAATGGCTTATACTTGAAGAGAAACTAAAGCCTTTCCTCATCAGACAGTTCAAACGAACAGTCTTGTGTCAGACTAGTGTCTGTGTAGAGCTGTCATCAGGAGCTTCACTAGTGTCTATGTTGCAGGTCCGCTCTCACAACAGAGTGATGGTTCTCGCCGCTTTTGTCCAGAGATCCACCGTCCTCTCACAGAACCGACAATCATCATCTGGCCTATCACAGAGCAGAGGTGAGGACAGCCCCCTTTCCTCAGCCAATCACAGAGAAGAGGTGATACAGCAGCAGAACCCTGACCCTAAAGACCTCTCCTGTTTTAGACGTTCTCTTCATGAATCCCGCTCTCTCTTTGGGGATCCACACTGCGAGCTGTGGACACACCATGCACGCCACCTGCTGGCAGAGGTCTGTACTGCAGCACATTAGCTTATAGGCGGGACCCCAAAAACAAAACATGTATAACAAACGTGACAATTTATACATGTGACAATTTATAATGATATAAATTGTCACATTTGTTTTACATGTTTTGTTTTTGGGGTCCCGCCTATAAGCTAATACAGCATCCTGGGAGTTGCCTTTTACAAAACACCGATCAAGTCTACAATATAAATTTGTATAACTTGTATGACTATGAAGTTTTGTCAATAAAAAATTTAATTGAAAAATATATAGTATACATTTTTATAATATTTCAGGTACTTTGAGGCCGTGCACCAGAAGGAGCAGCGGCGTCAGCAGCGTCTCCGTGGAAACACCAGTTTCAACGTCGAAAAAGGAGAATTTCTTTGTCCTCTGTGCGAATGTCTGAGCAACTCTGTGATCCCTCTGTTACCACCAGCATCCACCCCTGCAACCAGGTAAAAGATAGATAGACACTTTATTGATCCCTGTAGCAGCAAAAATAAGACATAAAATTGATCATCTTCATAAGCTAACATTGAGTTTGTGTAGCATGAGAGGTCCAAGTCGCAGAAGAACGAATAGAAAGGCCCAAAACTTTATTTACAGTGCTCCTAAAATGTACATGGTCTTTCTCCAAAGACAACATTGGGAGTGAATCCTTTTTCTCCCCCGAATAGACAGCACACCTAGCATATATACATGGCCTAAATTGATTGGCTCCTCCCACTCAGCTGGAATATGCATTAATACTCAACAATGTATGTATGTATCTGTAGACATAAACAACTAGAAACCGTTGCAATGGCTGAAGCCATTGCGATTGACTGCGGAACAGATCTAATGTGGAATTTAGCTGAAAAATCCTTGAAATCCTTGAAACTGTTAAAATACTTTAAACATCTTTGAAACTCCTGAAGTATTTGAAGCTCCTGATATCCTTTAAACTGTTATCCTTTATACTGGTTTTCATGTAAAAACCCCTATTAAGTTCCCTTATACTGGTTTACATGTAAAAACCCCTATTAAGTTGCATTATACTGGTTTACATGTAAAAAACCCTATTAAGTTGCATTATACTGGTTTACATGGAAAAATCCCTATTAAGTTGCATTATACTGGTTTACATGTAAAAACCCCTATTAAGTTCCATTATACTGGTTTACATGTAAAAACCCTATTAAGTTGCATTATACTGGTTTACATGAAAAAAACCCTATTAAGTTGCATTATACTGGTTTACATGTAAAAATCCCTATTAAGTTGCATAATACTGGTTTACATGGAAAAATCCCCATTAAGTTGCATTATACTGGTTTACATGGAAAAATCCCTATTAAGTTGCATTATACTGGTTTACATGGAAAAATCCCTATTAAGTTGCATAATACTGGTTTACATGGAAAAATCCCCATTAAGTTGCATTATACTGGTTTACATGGAAAAATCCCCATTAAGTTGCATTATACTGGTTTACATGGAAAAATCCCTATTAAGTTGCATTGTACTGGTTTACATGGAAAAAAACCCTATTAAGTTGCATTATACTGGTTTACATGGAAAAAACCCTATTAAGTTGCATTATACTGGTTTACATGTAAAAACCCCTATTAAGTTGCATTATACTGGTTTACATGGAAAAATCCCCATTAAGTTGCATTATACTGGTTTACATGAAAAAAAACCCTATTAAGTTGCATTATACTGGTTTACATGAAAAAACCCTATTAAGTTGCATTATACTGGTTTACATGAAAAAACCCTATTAAGTTGCATTATACTGGTTTACATGGAAAAAACCCTATTAAGTTGCATTATACTGGTTTACATGTAAAAACCCCTATTAAGTTGCATTATACTGGTTTACATGGAAAAATCCCCATTAAGTTGCATTATACTGGTTTACATGAAAAAAAACCCTATTAAGTTGCATTATACTGGTTTACATGAAAAATCCCTATTAAGTTGCATTATACTGGTTTACATGGAAAAATCCCTATTAAGTTGCATTATACTGGTTTACATGGAAAAATCCCTATTAGGTTGCATGATTACACTGAAGTCCTTGAAACTGCTGAAGTCCTTGAAACTGCTGAAGTCCTTGAAACTGCTGAAGTCCTTGAAACTGTTGAAGTCCTTGAAACTCTTGAAATCTTGAAACTGCTGAAATCCTTGAAACTGTTGAATCCTTGAAACTGTTGAATCATTGAAACTGTAGAAATGTCTGAAAGAGCTGAAGTCCTATTAAAATGCATGGGCCTATTAAAATGCATTGCAGAATTCTCAATGCAGATTTTTGTCCGATTGCGGAAAAACCGGAAATCGCTGAAGTCCCAAAAGTAATAGCAATAATCTCCCAAACATGTGGAACGTTTTGATGTATAACTTGTGGAAATTGTTGAAAATGTGAAAGCTGTGAAACGTGTCAAAAAAAATGACGGAATAAAGAAATACAAAACCAATGGTTGACTGCGGAAGGTTCCGCAGTCAATCAATAAATTACTGCACAGACAGTAACATAGCATAAACACAGTTAAACAATAATGATACAAATGAAATTAAACTCCTGAAACGCTTAATTGACAACCCTCCTTTAATGGCGAACCAGAAAGGTCTCACTCCTAATGATAACTGGTTAGCAGGCAAGGCAGCAATTATTTGATAGCACTTCATACAAGGCAACTCAAAGTGCTGAACAAGATAGCATTAAAATCATAAATAACTAGAAACTTGCAATGGCTGAAGCCATTGCGATTGACTGCGGAACAGATCTAATGTGGAATTTAGCTGAAAAATCCTTGAAATCCTTGAAACTGTTAAAATACTTTAAACATCTTTGAAACTCCTGAAGTATTTGAAGCTCCTGATATCCTTTAAACTGTTATCCTTTATACTGGTTTACATGTAAAAACCCCTATTAAGTTGCATTATACTGGTTTACATGGAAAAATCCCTATTAAGTTGCATTATACTGGTTTACATGGAAAAATCCCTATTAAGTTGCATTATACTGGTTTACATGGAAAAATCCCTATTAAGTTGCATTATACTGGTTTACATGGAAAAATCCCTATTAGGTTGCATTATACTGGTTTACATGTACAAATCCCTATTAAGTTGCTTTATACTGGTTTACATGTAAAAACCCCTATTAGGTTACATTATAGTGGTTTACATGTAAAAATCCTTATTAAGTTGCATTATACTGGTTTACATGTAAAAACCCCTATTAAGTTCCATTATACTGGTTTACATGTAAAAATCCCTATTAAGTTGCATTATACTGGTTTACATGTAAAAACCCTATTAAGTTGCATTATACTGGTTTACATGGAAAAATCCCTATTAAGTTGCATAATACTGGTTTACATGGAAAAAACCCTATTAAGTTGCATTATACTGGTTTACATGGAAAAATCCCCATTAAGTTGCATTATACTGGTTTACATGGAAAAAACCCTATTAAGTTGCATTATACTGGTTTACATGGAAAAATCCCCATTAAGTTGCATTGTACTGGTTTACATGGAAAAAACCCTATTAAGTTGCATTATACTGGTTTACATGGAAAAAACCCTATTAAGTTGCATTATACTGGTTTACATGGAAAAATCCCCATTAAGTTGCATTATACTGGTTTACATGTTTACAAAAAACCCTATTACGTTGCATTATACTGGTTTACATGGAAAAATCCCCATTAAGTTGCATTATACTGGTTTACATGAAAAAAAACCCTATTAAGTTGCATTATACTGGTTTACATGAAAAAACCCTATTAAGTTGCATTATACTGGTTTACATGGAAAAATCCCTATTAAGTTGCATTATACTGGTTTACATGGAAAAATCCCTATTAGGTTGCATGATTACACTGAAGTCCTTGAAACTGCTGAAGTCCTTGAAACTGCTGAAGTCCTTGAAACTGCTGAAGTCCTTGAAACTGTTGAAGTCCTTGAAACTCTTGAAATCTTGAAACTGCTGAAATCCTTGAAACTGTTGAATCCTTGAAACTGTTGAATCATTGAAACTGTAGAAATGTCTGAAAGAGCTGAAGTCCTATTAAAATGCATGGGCCTATTAAAATGCATTGCAGAATTCTCAATGCAGATTTTTGTCCGATTGCGGAAAAACCGGAAATCGCTGAAGTCCCAAAAGTAATAGCAATAATCTCCCAAACATGTGGAACGTTTTGATGTATAACTTGTGGAAATTGTTGAAAATGTGAAATTGTTGTCAAAAAAAAAATGAAATGAAAGCTGTGAAACGTGTCAAAAAAAAATGACGATAAAAAATAAAGAAATACTAAAAACCAATGGTTAAACTGCAGAGAGGAGGTTCCGTTCCAGTCAATCTGAAAAATCAGCCTCCCCATGTTTAGTTCTGACTCTGGGCACTAACAGGAGTCCAGTCCCTGTGCTCCTCAGAGTCCGGGTGGTTCATATGGGACTAACATGTCACTAATATATTTTGGTGCGAGGCCAGGAGATGAGATTGTACACAAGCAAGAGCTGATTTAAAAGTCTATTCTCTGAGCCACAGGAAGCCAGTGCAGAAGACCTGAGGACGGACTAATATGGTCGTACTTCCTGGTTCTAGTCATGCGACTCGAGCTGCTGTCATTTTTGAATGTACAGCAGCAGTTTTACAGCCTGTTATTTGGGACAGACCTGTGAGCAGTCCATTGCAGTAGTTCTAACCTACTGGAGACAAATGCATGGATATCTCCAAGTCAGCCGCTTTAGACACAATCTGTTTTTGATCCTGGCAATGTTTTTAGATGGTAAAAAAGTGCTGATGTTACCGATTTGGATGTGGCTATTTAAAAATTTAAGTCTGAGTCCCAGATATTTTACCCTAGAGTTTCTGTGACCTTGTTTGAAGGGTTTATTAGGGAGAGGATGGGATCTGTGGGAGACAGAATGGATCGCTTGCTCTTTTGTTTCTGGGGACCAAAGACATCATTTCAGTTTAGTCTGGTTTAGGGAAGGAAGTTGAAGATTGCCTCCACTCATGATCTGTTGGATACAGTGAAGGAGTTGAGTCCACTGGACCATGTTCTCCTAGCAGTCAGTGAGACATGATCTAGAGTGTCGTCTGCATAGTTATGATGAAATGGAACATTTGTTTCTGCGTAATAGAATACTGAACCTACGGAGATGTAGAGATTGACAGAAGAGCGGGTTCCCGAGGATCGGACCACTGTGGTACTCCACAGGTCAGGGCCATATGATCTGAGACCACAGTTTTCCCACACTCACAAAGTTGACTTCCTGTTGCTTCAAGGTATAGATCTAAACCAAGAACTTCGGGGCGCGGTTGCCAGCGAGCCCAACTCAGTCCTCTAGTCTCTGTAAGGGATCTCACTGGTGACAGTATCAAAGGCAGAGCACTTAGATTAACAGGAATAGGATTGTGAGACTTTGCCTGCGTCGTGTTCAGCCGGATATCGTTTTGT